TGCCTGATAATGTCAGTGTCGGAAATTGTGACATGTCAAGTACTACACTCTTCCAACGTCAGAAGTATTCTTTGACACAGCCTTCAGTCAGACGCTTTAATAATCCTTTAGCTTCTTCACAACTCCTTAGGGTTGATGGTTGCTCTGTGTAGCCAGCTGAGGTGATGTAATATGTCTTACCTTTAAAGAAACAGGAATTAAGTGGACACAACTGTGTTCTTGCTGTTGCATATGCATCAATTTATCGGTCTTGCACTCACGTTAATGCATCCTTTCTCACTAAAATGACTTTCAACAAGTGGAAACGCACATTAATGAGTTTCACAAAGTGACATTCGTGGTGCTCATTCATTGTTGACTTGCTGTATTTTAGTTGGAGTCTCCATGATATAGAAGGCTTGTTCTTGGTGAATGAAATGGTAATTTTTGCCCTTTTGACACCTGCATCGACTTAGTTCAGCTTTGAACAAAGTTAGTTTTGCTCGGCGAAGCCTGAAGTATAAAGAACCAGGTGTTGATATGGGGGAGATGGAGGAGAGGATGAGTTTTGTTTTGCAATTTCCAATTTGAGGAAGAGAGAGTAAGGTTTTTCAGTTTCAGCTATGAAGATAGCCTGTTTTTGTGGATTGGCTATTCTTGACTACATGGAACTGTTGCATAAGTGTCATCTTTTGCAATTGGTTTTAAGAGTCTGTTTTGGGCTATTAACAATTGATGTTCTGACTGCATAATATATTATATAATTTTGTAACTAGTGTATATAATATAAAGTGATTTGTTTTGGAAGTTTGCATCTTCTCGCACTTCCTCATGTCAGATGAGTTCAAATAATGTCGCCAATGCTCGCAGCTTTTTGGAGCTCGCAGAAAACATGGTCATTAACTTGAAACTTGATATGCGTGTCACAGAGACCTGTGAGCATGCCTGTGGTATATGCTTTCATCTATAACGCAAGCTTACTGGGTAACTTAATAAACCATCTCTTACAAATGGCCCTTACTTCCTCTGAGAAAGATGACTTTTAAAGCTTTACGACTTTTATGTGGTAACATGTTCTGGTGTTAATTTCTTCCCTTCTCACTTCTTCGAGTAGATGTTTCATGTCTTTTTCCTCCTTTCCTTCCACTCGTGTGGACGCTATGGATGCTGTTACTGTTTTGTGTATCTCATCCAAGTAAGCATTATTTATATACAATCTAGCTGGTTTATTCACCTGGAGGTGGAGGGGACACAATTAATTCCCTATCATGCCCTCATCTAATGTCCGCAAACATGCAACTTCCAGCTAGAAAGTGTTTTTTCTTGCACCATCTGAGTAAAAGAATCCCTCAGCAAACATAGGAATGTGGATAATGTGAACAAATGGGAGGAGTTTAGAATTGTTCAAAGCAAGGTGAAGTGGATTCGGAAAGAGTCCCGGAGAACAAGAGCATTGGAATGAGAACTCGGCCTCCGATGGAGTAGAGGAGTGAGTGAATGTTGCACGAGGGGCAAGCTGAAATCCTGTTGTCCAATTCCACGAAACGCTACAGATGGGTAAATCAGTTAGATCTGTTCCTTACAGTACACTAGCTACAGGATTAACTGCATCCTGGTCTCAGAGGGAGTTTGTGGTGTCGTGTTACAAGCAAACGTCTGCCTGGTTATGTAGGAACGTAGTGTAGCCTGTCTGTCTTGCGTGCTGGAGCGTAAAAATCCAAAGGTTGCTACCGTGTGATCTTCTGAACGTTTAGTTAGCAATTGCCCGTCATAAGCAACACCGACTTGGAAAAGTGTGCACCTGTGTGGTATTTATTTTGTTCTACTGTTAATTGGGAAAACAAAAGTGTCTCCTCAGTTAGGCTCCGAACTGATAGTGAAACTTGGACGTTGTATAGCCAGGTCCGGCCACATAAGGCTGCAGTTGTTTGGAATGCTAAGTTGGGTATGTTGTTTACAATTTTTGGGTGGGTCTTCACACACTCTGACACGCTACCCTGCGTGGAGGGCGTTATGTAAGTGCAAGTTGATGTTGTTACACGAAGGAACAGACTGTCTGATCAGACAAGTGACACATGATGGGTGGGGTTTTGAAAGCTGCTGGCAATGACAGTGGGTTAAGGGGTGGGGCGGGGTGGGGGACGGTTGCTGTATTTCTGTTCTAAAATATGTCCATTGATCCACTGCTAGTATATTGAGAGGAAAGTTAGATGTATGACTGAATGAGCAGTCATTCATCTAACTGAGTTTGGTTTTAAAGCGCAACTGTTGAGCTGTGCTGAAGTTCTGAGCATCATTTCCGCACTTGAATCAGTGGCTAAAAGTAAAAGCTTAGCGCTTTTTAATTGCTGAATACTGGCCACGCCGTGTGCTGTTTTAGTTATTATTCGAAGAGCTACTTCAGGCTACAATTATCTCTCCAGAGTCATAAGATTTCTGATTCATTGGAATGACCTGCGATCATTACATTTTGGGTGTGCCGCACTTCTGTATTGCAGGAGATGTAGGGATTAAGTGTGAAATGCGTATTCATGCTTCACTGTTGAAGGTAGCCCCACTTCAGGAATGGCCGTTGTTGGCAACTTGTATAAGAATTGCTATAGTGAATACAGGAGGCTAGCTCATTGCTAGTTGTAGAGTCGTGCTTGTAGACAGATGTTGGAAATTTTAACCACTCAGGATAAGGGAGTTAATGCCACTAATCCATGGCTAGATTAGCTTTTCCTACCCTGAATGCAGTGGACTCTTGGCTACTGTTACCTCCACAGATGCTAGTCACCCGTGAGGGCTCCACCTATGCAGCCAATTTTATGTGCCTACACAATGTTTGTGGGAGGTGGGACAGGGCAGTTAATCCTTATCTCAGTGCTACCATATACGTCTGAAGGTCTATTACTGTAACCATAGTTATGGGGACTCCCTTGCACAGCCAGCCCGTGTATTCAATTAGTGTTATGGTTGCAGTGTCAGTGGCAAACTTGTCTCCAGTGGAGGGTTTAGCGCAAGTCTTATTTCTACATCTCTCCGTGGTTTGAGCAGGATGTCCCAAACCAGCTGTGCAAGGACTGAAAATGTCCAATCACTTCCCCCCCCCTCCACATCTTTTGTGGAAATAGAGGTATATGTTCATTTCTGAAGATGATAGAATTATTAACCTTATAGCATCGTGATCGTTGCACAGTATCCTCTGTATAACGTGTTAACCACAATGTGTGACTGACGTAAGAGACGTTTCAGTTGATCTAAAACTGTGGGAGGAGAGTGCAGCTCGCTGTGTACTTCTGCTAGTTTTTAAAAAAATATTATTTCTTAATTGCTTCCTTTTTCTTTTGTGGCGTAGAGACCTGCAATTTCCTGTGATCAGACGTGTAATGATAATACTTGCCGCGTTTTATTCAGTGATACGAGGGAGGTGTATAGTTTCTGAGAAGACGCCTGAGAAAATGAAAAGGCAGCATAGGGTTCTTCCGGTCTGCCTGCTTTTGGTGTGTGTAGTATCTACTGTGGTTGTGTGTCCTGCCCACCTGTAGATTGATGTCCTGTCTCAGATTTTTTTTGTCATTCCAGGCACTCTAGCTGGTGGATGAAAGTGACTGAGGGTGCAGTTTTAAAAGCGGCACAATTGTATTTTTTGAAATAAAGTTGAAAATGTGCATCCTTTGTTGAAATCTTTCCTGTGAAACGTGATCCTGTTGTCGCTGTATCGTAAGGCTTTTGCACATATATTTGACCGACTTTTACTGATAAATCTCAACTGATTTTACTGAGTTGAAAATGTGTGTGTGTGAGTGAGTGAGAGAGAGCTTTGACTCCTCCGATGGACCTGATTCCAGCCTGATGGGCTACACAGAGCATTTCAATTTACTGAGTCGTGGAGCGCTCCGAATCTGAGTCGTAAAGCACTTTGAGATATTTCAAAGGCATCAGAAAGTGAGAATCTATACGTACTACATCAAGTGCAAGGTTTAATTGTAATATTAGAATGTGAATATTGTAACGATGAGAGAGCTGGCAGCAGTTTTAAATCCTTGTATCTTTCAGGAGCTGTCATTTTTTTTTAATTCTCTGTAAAAATAATTATTGGAAAATTGGTATGAATTGCCCTACATTTACTGGCCCCGGGATGCGCCAGTGCGTCGAAGAGTTTGGTAGATAGTGTGTACCCAATCTGGTATTTGTAATAGCAAGTGAATGAGTTGTCACGATATCGCTTTAGTAACAGAATCACGCTGGAAGAGATTTAAACCCCGAGCTGGTGCTATAACAGTGCATTACAGAGTCCTGTAGCTTACTGGTTAGACCACTCGCCTCGCAAGCGAGAGGACCTTGATTTGATTCCCAGGCAGGATGAAAAATTGGGTATGTTTCCGTACTCCACAAGCCTCTGTTTACCTAGCAGTAAATAGGAACCCGGTTGTTAATCGTTTGGCTGATCGCTTTTTGAGGGATAATAATCCCTTCCAATAATAAATCAATGAATTAAAATAATAATGTTATGGTCACTCAATCCACGGCTGTTTGTGGGACACTACTGTGCGCCGTTGGCCGCCGGATTTCACCCACTAAATACGCAGTCCATTTACTTTACAGTATATTCTGTGAAGCGCTTTGACATGTCTCCAAGATGTGATAAGGCGCTATATCAAATGCAGGGATTATTACTGTATTATTGAATTTGGTGAATTGTGGCTTGACTCAAGCCCAGCTTGTGTGCTTATTTTAAATAAGCGTACAGTAAATGTATCCACCAGCGCGTAGTTTAGTATGCCTTTTTCCCAACAACTGCTAATCTTTATCCAGATTAACTTGAAGGTTTAGATGCTAATCAATAATGTCTTTCCATATGTCGAAAGTGCAGGTACCCAAAAAAGCAAGGGTTTCGTGGGTTGGTTTCTGCAGCTAATCTGGGACGAATCCTTCAATGTAAAGATTCTATGATTTAATAATTATTTCTATAATGTGCCGGGTAAAGGCACTATTACATTCTGTACACTGACCCTGTGCCTCATTCATTGATGCAGGTAAATGGACCCGAAGGTGTCCTGCAGAACGGAGCAGTGGATGATGCAGTGGCTAAAGCGAGCCAATTGTTAGCGGAATTGAACTTCGAAGAGGATGAGGAAGATACATACTACACCAAGGACCTTCCTCTGCATGCGTGCAGGTACCAGGAATATTTTCTGTTGGTTTTATTAACAGTGCGGCAGAATCACACTGGAACTAGTGAATGCGGATCTGTGCGTCATGTTATCACTCTGAGATCCTGCCTTTCTCTCCCTCTCTCTCTTTTCATCTCTCTCTCCCCCCCCCCCCCCCCCCAGGTAATTCCAATGTCGAGAGAAGTTCATGAGTAGCAGTCAGGGTAAGAATGTGTACAGAATTGTTCCTGATGATGAGAGAATACAGCAACGTCAACAACAACATGATTACATTTGTATAGCGCCTTTCATGTCGGGAGGACGTCCCAAGGTGCTGGAGAGAGTACAGCATTTCAGACCTGAGCTGGGGTTGGGTAGGGAGGGGTGGGGCGCTGGCCGATAGCATGGTCGAAGAGAAGGGGCTTGAGGTGGGACTTGAGTGGCTGAAGGATTGTTATGCCCAGCTCCTCAGTTTGCTCAATCACAGGCTTGGTTGTAATGTGTTCTCTGAGGGTAAAGATAAACATGAAGGTCGGCCACAGATGAAAACCCTTGAGAGTAAATATATACCTCATCTTTCTTTCCTCCTTCCCAAACCATGTGACTCAAGCCGCATACCCTGTACTATACAAGTCCAATTTGTTGCAGTTCATAGATTGCTTATCCATGGTATAGCTGCATTGTAATCCATAGCATTCTGTTGGGAATTTGATCATTTAGATCTGTCATTGTGACCTTCAGTCCAGTTTGAGGCTATTCATGGAGTTTTTTTTGAACACTTTTCATTAATTATATTTATTTGGGAGACTCTTCCACATCCCTGTAATATTCTAGGGAGAGATGATTAGTTTTATTTGTTTCTTAGATTGCCTCTGTCTTGTTAACTTTGTGCTTGTCTTGTGCTATACCCTGCTCACATTATTCATTATTCATGATCTGTCATTACCAAAGTCATAGACCGTGTCTCCTCTTGATCAAATTTTTTCTGACGTTCATATTTTCTGTGAGGCTGTCTCTTTAACTCAGAATCATTCCTGCACTCCCAGTGCATTAACCGCCATTCAAAGGCACAATCACCAGAATCACACACTTGTTTTCCAGATGTGGCCTTATCCAATAAAGGTCCTTGCAAGATTAAATCACCTTTGGTACATCGGAACAGGGGAAGGCCATTCAACTCCTCAAGCCTGTTCCTCCATTCTATAAGATCATGGCTGATCTGTACCTCAACTCCAATTTCCCTTCCTTGCCCCATATCCCTTGTTACCCCTAGCTAACAAATATTTGCCCAGCTCTTTGTGGATCTATAAGTGAAGACCCTCAATATGTTCTTTGATTAAATTTGCTGACAGCTGCTTCACATTGAATAGTTTCGTTCAGTAATCTCACCCATATCTTTCTCTCATTTCCTTCTTCACCAAGCTGAGCTGCTTGTAAGAATTACTTAAAATCACATAAGTGATTAAGCTATCCTAACACTTGATGTGTATATCAATTTTATACAATTGCAGTATTGTGAAATGAAATCAAGGTCATTTATTCTCCTGAACAAAAATCCTTTGTTCTAGCTTTAAACTGTTAGTTTTAATCGCAAGGAAAAAAGGGTGATGAAATACATATTCTTTCTGTTTTGTGAAGCCATAATATTCATAAATGTTTTTGCATTGGGGAAACAAAGGCCACCTCAGTGGTGCAGCTATTTCTGGTCTCCTGAGTGGTAAAAGTTTTGTCCTGACTGTTTGTGTTTGGCTGGCCCTAAGTAATCTTGGCACTCAGATACAAGAGGTACAAGTCTTTGCAGCTCAAGATAAACCGAGTCTAAGAGCCAATCCTATGCTGGTGCCTTGCTGGCATGCCTGGCTCAGTGCTGCACTTTTTGTTCCCCACTGAACTTGCAGAGTTGCTTCACTGTCAACAAGTTAATATTTTTAAGTACAGGGGTATTTAATTTTCAAATCTATCTTCTGCACCCCCACCCACTTCACTTCCCTTCAGTAAATATCCTTAACATCTTTTCCTTTTCTCAAACTTAATGTCCAACAGACAATAACGATAGTGGCAAGGTTTGAGCTGAAACCAATTTTCCTTTGTGTTTAAGTTACTGTGGGATTCATGATCCAGCCTGCGTGGTTTACTGCAACACCAGCAAGAAATGGTTCTGTAATGGCCGTGGAAACACTTCTGGAAGGTGAGTGATTTGGTGTGTTGGTGTCTCCTGTATGAATGCTTGTCGTCTCACTCCTGCTTTTTATTGTCCATTTCCTGAATCTCTGTTCTCGTCATATCCTTGTACATTGGCAGCCTTGGTCGAGTCTGATCCCTTCCTCCCGCCCTCCCTCCCTCCCTCTCTCTAGGCAGGCTATGCCTGGCACCTCCCACAATCAGTTCAGCTGGGATCAGTACGTCATGGTTTGTCAGGTCTTGGACACAAGCCAGCATTGGTTCCTCTTGAGATACCTACAGCTTGAGATTCCACTGCTTTGTGCTGTCCTCCAGTTATCCTTCTTTCTCAAAAAAATGGAATGAATTCAATTTGATTTTATTGTTTTTACTAAATTCTCTCTTTTACTCACACACACTCTCTCTCTCTCTCTCTCTCTCACACTCTCTCTCTGTTCCAAAAGTGCTTGAGTGGTTATATAATTTAAACACAATTCATTCTGTTTTCCCCCTCCTGTTCCTGCTCTTGCAGCCATATTGTGAACCACCTGGTGAGAGCCAAGTGCAAGGAAGTGACTCTGCACAAGGATGGGCCCCTGGGGGAGACGGTCTTGGAGTGTTACAACTGCGGCTGCAGGAATGTGTTCCTATTGGGCTTCATTCCTGCCAAAGCCGATTCTGTGGTAGTTCTGCTGTGCAGGTGAGACTGACAACAATAACTTGCATTTGTATAGAGCCTTTCATGTAGGAGGATAACTTGAAGCTCTTTGCTAAGATGGATTGGGTGGGGGAGTTTGAGGGGGTAGGAGGAGGTGATGTAACAAACGGTCATTGAGGTAAGTTTTGAACGTAGTAAGATACGGTGAGAGGTGGGTGGATTTAGGGGAGAAAGTTCTAGAGAGAGCGATAATGTGGTACACAAATTGTTCCCTGACCCTTAAAGGATACTTGAAGGATGCTGCCATTTGTGCACCCGGTTTTAATACACCCGGTTATAACCTTCAAAGAGCTGCAGTGTTCTCTCTGAGAGGTCAGCCTTTCTTAGTAAGAGTAAGAGTGAATCTGTTTAAGGGCTACTAATGACATGTTGGTTAGGGAAAATGAATTTGGTTTAACAGCTACGGCTCGAGGCTGATTCAGCCAGGGCTGTTCAACAAAACCAATTTACATTTATATAGTGCCTTTCACATCGGTAGGACGTCTCAAAGCCCTTCAAGCTGAGGCGTTCTGCCATTTCCTCAATAGATGCATTGAAACATTGTCACTGCTACCTTGTCCACTCCACTCACTTTGATATGAACGGACTTGAGAGATGTTTCTGCTCCTTCCCCCCCCCTCCCCCCACCACAGACAACCCTGTGCCAGTCAGAGCAGCCTGAAGGACATCAACTGGGATAGCTCGCAATGGCAGCCGCTCATTCAGGACCGCTGTTTCTTGTCCTGGCTGGTGAAAATTCCCTCCGAGCAGGAGCAGCTAAGAGCACGTCAGATCACGGCACAACAGATCAACAAGCTGGAGGAGCTCTGGAAGGTATACAGTGGTGTGCGGGTAACCTTGTAGGTCTTTGTGCAGACATGCTCCCCAAGTGCATGGACGGTAACCAGGGCGATACTTTCTACTCTTCTAATGCTACAGCTGAGGGATTCTACATGCAATCGTAAAAGAACGTTACTAACGTTTGAAATGCAGATATGAATTGTGTAACAAAATTTGTTACCTTATTGTTCGTTTCTGTTCATTCTTTCAAGGCATGTCCTGAAAGGTTTTCGCAATTTATTTATTATGTAATAATGGGTATGATTGATTCCTTTAGACACTGATGTAATGCGCTAGTAAAGATTTTGACTGCAAACCTAACTTACGTGCAAAGTTCCTTCATTGTACTGTGGAATCCTTGAAAGTCCAGTGGACTTGCAGGAGGAATGGAGTATTTAAGTCCAAGCTACAATAATAATAATAATCCTTGCATTTGATATATATCATGTCTTTGAGACGTCTCAAATCCCTTCACAGAATATACTGTGAAGTGAATTGACTGTATATTTTGTGGGTGAAACACGGCAGCATTAATAGTTTAGACAGAATATATTTACTGTGCATTTAGTTGTTTCTAATATTCAGAATGTCTAGATTAATTAAAGCTAGAAATGCAGATATGAATATAAAACTTCTAAATAAATTGAAGGTGTTTTTTCACTGACCTCTGGCTTGCTCTGTTTGGTGCAGATAATACAATGACTGGTTGTTTTGCTAATTTCCTCATCTTCTCTATGTCGTTAGGATAATCCCTCGGCCACGCTCGAGGACCTGGAGAAGCCGGGAGTGGATGAGGAGCCACAGCATGTGCTCCTGCGCTACGAGGATGCCTACCAATATCAGAACATCTTCGGGCCGTTGGTCAAGCTGGAGGCCGACTACGACAAGAAGCTGAAGGAGTCTCAGGTATTGCGCAGAGCAAACCCAGCTGTTTGCCAGCAATTCACAGCAGTCACGCTGGCCGGCAGCAGATTCCAGCCGAGATTCCAGCGTGTTATCTGGTTCTACTCAAGGACCTCTGTATTTTATGTTTACGGAACATTTTGTAAGAGGATATATCTCCACAGGGGAAGGCTGAGTGGATTTCGGCTCAAGCTGGTTACAGCAGGGATACGAGTGGAGATATCTCGCTCTTCACCATGACGCATTGTTTTGTCCTGTAACATTTTTTTACAATTCTTAATTTTCTTTGTAATAGATTGAACATATCTCCACTTCCCAGACCAAGCTTGAAGAAGTAAAGTTCTCCTTTTTGAAAGTTCTAAGTCTCCTACAGAAGTTGTGGCTGTGTTTCCATTAATATTAGATAAGTTTCTTTTACTGTGGGCTCTTGTCTTCTTTATTTTCTCTCTCACTTAATCTCTCTCGTTCTTTCCTCAAGTTGCATTGCACCTTGAAAATTCAGAGGACCCAAGAGCTAAAGTCTTGCTTCCAAAGCCATTAGCTCTTTTCAGTGTATTTAGTTTAATTTTAATGGGGCTATGCTTACTACTTTGATCAGTTAAGTTCCTTGGAGGTAGCTATGATGATTCCCCTGAAAAACTGTTGGTAGCTCTATTGGTAGCCTGTAAGATAAACTGAACACGAGTCTCACGACACCTCAGTTTGCCCTACAGAAGGCTCAACATGTTTATCCAGTAAACTCTGCAGGCTGGCAAGGTCACAACTTTGATCTCTGCTCTGTGCTGGAGCAGGTTCTTGTGGAACTGTACCCCAGTGGAGAGGAAAGAAAGGAGACGAAGCGAGGGAGAAATTTGGAGGGCAAGATTTCCAAGTGACGGGTAGAAACGCGTGTGGGGTCTGACGCAGCACATGTGCGTTTCAGATCAAGTCGGTTGTTCTTGTCTTGTGTAAAATAAGGCAGAAGTTGATTGCCCAGTACACATGCAGAGACCCAAAATTTCTCACGGTCTTAACCTTGAGGCTGCCACCTTAATTTTAAGACCAGGCAGATCTTTGGAAGACTCTTGAATCCAATTATGATTTGGAGGCCATTTATTTTTTGTTTGTTTAAATCTTAAGACTTGAAGGCTTAAATATTAAGTCTCGATGATAAGACCATGAGGATTTGGGGTCTCTGGAGTTAAAGCCCTAACATACACTGATTGCTGTTCACTTGCCTTCAAGCCCAGGGTGTGCGTCTAGGGCTAGGGAGGACGCCAATTTCCGCCCAAGGTAACAAGGAGCCAAAGCCTGACTGACTTGTACACAGATTGCAACCAAGTCTTTTCTGATCAGTTTATTTTTTTTGTGTTTCTTGTATTGTAGACTCAGGACAACATCACTGTCAGGTGGGACCTTGGTCTGAACAAGAAGAGAATTGCCTACTTCACTCTGCCCAAGACGGACTCCGGTGAGTGGAATTGGTTTACTTTCAATTTAGACAGGGAATTGTACAGTGGGGTGGGGGGGAATCTGAAATAACTGAGCATTTAGACTCAGAGATCCTATATTAGCACTAGATTTACAATAACACCAAATTGATCATCTGTAGCCAATGCTTGACCTTTTCCACATTATCCCGGTAGTCAGTCACCTACCTGAAAGTAGACCGGAAATATAGGAACACTATAAGGAAGAAAGTTATTGTGGATTGATGTAGGTTCCTGCTGACTTCCCAATACAGCCTTCAAAGTGTGGAAAGGTGCTATATTTGGACTGTTTGTCTCCAACCAGACAGAAGATTTTGGGGAGAAATATCCCCTGACTTCCCTGCCTCTCTTGTTTTACAGACATGCGCCTGATGCAAGGGGATGAGATCTGTCTGCGCTACAAGGGCGACCTGGCTCCTCTCTGGAAGGGAATTGGCCACGTGATCAAAGTCCCCGACAGTATCCTATGCATCTGAAACCCATGTGCAGTGCACTTGTTCAGCAAAACACCAGCAGTCATTGTCTCTGTTTTCGAGCCAGTGGCGTAATTATCACCCACAAAATATAGTCAACTTTACAGTATATCTGTGAGGTGCTTCAAGGCATTTCAAAGACATGATAAGGCGCTATATCAAACGCAAGGATTATTATTATTATAGCCAAGAGGAATTGATGCCCAAATTCAGAGGTGGCTTTCCTGCATGTTTCGTGCCATGGTTGCTCACTTACCTTGGTTGCAAACACTGTTGAGGTTTGTTCGGTGAGTGGGTGCAGTCTAATACAACCTTCAAAGTGTGGAAAGGTGCTATATTTGGACTGTTTGTCTCCAACCAGACAAGATTTTAGAGAGAAGTAGCTATAATTTGCAGTTTACTGTAAACCTCATTTTAGTTTATCCATGGCAGTCCCAGTCATAGCTTGTAAGCACTCAGTGACAAGACCCAGACCTTGGTTTGCTTGTTAAACCCTCCCAGGTTATGTCACCAGTCAGTTGCTGTTTGTTTGAATGGTGGGAAGAGTGCAGCCTCTTCTCCACCCCCCCCCACCAACCCCCGAGATTTGGCTCTGTTTAACTTGACAAGTTTAACTCGTCTTTGAAGACAAGGCGCTATATCAAAAGCAGGGATTGTTATTGCAGGCCAGCAGAACTAGAAAATTCACCCACCCAAGATTGATTGAAAGGACAAATTTTAAAGCGTGTGGGTGTAGATTTTTTCTCCTAATAATTTTCTCTTGTTAAAACTACCAGGTTATGTCACCAATCAGTTGCCCACACATTGCCCACTTCTGAGTTACGAAATGCGTTGATTTCAGCAATGTTTTATGAGTTGTTTGTTTGCAGCCCCGTCTGTGTGCTGCTTAACTCTACCCTTAACCAGGCCGTGCAGACTACGGGGATGAGATTGCCATTGAACTGCGAAGCAGTGTTGGGGCACCAGTTGAGGTGACCCACAATTTCCAGGTGGACTTTGTCTGGAAATCCACTTCGTTTGACAGGTAACCTGTTCGTTTGGTGACCTTCACCTCCTTGCTGCCAGAGGGGCATTAATAACCCTTGTGGTCTGGCTCAAGCAGAGGGTTATTTAGGTTTGTATTGGTGGGGGTTGGGGTGGGTGACGTGTAGCAACAAAGGGTCATGGCATTAACGTGTTGAACTGTGATCTTTATCCAACTGGCTCTTATACACAGTTGCGTTATGAATTCAGCTTAGTAAATAGATTGAACAGGGCAATTTATACTACAGAAATTTAACAATTAGCAGTTTTAACTTTCATCATCTTAATCTGCAAAATGCCATCTTTAAATACAGACACCTGAGACAATGCAACACCCCTCTCCCCCACCACCCAGCTCTCCATTGGAGAATCAGCATAGACTGTATGAATTCAAGTCCTGACGTGGATTTGAACCCACATCCTCTGACTCAGAGGCGAGGGGGCTACCACTAATCCAAGCTGACCCGCTCTTCGGTTACAGTTTGGATTCAACCTTTTTTGCCACTTGATTCCCTTTGGAGGAGAAGCTCATCTCATTCTGACTGGCGGCTGTATAGTTTTTGAATCTGATGCTACTCTCGCGCTCTCTCTCTCTCTCTCTCTTCCCCCCAACCCTTTCAGGATGCAGAGCGCACTGAAGACCTTCGCTGTGGATGAGACCTCGGTCTCTGGGTACATTTACCACAAGCTGCTGGGCCACGAGGTGGAAGATGTGATCATCAAATGCCAGCTTCCCAAACGCTTCACGGCTCATGGTCTGCCTGACCTCAATCACTCACAGGTAACAGAACTTCACACTGTGTGGTGACATTTATCAGGAATGCCTTTTGACACATCAATATCTTTCCTTTATCACACTCGTACTTGGCCACCTGACTTCCCATCAAACCCTAGACTCAAATGAGAAAATGATTGCAGAACCAGTTAGGATGATTGATTTCAATTCCAGCAGTAAAACATTAAGAATCTTGTCTTGAAAGGCACAGGATACCCAGCCTTAAAATGGCTGTGTATTGGAATTGTAAGTCAACATATCTCACTCCTCTCCTCTGGTTGAGCCCCTCACCCCTGGTCGAGCCCCTCCAGTCTGGGTCTGCATCCTGCCCACAGCACAGAGCTGGGGCTTGTCGAGGTCACAAAGTACGTCCTCTGTGTGTGTGTGTGAGTGAGAGAGAGAGAGACCACAGCTCCCTCATCCTTCTGGAGACTCTACCTCCTCGTCCTCCTAGATGTCTCCCCCGCGTTCAACACAGTCAACCATGACATTCTCGTCCACAGTCGTCACCTGCTGCCTCTCTGAAAGCTGTCTGATCCCACAGAGTTTTATTGGAATGCTGTGAGTTCGTGCTCACCCTCCGTATCTCAAGCCTTCAATCTGTCGATTGTTCAAAACATTGAATCCGAGTTACTGAAACTGCCTGCCTCAAATCAAATCAATTCCTTTTCACTGCTTAAGTCTGTTATCCAGTGTGTCCCAATGTTGTAAATTAGTTTTATGGATGCATTTACATGTCTTTGCCACACACATACATATATATTGTATATATACACATACACACGCACACAAATATACCCCTCTCTCATTAAGATTTTGCTGCTTATGAAGTGAAATCTTTGTTGTATGCGAGTGCTCCCCGTTTGGGTATCAGCAGTTTTGAAGAGATGCCTTCTGTCTTTGGGTTTGAAGTTTGAGCCTCGGAACTTCTAGTGCAAGCTGCGTAGCGAGGCCTCTCTCTGCACAGCCCTGGCTGATACTTCATTCAGTTGCTTTGGCATCACCATGTTCTGTTACCTTCCGCTAGGTTTACGCTGTGAAGACTGTTTTGCAGCGTCCTCTCAGTCTGATTCAGGGCCCGCCCGGCACCGGCAAAACAGTTACCTCTGCGACCATTGTGTATCACCTCGCCAGGCAGGGCAATGGGTAAGTTCCAGAAGTTCCAGTTTGTGAGGGATTTGTGAGAGATTTGAGCCAAGATACTTATCGTGGGAGTAGAGACAATATACAAAGCCAGCGCTTTTGGAAAAACTTATCAGTGGAATTTTGTTATAGGAAATGGAAGCCTACTGGAAAATTGATTAGTCACGTCAATTTATTCTTTTTTAAAAAAAAAGAACTCAACATTGACTTGTCTTTGAGCAGTGAGTAGCTGAAATCCTGAAAAGAGTTTGTTCAAAGCAATCGACAAAGCTAATGTAATTTACTGCAACTTATTTTAGTGGAAGGTGCTGCTGTTTTTTACATTATTTCCCCATGGTCGAGTCTGCTTTAAAAATAACCATTAAACTTGTGTCTGATGCGCTCTTTGGTGAGCTTGTGCGGCAGCTTTGGGTGGGCCTGTACAGGGCCCTGCTTTTCTAACAGTGTGTTTGGGTGCTGTTGGGATGCTCCTGCAGGCCTGTCCTGGTGTGCGCTCCAAGTAACATCGCCGTGGATCAACTGACGGAGAAGATTCACCACACGGGGCTGAAAGTGGTCAGGCTGTGCGCCAAGAGCCGAGAGGCCATCGATTCACCAGTCTCCTTCCTGGCACTGCACAACCAGATCCGCAACATGGACAGGTAAGGAGACGGGATTGCCCTGCGAGTATGCCTGACACCACAACAACAACAAATTGCATTTACACAGCGCCTCTCACGCAGGGTAGCTTCCCAGACCGCTTGGTACACAACTCTGATGTTGTTGCTGAGGTTAGATTAGAACTGAGCATGAGGCATGGGTGTTTCTCGTGGCGGTAGTTCTTTGAATTCCTCGAGGAGAATAGATTTGTCCCATGTCATAATCCATGCATTTGGGACATCCTCCTGACGTGAAAGGCGCTATCACAAATGTCATTTTCTTGATGTAAAACAAAAACAACAACTTTGATTTCTGTAGTGCCCTCCTCCTCGCAGGATAACATCTCAGGGCACTCAAATTACACCTTGTTGAGAAGTCTCAAAGCACTTCACAGGATATATTGGAAACTGGGTGTGTCTGCATTTTGTGGGAGGTGCATTTGCTGTTCTGAACATCTGGATCCGTGTGCTGGGGGGAGGGGTCGCGTGGAGGAGTGGGGTGGGTGAAGAAGAGGCAGCATGGGGGCTGATCTCATGCTGATGATGAGACAGACTTGCCAGTATAAATTGGCCTTGTGATCAGTGATAAGAGTTGCCCATGAATTCTCCCTGCTGCCACTCCTACTACACCAGCTGTCGGTATCAAAATGAAAATCTGCTGCACAAGTTTGGCCTTCAGTTTGTCGTCCCTCTTCTGAAGATGCCTGTTTTCCTCAGAGACGCAGTGTCCTGGGGACCCTCCAGGGTCTCACCCTGAGTGGCCTGGCTCTTCGCTTTTACAGTAGTGCTTTGAGGCACCTCGAAGAGGTGACAAGGCGCTATATCAAATGCAATTAGATTAGATGATTAGATGATAGCTGCAGCAATGGTGTTCTCTGGATCAGGAGCTTCTGTGAGTGATTATAACTGTGTCAGTATCCACTCCTGCCTAATGGCCATTTGCTCTGTTTCCCAGTATGCCCGAACTGCAGAAGCTGCAGCAGCTGAAGGACGAGACCGGGGAGCTGTCGTCTGCTGATGAGAAGCGTTACCGTGCGCTCAAAAGGACAGCCGAGCGGGAGCTGCTGATGGTGAGAGATTTTCCGCTCTGTGGTTCTGTTGGATTCTCACATCTATTTCACTCTCTCTCGCTGCTTTTAACTGTTTTAAATACCAGCTACTTGGGTTTTATGATCTGTTTATCGCCGCGGCGTGGTTGAAACTGTAGTTCGTAACAGGATTCACTAATAGTGACTGAGTAGCTAAGTAGGATTCCTGATGGTAACAGGCAGTGTGTGGTTGTTACTGCGTCACTACCAACCTGCGGGTTTCCCATGTACTCGACTCAGTTATTTACCATCAGTGGAAATTGCCGCCTCCTACTTCTTCGAGGCTTACTGGTGAAGGCGAATGTTTCCAAACATGTGCTTTGGTTTTATTTCATCTGGCGTTTGTTCTTCCTTCGGCAGAACGCTGACGTGATTTGCTGTACCTGTGTGGGTGCAGGCGACCCGCGTTTGGCTAAGATGCAGTTCCGCTCCATTCTGATCGACGAGAGTACACAGGCTACGGAACCCGAATGCATGGTGCCAGTGGTGCTGGGAGCGAAACAGGTAGGCTGGATTCGGTGACACACGCACACTAGGGAAAGGAGAGAGAGAGAGAGAGAGCAATCCACTTCTCTTAAACTACACGCCTAGCATTGTATATTTTGTCTAGAAAAAGGTGTGGGACTCGGAAAAGGGCCTAGCAAATGGTTGGTTACATTTAAAACAATCTTTCAGTTAGTGTTATTTTCAACCAGGTTCTTCTGTCATATACATCACATTTGCTTCTTTCTATCGGTGAACTTCCCCATTCTGTCCCGTCTTCTCTCTAACCCTCCCTCTTGTGAAGGGCGTAGGGTCATGTGCCTTGTTAGCCACAATTAGTGATATGGGAGAAGTCTCCCACAGTTAACCAACTAAGTAAATCTACCCTATCTGCCTGACTGTTTTCCAATCATTGTTAGCATCCACCTTCCTAGCTGGTAAATGTTAGATGAAGAGCAATTCAGTATGGGAGGGGGGGAAATTAACTGACGCTGACCTGAGTGCTGTGTTTTTCCTTTGCAGCTCATCCTTGTGGGTGACCATTGCCAGCTGGGGCCAGTGGTCATGTGCAAAAAGGCCGCCAAGGCTGGTCTGTCTCAGTCGCTGTTTGAGCGCCTGGTTGTTCTGGGAATCCGGCCGATTCGCCTGCAGGTCCAGTACCGGATGCATCCGGCGCTCAGCGCCTTTCCGTCAAATATCTTTTATGAGGGATCACTGCAAAATGGCGTCACTGCGGGTAAGGATTGTCCTGGGTGATGGAAGTGGAGTTCAGCAATTATTACTTCAGTATGAAAAGCCACCTTATATATAAATGTGGAGGCACATTCATGTCCTCACCCAACATGCTTGCACCCACACACACGTCTACTGGATAAGGGTTAGGAACGACAATCTGTATAACTTTCTCCTCTTCCTCAGTATTGCCCAAGCCTCTGCGTATTTAATGCCCCAAAATGGGCAGTGAGTGGTTCTGCCAATGCATTCCTAACTTGGTCAACATAAATAAGGCATCAGTGCCAATTTGGGTACAAAAGAGATGCAACTGAACCCATTGCCTAATTGATAACACCAGCAGCGTTCAGACATTAACATTCCTACATGTGGACAATTTTTTTATTAATTAACCACTACATTTTGTTCCTTACTTGGGTTTATGTGAATGAAGCACAAGTTACTGCTTTTTTCTGATTTCCTCTGCGACTATTTCAGGATACTGATGGCAGCCGTTTCTTTTTTGTTTGTAGCGGATCGTATTAAGAAGGGTTTCGACTTCCAATGGCCGCAGCCTGACAAGCCGATGTTCTTCTATGTGACTCAGGGCCAGGAGGAGATTGCCAGCTCAGGAACTTCCTACCTGAATAGGTAACAACAATAATAATAATCCTTGCGTTTGATACATGTGCTGAGACATCTCAAAGCGCTTCACAGGTTATACTGTAAAGTGAATTGACTGTATTTGGTACGTACTGAGAGAGGTTACCTGTTTAGTCACATAGAAAAGAACAGTAATATATGTTAACATAAAAGTTTCTGAAAATGTGTGCAGCCATTTTCAACCTTAGACCCGACTCATGTTATGGAGTGTGTTGAACCATACGTCTCGTCTGAAGCTGAATGGAGTTCGCCTTTTTTATGAGGAAGAAAGCATAGTGAAACCAGACATGAGACACTATTAGCTGGGGCATTCTGACTGGGTCATGGTATCACTGTATTGAACAATAGTGAGACACGTGGACAAACTGTCCAGCTTGCTCCAAATGTCCACACTTCACTGATGGACGTGAGGCTGCAAGGGAGAAATGACAATGGAGCTTACAGCACTCGAGGCTACAATTGAGATCAAACAACTAGATAATGGAATTGACAGCATTAGCCTTGTGCCATCTTTAATGCATCTGCTGAAACTCTGCTGTGTATTGCCACAGAGGTATGATCTTATTGAAGCATTTATGACCCTAAAACACATGGATAACTGAAGTGTGATAATATTCTAAACGTGGTCAAAACATTTGCAACAGCAAGCATGGAAATAAACTCAGAAGAGGGAGGGTCAATCTAATAATAATATCTTGCATTTGATATAGCGCCTTATCATGTCGCTTAGACTCCTCACTTTGTCAATGCACTAAATATACAGTTCCCGTTGAATTACTTTACACAAAGTGATAAATGTGAACTACAGACACAGACAAATTGACTCAATAAATTCACAAGGGAATTAGACAACTATTTAGCAAAGAAATTGATTGACCACTGTAAAGGAGACAGTCCTGTTAGGATTACGTTTGTCACTTTGGGACTGGCCTCACAAACTACATTAGATTATTCTAGCCCTGTATATTCCCGTGCTCCCAAAAAGAAACCTGGAATACTATTTAGGGGTTTGGAATTTGAAAAGTTCATGGTTAGAATTTTCTGAGGTTTCGCCCTCTGTGCTTTTCAGGACTGAGGCTGCTAATGTGGAGAAGATCACCACCAAACTGTTGAAAGCTGGCGCGAAGCCAGATCAGATCGGCATCATCACTCCTTACGAAGGGCAGCGATCCTACCTGGTGCAGTACATGCAGTTCAGTGGGTCTCTGCACACTAAGCTCTACCAGGTACTAATTAAACTATCCACTCCCTCTGCTAATGAGCCAAAGGTAACCAGCGTCTTGGCTTAATTTCATTTCAGAAGTCTTAATTAAGCCTGCTGTTTTCAGCCACTACGCCCTAAAACTCAGGAACACTATCCCTCTGCCTTGCATCCTCCTTCCCCATCTTCAGGTCCCTTCTGCAGACTTCCCTCTTTGATTGTGCCTATGGTCACCTCTCCCCAGCTCGGCTTTGTGCTCCACCACTGTCGAGTGCTCTGGGACGCTGCCCTGCATGAGGGCCACTGTGTAAATGCAAGTTGTTGTTGCGGACTAATTGGGCCAAATGGCCTGTTCCCATGCTGGGTCACTCTGTAACTGTAAGTACAGTAGCCATAGGCAGATTGCCACCTTGTTGACAGCTTCGTCTTGTCACGGCATGTTGATGTTGAACGTACAATTTGGTGATGGCGTCATCAGATCAGTATCTACCAAATGAGGCGGTTCATTCACTTAACCCTTGCTATTGCAGGAGGTGGAGATTGCCAGCGTGGATGCATTCCAGGGCCGAGAGAAAGACTTCATCATCCTGTCATGTGTGCGAGCCAACGAACATCAGGGGATCGGGTTTCTCAATGACCCTCGCCGGCTGAACGTCGCCCTGACCAGAGCGAGGTATGTGCTGAATGGGCTTCAGATCAAACTCTGGAAAGATTAACATTGAATATCTGATATCCCTGGCCTCTCTGAATCGCCTTGATTCTCTGTGAGCTTTGTAACCTCTGAGTTGTGTATCTTGGAACGAGGACAGAGACGGGTCTTGGGACGTCCTCCCGACGTGAAAGGCGCTCTATAAATGGAATCTTGTTGTTGTTGTTGAATGAGCAGAGTGAGTGTATGTAGAATTACTTCTTACTGAGGGCTGATTTTTGCTGTTTATGCACTTAATGTGTGTAGATAAGCCAAGGTACAAACTTCTTTTGTCGGACCAGCTGGTTCCTCTTTCTGTTGTGACTCATCCTGCAAACTGCATAGATAGCTGAGAGCATCTGTACATCCAAATAACCTGGTAGTATTCTGTTAAACCACAAGTGAAGCACAGCATGTGAACAAGGGTAATACCTTGGTATGAGTCAGTGGCCTTGAGCTTTGGGGGGAGCGGGAGAGAAGAAAGTTTTAAAATTTCCACCAGTGGGTTCATAAAATTAATGCCATCACAACAGCAAATGCTATCTTAATAATTAGATGGAAGTTGCCATTCATTGTATGTATAAAGGGAAGTCCCATTGAAAGCACACAGAATCCCCATGTTTCCCAAATTACCAGTGAGCTGTAAATTAACCTCTTGTGGTAGTGTGTGGGCTCACAGAGGTGCAAGGGAATAGAAAGGTTGAACGAGTCAGCCTTGTATGCCTGAATGGACCTGGTGTATTTGGTGAGGAGGGACCTGGAAAAGGCGAATACGGCTGGAAGTGAAGATGGAATAATTTGGTTATTAAGGACATTTTAATTGTACCATTAGATTTTTTTTTTCTCTCTGCTTGACGACCTGCTCACATTTATTGATTGATGTGCTCTTCCAAACCTTTACCCTAGGTACGGTGTCATCATTGTGGGGAACCCGAAGGCACTGTCCAAACAGCCCCTGTGGAACCACCTCCTGAACTATTATAAGGAGCAGAAGGTGCTGGTGGAGGGGCCACTGAACAACCTGCGCGAGAGTCTGATGCAGTTCAGCAAACCCCGGAAACTGGTCAACACCATCAATCCGGTGAGCAGTCCTGCCCTGCTATTTGCTCGGAGAAATTTGTACCTTGGCTTATCTATCCTGGCATGAATCTACTCCTTGTGATTCTGTCGAATCGCCTCGTTATCACTTTCTATCATATGTGATCTCATACTAATAAGCTGTACACTTGTCCGGCAGGGCAATAGCCTGTCCACATCACTGTGTATGTACTGTCTGTGTTTCAGGGTGCCCGGTTCATGACCACGGCTATGTACGACGCACGGGAAGCCATCATCCCAGGATCTGTGTACGACCGAAGCGGACAGGGTGAGGTTTCAAGTCACAAGCATCAGAGTTCTGACCGTTAGGTTACCCTGCACTGTCACTGCTGAAACAATGCAGCTGTGAAACCCGAGGTCTCCATTAACCAGACGGCGCTTTCCTCTTTTCAAATATTGATTTTTCTGAAAGAGCCTGAGAGCAATGACCAGTGTTTGGGAGTGGGGGTGGGGGGGGACTGACTTGAACACGGATTGAGGCCAAAGCTCATTCAAAGCTGTTTCAAAAGGAACATGTTAGAAAGCAGAAGGGTGTAAATTTGGATGTAAATTGTAGGGTTTAGACGTTGCAGTGTTTGTACGTCTGAATATATTTATTCATATGTTCCATATTTGGAGTTTATTTATGTCTTCTGTTGGGGGGGTGTTTGGAATCATTGGGGTTTTTTTTCTTTCTTTCCCCATCCCCCNAAAAAATCCAGTCACTCAATCCACAACTGTTTGTGGGACACTGCTGTGCACAATTGGCTGTTCTGTTTGTCCCACAAAATCAACACGTTACAGTGAAGCGCATTGAGATATCTCAACAACGTGATAAGGCGCTGTATCAAATGCAAGGATTATCATTATTATTATTTACCTATTGTCTGTCCTCTTTCGCAGGCCGTCCCTCCAACATGTATTTCCAAACCCACGACCAGATTGGGATGATCGGAGCCGGCCCCAGCCACATCGCAGCGATGAACATCCCAATCCCTTTCAATCTGATGATGCCCCCAATGCCACCTCCAGGGTACTTTGGGCAGGCCAATGGGCCAACAGCAGGTGAGAGCGGGTCAGAAACCCATCACAAAGTTAATTAATGTATAAGGGGGCGCTGGATAATGGGGGTTCTGCTGTCCTTTGAAAGTGCTTCAAGACCTTTTATAGGAAAGATTTTATATAAATATTAGTTGTCTATCCGGTTGTCTATGGTTTGGCAAGTTTAGTATAAATATGCTATTCACCACACGTTGGAGAGTGTAACCAGGGGAAACTAGGGGAACTAAAAAAAAAAATTCAGGAGGAACATCTTCACGCAAGAGGGCTGTGAGAATGTGGAACTCTGCCTGAAGCGGTGATTTAAGCAGATATTATGGTCTCATTTAAGAGGAAGCTAGATCTACAGATGAGGGAGAAGGGTATGGAGAGGGAATAAGGAATGGGTGGATAGTTTTGTGGTGTATAAATGCGGCACAAACTGGTTGGGCCGTGTGGTCTGTTTCCGTGCTGTACAGTCTATTAGATAAATCTATGTAAATTGAATGGTAACAGCAACGGATTACACTTGTATCGCGTTTTTCACGGCAGTAGGACGTCCCAAGGTGTTGGACAGTCAGGGATCCACATCCGAGCTGGTGGTTGGGATCAGGAGAAGTGGAGGGTAGGGGTAGGAGGCTGCAGTTAAACAGACAGAATTTAAGGGTGTACTCGAGCTGACAAAAGGGTCAGATTGACGGCCCTTGTCTTGTCTGTAGGTCGCGGCCTGGCTAAAGGGAAAGCAGGTCGCGGTGGTCGTCAGCGGAATCGAGGCATGGGCAACCAGCAGAACAACCCGTCCAACCTCCACAACAGCCAGGCCAGCCAGGATGTGGTGTCCCAGCCTTTCTCTCAGGGCCCCCTGACCCAGGGCTACATCTCCATGAGTCAGCCCTCACAGATGAGCCAGCCAGGCCTCTCTCAGCCGGAACTCTCGCAGGTAAAACCTGTTGTGCTAAAACCATGTACCAAAGCGGTAAAGATCTGGGTTTTGCATTTCCAGGCAACGTGACTTTGGTGGGGTTGACAGTTAGCTCGGTACACTGGCTTCATGATGATGTGCTTTTAGGTAGGAAAAGGCCATCTATTTTCTGAAAGGATTCCTTCAGATATCTAACTCTTCCATAATAATCCCCAAATAATTTTGTCATTCAATCCACGACTGTTTGTGGGACACTGGTGCGTGCAATTGGCTGCCACATTTTGCCCACAAAATACACGGTCAATCCGCTTTACAATATATTTAGTGACGTGCTGTAAAACTTCTCAACGACGTGATACAGGGCTATATGATATGCAAGGATTATTATTATTATTATTACCCAAAGCAATAAATCTTTGCAACCTCCTGGAACTTGGCCAGTTCACTGTTTCAAACCCTTTATAGTTTCCTTCTCCCACTTGAACAATAGATTAATTTTTTTCCGTATGACGTGTTTGGAGCTGATGTGGCTGAAGGGGTAGCATGTATCTAATGTAGCTCACTAATGCGTTGAGATGGCTTTTAATTCAGTTTGTTCTCCTAATTACAGGACAGTTACCTGGGCGACGAGTTCAAGTCTCAGATAGACGTGGCTCTGTCACAGGACTCGACTTACCAGGGGGAGCGTGCATATCAACATGGCGGAGTGACTGGGCTGTCACAGTACTAGAGTGTGAGGCACATGTTTTCTTCTCGTTGTTGCGTTTCTACGGTTGTTCTCCTCGGAGATGCCCAGTTTCTAACAGCAGCTCGCCCGAGTGTGTAGTGTTGATTACACATCCATTTTACGGGACGCTGCTGCTCGCAATTGGCTGCCGAGTTTCGCCCACAAAATAGTCAATTCACTTTACTGTGCTCTGAAGCACTTTTGAGATGCCTCGAAGACATGATAAGGCGTTGTATTAAATGCAAGGATAATTATTATTATCCCGTGAAGTGTTGTAAGATGTCTCGATGATGTTATAAGGTGCTGTTGAGTGACCCACTTTCTGTGTTTTTTTTGCACAGGTTAAAGTGAAGAGAGCTAGGCTTGAGCCGAGCTTAGTTCAACAGTAATTCAATCTGGGGAAAAAAACAAAAATGGATACCTGTTTCCAACTGCGACAACTGAAGCACCACTGTGTGAGAGCAACAGGAGAGCGAGAGAGAAAGAGAGAGAGTAAGAGAAACCAAACGAAAGGAAGAGAAGAGAAAAGAGGGGGAGAGAGAGAGAGAGATAAAGAAAAGGAGAGAGAGAGAAAGAGAGAGAGAGAGAGCGAGACCACTGCTAGCAGATTGAGACGAGGAGATTGACTGGAGGAGCGAAGAAAATAAAAAGAGCACTTGTGTGCCTTGTCAGCGAGGCGAGCGAGACCTGGGTCTCACACATCTACTAAACTATTCCTGTTACCATCCAACTAGCCCTTGGAGAGAATGCAATAGGACTGCTGAGTCCCTCCCTGCTCCCACCTTGTCGAAGGAGGAGGAGGAGGGGCTCACTGCTCGACCAACAGTCACCTGCTACATCCTATCGTCTGTTTCTTGTTAGGAGGAAAAAAGGGGATGTTCTTAGTGTGTGAATAAATAAAAAAAACAAGGAAAAGCTTATCTCACAGTTGTTCTCTTTGGACGCTACATTTAGCGATTTTTTTTTTTAAAACGCTGTAAATCCGAGCAGTTAAGTAAGTCGTCACCGTCGAGAAGCGAAGATTTGTTTCCTTGTTCTATTCCAAAAAAAAGACCGAGAGAGAAAGCAAGAGAGAGCCAGTTGACACAAGACCTGCCTTCCAGCCTCCTGTTCATTCAATCTGTTCCAAGGTCGTGAGTTCAACTCTGAGATGCAGGTTTTCCGCTCTCCCACCAATCCCTCCCCACCCATCCCTCCAACGCCCCACTGCCTCTCCCCTATCATCTCACGTCGATTTTCTCCCCAGATCTTTCACAAGTAGCTGATTTTAATGTGTCTTCAAAATCGGGCGGGTGGGGGGGAAGGGGGTATCGCGCCAAAAGTAACTGTGGACTTGCTTGTCAGTCGCCGAGATGGTAGTGGCTGTTTTGGGAGGTGAATGTGCTTTCGGGCGCGGGTGTGCCGATTTTTACAATTTTTTTTAAAAAAACAAAATTTTCCGCGGAAATCCAGCGGGAAAGTTCTAGTCTGTAAATGCAAGTTGTTTCGGGCCATTTGGTCAACCTATTTTTTTTCCCCTTCCAACCCTTCCCCACCCCTCCCACCCAGTCCCTTATTTTCCAGACAAAATGGGAAGAGTAATAACTCTATTGTAAAAGTACTGGTACACGGAAGAAAGAGGGTGTTTGAACCTGCTCATCTGCTAATGTCGATTTTTGTTTTCTTCTGTATATGTATAAGTGTGGAAACGACGAAAAAACTGGTTCCTGCGTGGAGTCTCGTCTTAAGCTAAGCGAGAGAGCTGAGAAACCGAGCTTGTGGCTGCCATTCGGCTCATTCCAAGCCCCGGGCTCCGCAGAGAGATAAGTGCAGGGGAGAGAACAGGTCAAACCAGGAGTGTGGGAACGTTAGACGCTCTCTCTCCGTGTACTAAGCCCAGAGACAGGTCAGTATTCAGCAAGGCAAAGGGTGGCCCTGACTCGGGCAGTTGATGAGGATAGTGGAAAGGAGGGAAAAATCACATTTTGTTTTAAAATCGGGTGGGGAAAAAACTTACAAAAAAAAACTGAACTTTATGGGGTAGACAGATGGGTGGGGGCTAGTCGCACAGTTTAGCAGGGAGTTGCATTTTAGTGCAGTGTTGAGCGGTAGGGCAGTGTTGAGGGGTGTATATCACATGGGGAGGGAGAAAGTGATGGTGTATTTAAAAGGCTACGAGCAGACTTAATTTGAGGAGTGGTGGGAGAATCTGCAGCTAATGGTGTACTTCGAGAGAGAGGAGCCAGTCAGATCGTACAACCAGCGCTATCCAACATCGCAGTCAATCGCATATGATGGGTAAGGTGCTTTTGTTATTGGGCTTTGTTCGAAGGCTGAATCGTGAAATCGTTTTTGAAAAATTGCTGACGTGTTTAATGATTAATTTCTGTGAGTGAGATGTTTGTACAGTGTTTATTACTGAAATGTTTTCAATTGGAGCCATTGCAAAGCTTTGTCTTCGGTGCTGTGTGGGAGACACCCTCTAGCTGGGCCCTGATGGTTGACTTTGGCAGATGCCTTGACCCCTGGGCCACTTGAGTTAAATGATCGACGGGAACATTTGATCTTACGTGGCAAAGAAAATAGTGACTGAAAACACCAGCCAAACGCAACCACTGACTTTCTGATAGATGGTGCGTGTGTATACACGGGCGATGGAAGAAACCCAGCAGAATACATGGATGATTACAGTTGCCTCTTGGATATGACTGACAGTTGTCAACGTGAACACTGGATACTGAAGGCTGTGGGGGGTGTAATCCTAACTAGACACTAGAATGAGTCTTAAGTCAAGTGAGCATGTCGTGTCTTCCACTGGCGATGCTGTGGATGAGCCAAACTGGGTGAGCAGCAACAACCTTTTCCCCTTGTGCTTTGGCAAGTATTCCCATCCCACAACATCTGTAGCTCCCCGTGCACATTCAAAACAAAGAAAATCCTCCTGCCGATCCAGTACAGAAAGGCAAAGTGCCAGTAGCCAGCTCGATGGGGTCAGAATTCCGTGTGTGCTCTCGTGCTTCCCGAGGTTAAACCTTCGCTATCTAGGCTGCCTGGACACCACCACCTTTGGCTTCAGGCGACCAATTCAACCTCAACACCAAAACTCGCAGCTTTCGAATACACGAGTGTTACAACCCAATTTTAAATTCTTGCCCCTCGTCTACAGTGAAAATACGCAGTTGAGGGCAGTCGATAGACTGACTTATTTTACCCTCAGCCCGTTTGGGATTTTGAGAAGACAGATAACAGTGGCCTGAATAACGAATTGCCCTCAGTATTGAGGTTCCCAAAGGTGGGGGGGGCACTGAAAATGTTGGGGTGCAGGGTCCTTCAATACACCGGAGCTGCACAGTAGTAATTACGGGCTTGTCTCTTTACCTCCCCCCCCCACAAAAAAATTAAGATCAAACAAATTATTTTGTGTAACCCACCCCCTCAAATCACTTGTTTCCAAAGGTATAACTATTAAACAAGTTAGATTGTCTCTTGCTGAGTATGTTTGGCCCACACTGTGTGTGTGTGTATATATGCATGCACAGGCAACTGAGCCAGGTCCTGCACCCCTCCCACAAAAATACTGGTGTGTTTGTAAGCACCAACTGGCACACCCATCCTGCTGGTAAGAGGGTCGAGAGGGACAGCTGCTGTGGAATAGGGACGACGGACAGACGCAAAGGTAGCCTATCCTCCTGTCAAGTGGTCGAGATGTTTTATTGCACAGGGTTTGGCTGAAAGGGCTTCTCGTTTTAGGAAAACTGGTTTGTGATTTTCTTTTTGGTTTTGCTTTTCGGCTTCCTGGCAAAATCATTTCATAGTTGTGTGTAGGCTTTTTGGTAGATGATAATCGATTTTATAGACCCCCCCCCCCCCATCAAATGTAGTGACCCTTAACTCACTCCACCAACCCCACCCCACTTTCCCTGGATGGCTTTTTTTGCTTACAGCTGTTTAGTTTCTTTTCTTGCGTGGCAGGGAGTGGAGTTACGATTTTTTTTTAAAAAAACTCCACGACAACTGGTTTTGTATCCGTTGAGTGGGGAAAAGAACCTTTTCTGAAGAACATCTCTGAATTGTTTTATTTTCAACCTATTTGTCTGCTGTAACGTATATCATTAATAAAAATTAGCTCTGGCATCAAACAAGGGCATTCATTGTCTGTCTTTTATTTTGCTAGATGTTAGGGTATCCAGATTATGATTTGACAGGTACTTACGCACACAAATCAACCACGTGGTACTGTATCAGGTGAAATCCTTAAGTCATTTCAAGTGAGTGGGACTAAGCTCGCTTGAGATGCTTTTCTAAGTCGAATATCCTGTCAATCAATGCTCAATACTCCAATGGTCTAGTGAGGTATTGAAACCTTACCCTTTAACAGGAGTCAACCACTTCAGAGGAAAAGTTTTGCCAACTAGAAAAAAAAGTCAATTCACTTTACACTTTATTCTGTGAAGCACTTTGAGCCGTCTCGAAGACGTGATAAGGCGTTGTGTCAAATGCAAGGATTATTAAAAGACTGGTATCTGAGCCACAAACTGCCCAATAGCAACTCTGCAATAGCTGAGTTGCAGAATAAAAAGCAGTCGCTCTTAAGAAATATACACTGATTGTGTGTCATACACAGAGTGGCTGCTGCATATGTTCAGGACTAGAATCCATTGGGTGTGAGGTACAATCAGCTCAAGTCACCGAAAGAAGTCTTAGATCCTTGTTTTTTCAGATGGGAATTAATGTTTTGAAAAGGTTTGAGTTCATCAAGAAGGGCCCAGCGATGAGTCTGTCCTGAGTTCCCGGTAACCTGCCCCCAGTTGGCAGCTCATTCTCCTTTGGCAGCCTCTTTCTCTTTCCTCCTTCGCTTCAGCAATTTGTGCTTCAGCTGAGCTTCCTTCTGCTTCTCCAATGTCTCCTGAATCCGCTCTTTGAACTTCCGTTTCTCTTTCTTAATTTTAGCCAGTTCGCTTTTCCGTTTCTCCTCCAGGTCTGGATCCTTTTTTTTTTTCGTGGGCAAAAAAGAAGAGAGCCGAGAGAATTCATTACAAAATAATCCATTTCAGCTTTCGCAACAGCATCTCTACCTCTCTGATCTGCTTAACCTCCACTCCCCCGACCCCGCTGCCCGCGCTCGACTGGCTTCGGCTTCCCGCGCGTCCCCTCGTGCTCCCCGGTCCACCACGGATGGCCACGCTCTCGGCTCTGGAAGAACTCTGGAACTCTCTTCCTCTACCTCTCGTCCTTGCCCCTTCCTTGCCCAGCATCGTGCTCTGCCACTGTCGTGGGCTCTGGGACGCATGAGGGGCAAGTTGTTGTCGTAGCGCATGTAACACTGAAGTACAGTCTGGTAGGATATGTTCCGCGCTGCAGTGACACGTTCCGGCCATTGGAGGCAGTGTTCCTATTTACTTAACTCGAAGGGCGCCCCTAGTGGCATGATAGGGGAATTACAGGCTCCACCTGTGGCCACTGCGCGTGGCCGCCAACCGGTAGCCACAAAGCCACAGTCTGGCAATGCACCAACGTGTTCCTCTGATAGTTTGCCGTCTCCTACCTTCCCTTCCAGAATCATCTGTTTCTTTTTGTTAATCTCCTTCTTTTCATCGAAATCGGTCGATTCAAGTTCCTGCGAATCCCACCCCCGAAAAAAAACAACATCAGGCAAACAATTACGTACCTACGTACGTTAAACAACTCCCCCACCGGCCAGAGTTAGTTTCTCGGTTTTTAACAGCATTAGAAAGTGAGCAAAATACATCCGACACATTGAAATCCCACCAGAGGAGAGAAACCGCAGGGAATGGGTGAAGAGGCATAGTCACCCACCTTGTTGCACACAAGTACTATTCTCTTCCACCACCACCCCTCCGGACATTAAGTAAAGACAGGATCAGGGTGTGTAACTCTGACTTATTCCAGACTCCTAGTTTAGAATGGCGTCTGAGAAGACCCCCCCCCCACCACCACCACCGCCCCCTCCCAAATCCCTGTCCTGCACGATTTAAACTCTCCAGTAAAAACGGTTCAGTGTTTTCCCAGCCCCCTGATCTTGTTTCCGCCGCAATTAAACGTACTCACAATCTCACATTCTCGCCGTGTGACGTTCACGTGAGTGAGGATACGCAGCACTTCCTTCTCATCCGCGGGATAATCCTTCAGTTTGGATTCTGTTGAGGCAGTGACACAAACGTCAGATTTACATTGAGATCAGGAGCCGTTGCTTGGAGATTATGTTGAGTCTGTCACCGTGCTACTTACTGATTTCTTCCTCAATGGCGTGAAGCAGGTGGATGTCGTACTGTGTCACCAGAGTGATGGAAATGCCATGACGACCTGAGGGAGGAAACCGTTTGTGCGTAACGTATCAAGGAACCAGTGAAAGAGCAACAAATACCCCGAGGAGGTAAGTCTACGGAGCGAGAGGCAGTGTGCAGCAACTATTCGCCAACAAAGCTCTTCTCACGACCCTCTTCTTTGATCTGGCCTTTGGTCATCCTCCAAACCCCACCCCGATCCCAACCCCCAGCTCGCATGAAACTCCTTGACTGCCCAGGGCCTTGGGACGTCCTCCCGATGTGTAAATGTATGTGTTGCTGTTGGGTTGTTGTGCCGAGAGCTGCCTCAAAGCAGTGGAAAAATGTAGCACATGGATAACGACCCAAGCAGTGACCAGACGCTCTCCGTACCTGCTCGTGCAGTCCGGCCCACGCGGTGGATGTAGATTTTGGGCAGGCCTGGCGTGTTGTGATTGATAACCATCTGGACTGTGGGGATGTCGAGACCGCTGTAGAGAGAGAGAGAGACTTAAAGACTGAATTCACAACAGGTAACAAGGCAAGGATTCAGCTCAGACGACAAACACCAGAACTGTGAGTATTTTCATATCTCCCTCTTCTCCCCCACCCCCACATCTCGGCCCAGAGTACACCAAGGCTACCATTTACATGTTGTGCAAATAGTCTAGAACGTTCCGTACCGAGCGGCCACATCCGTGGCGACGAGGATCTTGAAGACGCTGGATTTGAACTTGGCAAGAGCAGCGAACCTCTGCTTCTGTACAAGAGGGAAAAAGAACAGGCGTCAATCAATCTCCCTTCCTGAGAGCTATCCAACGAGTCCTGATGGGAAGGAAGCACCTGTGTGGGTAGGCCTGGGCTCCAGCAATGTGACATCTCCCTGCCTGGGGCTCACGTAAGGACATTCAGACCATGCACGATAAAGGATCCACAAACTACTAACAGTGCCCACATCTCTTCCTCCCACCCCTTCTCCCCATTCCAATAAGCTCTTCCCCCACTTGAGTTCAAACCAGCCCTGACCTGTTGCATCATTGAGTGCAGAGCCACACAGGGAAATCTGAATTTCCGCAGCATCATGTTCAGAACCTGGCACATTCTGCAAAACAGGAAATAACGAGAAGTGGGTCAGTGTTGGTTAACGGCTGATTCCACCAGCCACCCTCTAATTGTAAAGTACGTCTAGATTACCACCCCCTCCACTTCCACTGCACTCACTTGCACGTGTTGGTGAAGATCATGATGGACCAATCCTCATGTTCATCCTGAGTCTTCTGGATCAAGTGAACAAGATAAGCTTCCTTCATTCGCTCTGGGATCAGAAGATAGCGTTGCTCCAGCTCATCTACTGTGCGAACTCTACAGAGAGAGAGAGAGACACATACACACACGCACAGTAAGAGAGGTCAGTAACACGGTTCAGTACAACATGTCCTAACTGACCTATGAGCGCTCGATGCTGCTCTGAGGTGCTCAATGTGTAAAACTGCTCCATGTGCACCCAATCAATAGCCGCTAATAACAAGACCATTCAGTTCAGCATCACCAGGGGTTCCTTACTCAGACTTGGACTCCCAGAAGAATGGACGGTTCATCGCAATCTTCTTCAGCTCCTGGAGCGTGTCCGTCAGTGTGGCACTGAAGAGCAGTGTCTGCCGTTTGGCAGGGATGGCGCCCAGGATGACCTCCAGGTCCTTGGTGAAGTCGGTGCAGCCTTGCTCCAGCAGCCGGTCAGCTTCGTCCAAAACCTAGGACACAGATCACCTATTAACCCCGAGCGAGGAAGCCAGGACCGCCATCCGTACTCACTGAGCCATCAAAGCAAAATCCACTACAGTTTGGCGCAACTTCACAATCTCTGGAACTAAAACACTTTGTGGCATCACAGATCAACCTTCGAAATATTCAGTCCATTAATGTAACAGCGGAATGTTTTTGCCACGAGAGGGCGGTGGTGAGTTTGGGAAAACCCCTCTTAATAATAATAATAATAATATTAATCCTTGCATTGGATACATAGCTTCTTATCACGCCGTTGAGACGTCCCAAATCGCTTCACAAAATATACAGTGACTGTATTTTGTGGGTGAAACGCGGCAGCCAATTAATGGTAAGAAACGGGTACTGCAAGGTTCTCCACAGTCACTTCCGACCTCTTTCCTGCCGTTCCTCCGTTCTCCCGCACTCCGCAAAGAAACCAGACTGCCAGCAGCTTCTGAACCTGAAGCGTGTGACAACGTACACACGGAGAGTTGGCGCCTTAAAATGATCCCATTCCAATAGAATCATTTTTTTTGTGTAAAAAATAAAACCCTCCGGCTTACCAGAAATTTAATTTTCTTCAAGTTGAAAGTGTTGGAGCTCTTCAGGTGGTCGGCCAGTCGGCCTGGAGTTGCTATGACGACGTGAGGTTTTCTGGAGAGCTCCAGGGCCTGTTTCACCATGTCTGGAGGGGGGGGGAAGCAGAGAAGAGAAGCCACAAGGTAAGACTTTAGTGTCAGTGCAACTGCCAGAGCCCAGCTGGTCCCTGAATCCCCTGATCAACACGTACCCATTCTCCCGACGATCATGCAATCCTTCAAACCAATTGGCTTCCCCAGGACTTGGAACTGCTCGGCTATCTGAGAAGCCAACTCCCTGCCGCCACAAGCAAAGAGAAAAGAGTTCTTAATTCTGGTAAAATGCTGATGCGTCACTTGTACAAGTTAACCGAGCCTCTGATACCTTCCCTTGTAAAGAGCAAAACAAACTGGTTCTCAACTGACAACAACAACAATAATAATCCTTGCAATTTGATGCGGCGCTTTCCCACCCGTTTCGAGACGTCTCCGAGCACTTCGCGGAATATACTGTAAAGTGGATTGACTGCGTATTTTGTGGGCGAAACTCGCGGAGGCGCCAGACGGGTGGGGAAGCGTGGGAAGAACCAAGCCTTGCACGTGTAAAGCTCCCACGCGGAGCGAGTGGAAGGGGCGCCCGGCCGCCAACTCTTTCACCTCCTCTCACGGAGCGTTTATATTCACCTGGTTGGCGACAGCACCAGGCAGAAGATCCCATACGGGTCCTCGGAGAGTTTCTGAAGGATCGGAAGCACGAACGCTGCTGTTTTTCCACTGCCCGTCTTGGCACAGCCCATGCAGTCTTGCCCTGAGAAGGTGGGGGGGAGAGAGGAAAGAAGAGGCGGATGTCGGAACCTGGCAACCACCTCGACGGACCCTTTTTCACACCAGACGGGGCACGGCCGGCAAAGGCAGACCCTCTCACCCGAGCCTCGCGAGACTCGGCGGATAAATCAGCAACCGGGCAGTCCGGAGCGCGGGGGGAGTCGCGGGGGGAGTCGGGGCCCTCCGGTGTCCTCCCCGCCTCGTACTCCCTTCGGCTGATGTCGCGTCGACGCCACCAATCCAAGGGGCAGCGACGGGTCCTCAGAAACCCGCAGACCACCACCACCCCCCCCACACCCCCCCCTCTACACTCACCACACCCCCCCCCCACACCCACACCACCCCCTCCCACACCCCCCCTCTACACTCACACCACCCCCCACACCCACACCACCCCCCCCACACCACCCCCCACACCCACCACACCACCTCCCCCCACACCCCCCCCACACCACTCCCTCTACACCCACCACACCACCCCCTCACCCCCACCCACCCACCGCTGTGAGGGCAGCAGTTGAGGGCCACAACTGGCCTCAGTGACCCTGGGGTTTGGGGGTGGTGTTGGTGTGTGGGTGTGGGTGTGTGGTGGGGGGGACAACATCTGGGCCCCCAACACCAGTGGCAGCCACTGTCGAGGGGCCCCAGAGAGACACGTGTCCCCGGGAGGGGAGAGAGAGGGGGGAACGGTGTGCCCAGGCCTCAGGCCTCGGGCCTCGGCCCTCACCTCGCAGGATGGCCGGGATACAGTGCTCCTGAACCGGCGTCGGCTCCTTGATGCCCAGCTGCCGGCTCTGCTGGATCAGCCAGTCCCTGATCCCGAGCTCCTGGAACCCCGTCCCCGACGCGGCCGCCATCTCAACCCGGAGGGCGCCGCCGCCGCCGCCGTGTGTGCGCGCGCGCGCGCGTGTGCGTCAGACAGCGTCACTCACTCCCGCGACGCCAACGCGACGTCGTTACGTCTTTCCAGCCCGAACCCCATCGTTCCGCCATCTTTGATGCTGGCAAAACAGATCCCAGCTCTTTTTTTAAAAAAAAACCGATCCACCGGCAGCGCGTTAGAGATTAGGTCGGTGAAGCTTTGACGGCTCGACTCCCGCCCCCACCCCCTCTCCCTCCCTCCCTCCGGCTCCGTTGTTTGGCCCCTTACGAGGCACCGCAAATGCACGGCGGCACCGGCGATTTGCGCCGCCACGTTTGATGCTGGCAGCCGTGTCGCCATGTTTGATGCTGGCGACCGCGCCGCCATGTTTGATCCTGGCAGTCGCCGGACACCGCCCCCTGGAGGCGAGCTCTGGGGCAGCATCTGCTTAAATGTGCATCTGCCTGGTGTCACTTATCTACTGGGATTGCTGCAGTTATTTTGGTTTGGATGGGGGTGGGTAGAAGGGGCGAGGTGATCAGGAACTGGATAGTTTTGTCGATCTTTAGGGATCTCCGTGTGGGATTTTCTCGCCCCGGGTAAAAAAGTTAATAACAATAATAATCCTTGCATTTGATTCAGCGCCTTGTGGCACAGCTCTCTGCCGTACGTCGCTGCCAAGGGTAATGTTTGTATCTTTGGGCAGGCAGCCAAATTGCCCACAGCAAGGTCCGACCCACAGCCACGAAATGATTTGTTTAATCTGCCTCAGCGTTGGACAACACTCCGCCAACAGTTCGGTGCAGTAACTTTTTAACATTTTTTGGTCGACCGTAGGGTGTCCTACGCCGGCAGAGACATCCTTGAGTTTGCTCCGTGTTTATAATGATAATCCCTGCATTTCATATAGCGCCTTATCACGTCTTCAAGACATCTCAAAGCGCTTCACAGAATATACTGCAAAGACTGGGTATTTTGTGGCCGAAATACTTCCCTTATGTTCTTAATATTCTAGACATTTATAAACATTCCTGTGTTGTTCCTCCCAAATGTTACTCTTCCCTGATACGCTCCTAACTCATTGCTCTCGCCCACTCTATACATAGAACAGCTGCACGACTTTCCGAGACATATGTTGGGACTAACACTCCAGTGTTGTGTTGCTGGAGGTGTCGTCCTTCGGATGAGACGTTAAACCGAGGTCGACTTCTGTTGTTTTGTGCGATGGCGGTAAAACATTGTGTGAAGAGCTTCGAGCAGTAAAATCCCGTGAAGAGCTTTGAGACTTCTTGCCGGCGTTGCGAGGCGCTGGACGGAACGCGAGGCTCACTCCTGCAGAATTCCCTCTTTCCCGGATCCTTGAGGCTAATTGCGATGGCGCTCCGGTTAATTGGATGCAACTAAATTGCAGCGTCGCCGAGAAATAAGGGAGTGCCACAGACTCTAACCCCCTCTGTGTTGTGTGCGGATGTCGTTGACTCCCTCTCTCTCTCTCTCTCTCAAGTCTTTTCTTTTTCTCTCCCTCTCTCTCACATTCACTCCATCCCTCTTTATCTCTGTGTGGTCCTTCTCTTAGTTGGACCCTCATTCCCTCCCCTCCACTCTGAGTGACTACTCAACACATATGGTCCCTCCATCACTCTCTCCCCCCCCCACACACCCACACTCCCAACCCCCCCCCCACACACACCCCCACCCCCCCACACACACCCCCACCCCCCCCCACACACCCCAACCCCCTCCACACACCCACACTCCCAACCCCCCCCACACACACCCCCACCCCCCCCCCACACACCCCAACCCCCCTCCACACACCCACACTCCCAACCCCCCCCACACACACCCCCACCCCCCCCACACACACACCCCAACCCACACACACACCCCAACCCCCCCCACACACACCCCCCACACCCCCCTCAGACAGTGCCGGTGTGGCCCCACCAGACGGCAGCACCGAGTCCCAGTCGCTGAGCTCCAGTACCGTTAGTTAGTTACATTGTGTACCAAAGAAGCGGAGACAACGGGGGGCGAATAAAAAGGCTACCGGTCGCCCCCGGAGCGCCCAATGCAGGGAGTCAGCGGCGGAGGGTGGGACCCCGACCCCAACCCCGACCCCAACCCCGACCCCGACCCCGACCCCAGCCCCGCCGGGGAGGCGGGGGGAGCGGGGGGGGCAGTCCCGGGCGATTCCAGCCAAGTCCGGGAGCAACAGCAACAACAACAACAGCAGCAGCACAGGGACTCGGGGCAGAAACGGAGAGACCCCGAGCGCCGGGACTCCAGGAAGAGGAGAGAGCGAAAGAGGATCGTGGACAGAAAGATGGGGTGAGTGTGCGAGTAAATGGGGGGGAGAGGGAGGGGGAGAGGGGGAGAGGGGGGGGGGGAGAGGGGGGGGAGAGAGGGGGGAGAGGGGATAAGCGAGAAAGTCTGAGGGATTGGGGATTAGGGGTTGGGGTTGAGGGGTTGAGGAGGGGGAGAGGTGGTGATGGATGAGGGGAAAAGGGGGGAAAGGGGTAGAGAAATGGGTTAGAGAAGGATCGGGGGGGGTGGGGGGTGAGGGAGGGTGAGAGGGGGAAAGAAATGGAAATGGTGGAAAGGGGGGAATGGGAATGGGAATGGGAAGGGCGGAGGTGAAAAGGGAAAATTGAGAGGAGAGAAAAGGGACAGAAAAGAGAGCGGTTTTGTTTTGTGGAATGAAAGAAAGTATCGTTTAGACTGAGACTGAATGAAATCCTGTGACCAAATGCCTTCCCCTCCAATCTGTGGCACTGACTCTGGTTATCTCTCTCTCTCTCTCTATCAGTTCTGAGTCTACATGTGTTTTTGTTGTGTGAGTGTGAGAGTGAGTGTGTTTTTGTGTGAGAGTGAGTGTGAGAGTGAGTGTTTGTGTGTGAGTGTGAGAGTGAGTGTTTGTGTGTGAGAGTGAGTGTTTGTGTGTGAGAGTGAGTGTTTGTGTGTGAGAGTGAGTGTTTGTGTGTGAGAGTGAGTGTTTGTGTGTGAGAGTGAGTGTTTGTGTGTGAGAGTGAGTGTGAGAGTGTTTGTGTGTGAAAGTGAGTGAGTCTTTGTGTGTGAGAGTGAGTGTTTGTGTGTGGAGTGTTTGTGTGTGAGAGTGAGTGTTTGTGTGTGAGAGTGAGTGTGAGAGTGAGTGTTTGTGTGTGAGAGTGAGTGAGTGTTTGTGTGTGAGAGTGAGTGTGAGAGTGAGTCTTTGTGTGTGAGAGTGAGTGAGTGTGTTTGTGTGTGAGAGTGAGTGAGTGCGTTTGTGTGTGAGAGTGAGTGTGAGAGTGAGTGTGTGGGGAGAGAGTGGTGTATTGCGAGTCCTGATGCATTCCATGCGTTGGTCAAACAAAAGCGTTGTCGAAACAGTTCTTCGTCAACTTTGGGGAACAGAGTTGGTTGAGGGGATGGAGTGTGGAGTTAACGTGGACCTGGAGGGGATGGAGGAGGTGGAGGGGGTGAAGGGGGTGGAGGGGGTGAAGGGGGTGAAGGGGGTGGAGGGGGTGAAGGGGGTGGAGGGGGTGAAGGGGGTGGAGGGGGTGGAGGGGGTGGAGGGGGTGAAGGGGGTGAAAGGGGTGGCATTAGAACTTGTTAGACAAAAGAAGACCGAGGTCCATCCGGTCCACCTTCCGCGATCCTGGCAGTCGCCACATTTCGTGTCCCAAACTATCCACTGTATCCCCTCGACATTGTTTCCGAACACATCTATACACTGTATCCTCACTATATTGTTTCCGAACACATCTATACACTGTATCCTCACTATATTGTTTCCGAACACATCTATACACTGTATCCTCACTATATTGTTTCCGAACACATCTATACACTGTATCCTCACTATATTGTTTCCGAACACATCTATACACTGTATCCCCTCGACATTGTTTCCGAACACATCTATACACTGTATCCCCTCGACATTGTTTCCGAACACATCTATACACTGTAACCTCAACATATTGTTTCCGAACACATCTATACACTGTATCCTCACCATATTGTTTCCGAACAGATATCGAACTCATTTCTTCTCGAAAGATCAACTCTCTCTGCTTCCAGCGTCCGTCTCCCTCGGGAGCCTATTCGGTAACACGTTGGGTGTTGGGTACATCATTGTCCCAATCCCCCGCTCCCCCCCACCCCCCACCATGCCTCCGGGTGCCTGATGTTGCATGCTTCAGTAACATAACGGTGTCTCGTCATGTGTCTGGGGGGGGGGTCGACCCCCTGTTTGCCTTGGGTTCAGGCTGGTCCAGCACTGGCTTAGATGTCGCCCACCACGAGGCGAGTGTTTGCGCTGAACAACAATACTGTACTTTGCACTGCGGATTGGTGGTGTATTTGCAGACGCTTTTGTTCCCTTAATCCACGACTGTTTGGGGGACGCTGCTGTGCGCAATTGGCTGCCGTGTTCCGCCCACAAAATACGCAGTCTTATCCACTTCTGTATATTCTGTGAAGCGCTTTGAGACGTCTCAACGACGTGATAAGGCTCTATATCAAATGCAAGTATTATTATTATTATCATTATTACCTTCTAAACGCGCCCTGATTTCCTCAATTTTCACCGATTGAGCAGTGAGTGACGACAATGTTACCGGAGTGAGAGCAGCGGAACTCAGCGGTGTGTGAGAGAGAGTGATGTGTGTGTGGGTGTGTGTGTGTGGGTGTGTGTGGGTGGAGGGTGGGGAATTTATCTCCTTGTGCGTTGCATTTTTTTATTGCTTTACACCACCTCAGAGCCACACGGAGCCAGGCTGTTAATGAGAGCTTTGGACGAATAATTCACATTTATTACGTTGCATTTTATCCCAGGCGCAAAATGTTCGCATCTACAGCTCGCTTGAGGGTGAATCATTAGAAACCTCGCTCTTCCTTTTTTTTTTCAAAAATAACTAAACAATTCTTGCGGTTGATGGAGTGTCTCATCACATCGTGGATAGATATTGGTTAGGTCAGGGTATCGAGGGATATATTTAAGCGCTCTGAGACGCTACCCTGCCCGGAGGGCGCTATATAAGTGCACGTTGTTGTTGTTGGCTATGGGGCCAAGTGTGGGTAATTGGTGTTGAGGTACCGGTCAGCCATGATCTTACCGAATGGCGGAACAGGCTCGAGGGGTTGAATGGCCTAAGCTCCTGTGCCTACGCTCCCTGAAGCGCTTCGCAGGATTTTACTGTGAAATGGAGTGAACGCCTACAAAAACACACGGTGTCTAGACTTCACAGCGAGACGAGGCCGCGAAAGGCGAGGATGGTTTATTGAAAAACATTGTGTATCTTTTGTTGCTTTAGAGTCGAGCACATTGGCGATTTTTTCTGTTCCTGTACGTTGTTACCCTGCAATCTGTCAGAGACGTACAGTACAGTATTTAATCTGTTGAAGGGAAGCACAGTGCAATCACTCGCTGACCCACAAAGATAAATCAGCAAACTTGGTAACATGTAAGCTGATAACCTTCACGAATGGTGCTTTCTGTACTGATAGCAGCAGAGACAGAGGCGCCCTCATACCATCCAGCTTTGCACTTGTAAATCTCTGTCCTCACTTGGAATCTAAGCTATTTTTTATATAATAACAACAACAATAATAATAATCCTCGCATTTGATACAGCGCCTTATCACGTCTTCGAGACGTCTCAATGCGCTTCGCAGAATACACTGTAAAGCGAATTGACTGCACATTTTGTGGATGAAACCCGGCAGCCAATTGCGCACAGCAGCGTCCCCGCAAACATTCGTGGATTGAGTGACAATATTTTTTTTAAAAGGGATTATTATCCCCGGGAAAGCGATCCGCCAATCGACTAACAACCGAGTTCCTATTTACTGTTGGGTAAACAGAGGCGTGTGTGTGTGTGTGTGTGTGTGGAGTAAGGAAACTTGACCAACGTTTCACCCGCCCGGGAATCGAACCCGAATCCTCTCGCTCGCTCGCGACGCGAGAGCTCTAACCACTGAGCTACAGGATTTGAAATGAGAAAAGGTATTTTTTTTTTTAATCTGACCTTCAATCCCATCTTTCAAACCAGGGCAGGTTACGTAAAGTGCTTACGTACGTCGCAAACTGGCACTTTCTCCATCTGTTTCTCCTGTTACTGGAATTAATTGACACGATGTTAATTGCTTTTTCATCTGCTCTACATAACCGTACTCTATAGGGGGCAAAAGAAACCAGGTATTTCATCTAACCTCGCCTGAGGTTTGCTAAATTTATCCTTGTTCCCCCTCCCCAAACCTTTACATTCGCAAGTCACGTTAAATGGATAACCCACTTGCTATTATTCATGCCTTTTTTTTTTAAAAGAGAATTTTTTACCCCCCAAAATGCTGGATCATTGTCCTCTCTCGATCTTCAGTCACGCGGATGTATTTTCTTAAGCTGGAAAATTGATTCAACCCCTTCTTCATTGAGAAAACCTGTCACCGTTGTACCTGATTTGCTATGAAATAAGACGATTCCAGTCCCTGCTTCTTGATGCCTCGTCCAATTGTATATCAAACCATCTCCAGACACTTCACAGACAACGTTGCTGTTGTCAAAGTCTAGTAACTGCTTATTTGCAGGCAACCAGTTGTGCACTCGGCAACATCGCGCTGTACAGCCACGAAGCCAACAAACAATTTATCTGGTGGTTCATTGCTGAGGACACGGGGGGTGCGGGTGGTGCGGGGGACGGGGGAACAGAAACTCCCCTTTACTAATAAATGTCTTTAATGTCCAGTTGAAGAGCCGGGCAGATGTGACCTCAGATTAACGTCTCATTCGTAGGATGGAGTCTCTGGCAGTTTGGTGCTCTTAACACCTTTTTTTTTTCCTCCCCCACCCCACCACCTCACTCCTCACCCAGCGCTGCCTTGGAGCTTCAGCCTAGACTAGGAGCTCAAAGACTCGATCAACTTGGGGTTCGAGCCCACAACTATCTGGTGAAAGTTTGGATGTTGGCTCAGGTATCCATCTCAGAGACCTGGGAGGGGATTCCTAGAAATGTCCTTTGACCTTGACCGTGAGGGCATTGGAAGTGATGTGGGAAGCTGGGCTTTGTAATGGGGGGATATTAGCACAAATACACTCACACCTGCACACTCTCACACTCACTCTCACACCGACGCACTCTCACAGTCACTCTCACATCTAGATACTCTGAAACTCACTCTCACACGTAACATACGCACTCTCAAACGCACACTCACACACGCTCACCGAGCCAGGAAGCCGGCAGATGAAAGCAGCTGGTGCTTCTAATGCGGAGGAAATGTAAGGTAATACACATCGGTGCTAAAAATAGGGAATATCATTACTCAATGAAGGGCAGGCCAGGACGGAAAGTAGAGCAGGGGAAGAAGACTGTGACACTGACTGAGTGCGGCTGTATTTACTGGCCCACTCCTGCGGCTGAGCTCACAGTGTTCGGGCGCTGTATGTAACTCCGAGAGAGTGTCCGGTCGGTTGGTCGGTCGGTCAGTCACTGGGAAGTGTTGGGCAGCACAGATGGAGCGCGGGTTCCTGGCGTACATCCCGGAGGATTACGGGAAAAGCAGCGAAGGTGACTTGGGGTTCAGGTGGGTGAGCTTTGAAACTAAAGTTTTAACAACCGTGTCACTGCGTGTCGAGCAGGAGTGAAGGAAGGAAAGAGAGGAGAGAGTCAGAGAAAGACTGGGTGCTTCGGGGATGGTGTGTGGGGTGGGGTGGGGGGGAAGAGGAGTGGGTGTGAGGGTTTTGGTGCCCTGTGTATGTGTTGAGGAGGGTGGTCAGGGTTTGGAGGACAGAAGGAAAGGGGCTGTTAGGAGACTGAGTGGTTGGTTACGTGGATGTGTGGCTATGGGGGAGTGTTGTGCTGTTAGTTGGTTTGAGGTCTAGGGAGTGTCTGAATATAGGATCCTCAGTGGGTGGGGAGGGGAAGAGCACTGGGGTGTGGGGGTGAAGGGTGGTGAAGCCTGTGCCCACTGTGGGGAGGTTGTTGGGTGGGTGGTGGGGGAGGCAAGGACTGAAGGAAGAGGTGTTGAAGGACTCGAAGCTCTTTTCTCATTCGAACCTGCGTCTTGTTCTCAAATGTCTGGGAAGGTAATTACTCGTGTTTGGGAGGAAAGGGGGTGCACAAAATCACACGGGCTTAAGTGACCGGGGGATTCACTGATGGATGATCATGTCACCCAGTGCCGAGCAGGAGGAAGGGAGAGCGAGACGGGGAGGAAGAGAGGAAGATGATGTGGATTGGGAGAGAGGAAGGGATGGAGAGAGAGGGCTAGAGTGAGAAAGTCTCGCGCTTCAGGGCTCAGTTGCTGTGTAGACGCTAAGTGTTGAGTTGTTGAATAAGATGAAAGCTGCACACGCCGGACGGAGGCTTTTAGATGTTGTGATTGTTTGCTTGGGTGTGCGATCATTCACAATATTTTTTTTCCCCCCCCTGAACACCCCGGTGTGTGGAAGGTTAGGGTTTCAGCGCATTCCTTGGGTTTGATCCAACGCCTTTCAGGTCGGGAGGACGTCTCAAACCGCTTCACAGGATTTACTGTGAAACGCAGCCAGTGCGTGTATTTTGTAGGCGAGCGTTACACTCAGCCACGTCCCACAAACAGCCGTGAACTGAGCGACACACAATTCTTCCGAAAGATTGTCAGCCAAGACACCTGGAGGGAGAAACTCCCCCTTGATTTTTTTTCCCGGTAGCCCCCGGGATCTTTAATGTCCACCTGAAGAAGCAGAGACGGGGCAGGGAGAAACCTTGGGAAAGTTTCCTTACTCCGCACACACACACATGCCTCTGTTTACCAGCAGTAAGTAAGTAGTGACTTTCCGGGGGTAATAAGCCCTTTTTTTTTTAACAAAAGTGGTTACTCAATCCATGGACGGTTTGTGGGACGTCGCTGTGCGCAATTGGCTGCCCACAAAATACACAGTCACTCCACGAAGGCGTGATAAGGCGCTGTGTCGAAAGCAAGGATTATTATTATTATTATTCAAGACAAATTGCCTGAAATCCATCCGGAAACGCGGTCGGTCAGGCATGCCAGGGATCTCAGTCCTCCCAGATCACGGACAATGGTCGGAATTCGGGAAATGAAGAGTTCTGTGTTGGCGAATCGCTCGCGGATAAAAGAGATTAAATCTTAATCCCCCTCCACCCCCCCACCCCTCCCCTCCTGAGAGTTACAGGCAACTGCTGGATCAGGTGCCTCCTCTCTGCACACAATCACTTTCAGCATCGCTGTGACCAGTCAAAGAGGGAGAAAAAAATGCCTGCAACGACCGCTCCCTCCCTCCCTTCCTCTCCTCCTTTCCTCTCTCTCGACACATTTCTCTCGCAAACTAACCTAGATGTGCAGTGACCCCGAGTATTGCTGTGAGCTGTGTGTGTGTGTTATACACTGTATATATAGAGGAGAGAGAGAGAGAGACATTTACAGCCTGGGATGAAGTGAAATGCTTCAACCCCTCATGTCCCCATCGTTTGGGTCATCCTTGTCCTCAAGCCCACTTTCCAGCTCCGTCCCCACAGCTCAGCACTCAATCGACCTACTAAACACAAGGCTATTTCGGAGTCCTGCTGCGGGGGACACTGCCCCAAAAGCGAGAGAAAAGTCTGATTTAAGCCACTCTGAGATTGAGCCCAATTTGGTGTGAATCTCCCTGATTTCTAGCGGAGGATTGATTGTGGAACCTCGATTGGATCGTTTTCCCCGCCTGTGCTTTTTAGGTCAGCCGGGTGTCTGACACACATGAGCTCTATCCGGTTAGCTTCCCGCTGCTTGTCCAGCTGGGATCACCCTACCGTAGGGCTTTGGTTCGCAGGCACAACGGGAGCTGAAAGGCACACCACGCCCTCTGCCCTTAGCTTTGGTTTGGCAAGAACACGCTTGGTTGGAGATGAAGAGGAGAGAGAAAGAGAGGGGAGAGCAAGCGGGAGAGGGAGAGTAAAAGGGAGCAAGAGCGAAAGAGATAGATTGGGCACGTTTATATGGAGCAGATGACACACTGAGCCTGGGAGGGACCCTGCCACTGAGCCGGAGGAACCGTGGGGGGGGGCGTTTGGGCAGCGATCTAACAAATTAGAGCTTTGCAGGATTTACAAATATTATTTCCTCCACTTTTCCATTCACATATTTGTTTGCTGATCGTTAAAAATCAAGTCTCGTCTGGTCACGTGGGCTTTACGAAACCCGGCGAGACTTTTGCGGGACCTTTGGCTAAACTGTGTCGCTCTACGGGGTTTAAAACCTGCGACGTGTCATGTGTCTCTGTTTCCTGGGACGTCCTCCCGACGTGAAAAGCGCTGAATAAATCCAGTGCGCTGTTGTTGCTGTTGTCTCTCTCTCTCTCTCTGTGTCTCTCTCCCTCTCTCTCTGTGTGACTGAGTCTCTGTGTCTCTCTCTTTCTGTGTCTCTGTGTGTATCTCTCCCTCTCTCTGTGACCGTCTCCCTCTCCCCCTCACTCTCTATCTCTCTCTCTCTCTCTCTCTCTGCAGGGAGCAGCCTATCTTCAGTGCTCGAGCTCACGTGTTCCAGATTGACCCGGCCACGAAGCGCAACTGGATTCCGGCGAGCAAACATGCCGTCACCGTCTCCTACTTCTACGACAGCAACCGCAATGTGTACCGTATCATCAGCGTGGGCGGCACCAAGGTGGGTCTCCACTGCCCCGCCCCCCCCCCACTCCTCTCCTCCACCACCCCAACCGCCCACTGACCACCTTCGTTCCATCCCCTCCCCGCCCCACCCTTCTTCCCCCCCCACCCACTCCCCGGCTCTGGATGTCTTGGCTCCTCACCGGCTCCTCGCTGTGACTGTCTCTCTTTCAGGCGATCATCAACAGCACCATCACCCCCAACATGTCCTTCACGAAAACCTCCCAGAAGTTCGGCCAGTGGGCAGACAGCCGGGCCAACACCGTGTACGGCCTGGGCTTCAGCTCCGAGCAACAGCTAGCGCAGGTACGTACATCACAGGTCCCTGAGCCAGCGCAGGTACACGAGTACAGGTACAGGCCAGCAACCAGGACCTGAGCACAGGTAAAGTGAGCGCAGGTATGTCAGCGCTCGTGAGTGGGGTCTTGTGCCCCTCGATGCTCTGCCCTCCCCCCGGCCCTGCCCCTCCCCCCGATCCGGGCTTTGCTGACGTCCCATTCCCCGTTATATTTTTCTCTTAGTTTGCCGAAAAATTCCAGGAGGTGAAGGAAGCGGCTCGATTGGCCAGAGAGAAATCCCAGGACAAAATAGAGCTCACGAACCCCGCCCTGGACATCGCTGCCCCACAGGTGAGTGGGGGGTGGAGTGGGGGGAACGGGATGGGGGGTGGGGTGGAGGAGGGGGTGGGGTGTGAGGGGAAGCCAGGCTCAGGGTAATGTTAAAGTGCAAACAACAACAACATCACCTTGCATTTATACATTGCCCTTCGTGCAGGGTTAGTGTCTTGGATGCTTAACAGGACAAACGGTGACAATGTGTTGTAGCCGGGATGGAGAGGGTGGGGGGGTTGTTCAGGCAGTTGCTGCAGGGTTAACTGAGCATGTATCTGTGTGTGTGTGGGGGGTGGGGGTGTCTGTGCGTGACAAGGTTAATCCACAGGTCCTCGCTCACCTGTTTTTCCTCTCGGCTCAACTCTTTCGCTTCTAAATTTAACCTCGCCCCCTTTGCTATCCTCTCCGCCTTCCACTCGCTTCTCCTCGTGTTTCCCTCTCTCGTGCCACGTGTCCGTCTGCCGATTGGGGAAACCCCGGCGTTCCCACTCGCCGGCACTTCACGGGATTAGCCACGGATTCCCGTAGTGTAGTGGTTAGCGAGAGGAATCTCGGGCAGGTCAGGGCGAAACCTTGGGCGAGTTTCCTCGCTCCACACACACACACACACCTACCAGTTTACCCAGCAGTAAGTAGGAAGGAAGCCGATGGGAATTGGCTGCCGCGTTTCGCCCACAAAATACACAGTCACTCCACTTGATAACATAACCTGATGTGATGAGGGGCTGTATCACATGCAAGGATTGTTATGGTGATGATGATGATTATTATTTCGTTGTAAAGTGCAGTCAGTTTCCTGGCCATTGACTGCACACGTCTCTGCAGTTGAACCAGTTAGCGCTAACGCTCCAACACGGAATGAATCCATCTTCTGGGGGTGAGTTATGTAGGACAGAAGGTTCCAAAAATACCACCAGCTTCAGCCTGGGAGAGGGAATGAGGCCGTCTCGTGGCTTCCCCTGGGTCCTGGAGACCCAGCCTGGCCATGAACCTACTGGGCTGATTCTGGGGAGGTGATGGGGGCGGGAGAGGAGAGAGGGAGGGGAAAGGGGGGAAGGGGGAGAAGGGGAGAAGAGGAGCCGGGGCTTTTGCTCAGGGGGGATTAACGAGATGTGTTTCAATGACGGTAACTGGTCGTCAGATCTGCAAGCTGGCGGGAGTTTTATTTAGGGTAATAATCCCTTCAAATAAATAAAATAATAGCACAGTAACTTGATCACTCAATCCACGACTGTTTGTGGAGACGTCGCTGTGCACAATTGGCTGCCGCGTTTCGCCCACAAAACATACGGTCAATTCACTTGGCGGTGTATCCCGTGAAGCGCTTTGAGACGTCCCGAAGACGCGATAAGGCGACTGTGTCAAGTGCAAGGATTATTATTATTATTATTTCCTTCCAATCCGTGTAAAATTTCCGTCCTCTCATTTTCAATTCGCATTTTCTTTCTCTGGCACATTCGAGGTGAGGAGGAGGAGGAGGAACGTTGGCCCTGGGGACGAGAGGTTTATACACTCGTTCTCAGCTTCCCCGACTCAGCGCCGTGTGCCCTCGGGCAATCTGGTTATAACTTGGCAGCTTGTTTCTGTATCCTGCACTCCCAGGGTTAGAGACACAATAACGCTCCCTCCGAGTCTACAATGTGCGTCCACACTCCCAGGTCAGGGTGAGGGACACAGTAAAGCTCCCTCTACACTAACAGTCCACACTCCTAGGTTACAGTAGAGCTGTCACTCTCTCTGTCCCTCCGTGTGTCTCTGTATAAGCGTCTCTTTCTCTCTGTGTGACTCCGTGTGTTGTTCTGCTTGTGCTGGTCTCTCGCTCCCTCTCTCTGGCTTTGTCCAACTCACGATCAGATGTCCGATATGAAGGGATGTGTGTCGCTGTGTGAAGAACAATGGATTTTGTGCTGAATCAGTATCTGATCTGTTTAATTATATACACGTCCCCCTTCCTTCCCCCCCACCCCCCACCCCCCGCCCGGCCCCCCAACCCTTGCTTGTTTCAGGACGAGCTTTTTTAACCACAGATGCAGGAACCGAAAATCTTTGTCCAAGACTTATTGTCTGCGGGCAGTGCACTGCGGGGAGTAACACTGAGCTACCAATATTGGTTAAAGGGCACAGAGCCTGCCGGGAAATGCTGGAGACACGTAACTTTAATTGAAAGCATTTGGATATAGTTTTAGATTCCTGAAAGCCAAGAAGAATTCAGCTACAGTCTCGTCCTTAATCTCCGTGTGTTGTGTGTACGTGTGAGTGTGTGGGTGTGTTTCTCGTTCTGTGTGTGTGTCTGTGTGTATCTCTCTCTTCGTTATGTCTGTGTGTGTGTGTGTGTGTGTGTGTGTGTCTGTTCCTTTTTGTCTCTGGCTCCCTCTCTCTAGTTGAATTCTGCCCCCTCTTCCCCTCAGTTTTTAGTTCCTTACGGGAAAAAAAAAACCCACATCTGTTTCCTGTAATATAAATTGGCTGGAGCACTCAGGCTCACATCCTGACATTTCACCTCCTGCCAAAACCCAAATCGGTGTCTTGTGTCACTCTCAGCCCTTTGATAATTAACCCCATTATCCAATAAACCCACAGCACTCAACTTCGCAATGTTGCTCCAGCCGTTCTCCCTCTGTCCCCAGGCTTCCCCCGTCTTCAGGTCGTTCCTCTTCCTCCGCCACTGTCGAGCGCTCTGGGACGCTAGCCTGCGTGAGGGTAGGGCGGCCCGAGCTGGACAAGCAGCGGGGAAGCTTACCAGACAGCGCTCTCAATGGCCAAGCTGTGTGGTTTTAGCTGGTTAGACTCCAGGAGTTACCCCAACTCTGGGCTCCCTCCCCGAGCCTCGGCTCTTGCCAACCTGCGCCTAATACTTTACGGAATTAGGTTAAGCAGGATGTGTCCTTCCTGGAAGAGCGAGAGAGGGAGAGAGCGCATTCCAATTCCGACAATTTATCTCTGGGATTGCCAGGTGTAGGTGGGAGGTCTGGAATTCTCCGTTTGGTTTGGAGACTCTTACGCAACGGTGATGGGTTTCCGTGTGTGTGTCGGGCAAAAAAAACATCATAACTCGCCCGTGTTGTCGCTCAGCTCTCCACGGATTCGCGACTGTGTAACGTTTTCCTCTGTGATTGGTTCCGTGCAGGACCTGTCCTGTGGGGGCCTTCACTCCCCACCGCTGCCCCCGGCCAGCGCCAATGGGCCCGGGGGGCAGAAGCTGTACCGGGGGGAGAGCAGCGACGGGGAGGGGGTGCTGGACGGAATACGGCTCAAGGCCATGTTCTCCCAAAGGTAATGACGTCCAACACGCAAACTGCACTCCCATCACGCCAGCACTCGCTCGTCTCTCTCTCGGTCCCACACGTGACGGGATTCCTGACCTCTCCAACCCATTCCCGGTTCCAGCCGTGCCCGTTGGTTCCCAACGTCGCGGTGAATTGTATCTGGAACAAAAATCCCCTCCCTCTTTCTCTCTCGCCCCCTTCCACATCACCCCGGATTGCTTTCCGGGGTTAATAATCTCTTCACCACTACCCGCCGCGCCCCTAAATTTTTTTGGGTTATTATACACGACTGTGGGACACTGCTACGCATTTCGCCCACAAAACACACGGTCACTGCACTTTAACACAGACTGTCTGATAAGCGCTCTCGCTCTCTCTGAGATCTCTCACTCTCTTGTATACACACTCTCGCGCTCTCTCTCTCTCGCTATCTCGCTCTCTCTCTCTCTCTCGCCCGCGCTGGCCCACCGTGCCCTCTCTGAGCGCTGTGTCTGTGCCTGTAGCTCGGTGTGCGAGCCGCAGTGGGAGATGGAGCTGTTTGGGCTGCAGGAGAGCAATGCCAAGCTGGTGCAGGCCCTACACGAGTCCAACGTCAACGTGGAGCAGTGGAAGAAGCAGCTCTCGGCGTACAAGGAGGAGACGGAGAAACTGCGGGAGAGGGTGAGGGAGTGGGCCAGGGAGAGGGGGGGAGGGACGGACGGACCGTGGGGGAAGGGAGGGAGAGGGGGGAGAAGGGGAATACAATATATAGTTTGGGACGCAACATGTGCAAGTGGATGGTGGAAAGCGAACTGGATGGATGGACCTTGGTCTTATCTTACGTAGACGTTTATGGGTAACTGAGCATATCTGGGGGATGGGGGATGGGGGGGGTGCGCTGGTTCAACCCTTGAGCTAACTCTGTGTGTGTCTCCCACCCCCCAGGTCACGGAGCTAGAGTTACAGGGGGAAGACGCCAACACAGTGGCCACACAGAACACGGACCTCAGCCAATCAGTGGAGGAACTGGAGACGCTCCTAAAGGAGAAAGAGGAGGTATCTGCTCTGACAGCACTGCCCCTGGGGTGGGGGAGGGTGGGGGGAGCTGTAACACTCTTTCTTTCTCACACTCTTTCTCTCTCTCCCCCCCATCAGGAGATCCACTTGCTGAGAAGCCAGAAAAGTGATGTAAACGAGATCGAGAGCGACCGGGAAGAGGCTTTGCTCAGGCTCCAGGTGTGGCCCCCCTCTCTCTTTCCACTCTATCCCCTCTCACACTCGGTCTCTCTCCCCCACTGACGCTCTCATTCTCACACTCTTTCTTCCCCCACTCCCCTTTCTCATACTCCCTCTCTCGCTCGCTCTCACACACTCTGCCTCTCTCTCTCTCTCTCTCTCTCCCTCGCTTAGGCTGTGGAGAGGAGGAACGTTGAGCTGGAGCAGCAGTTGCGGGAGGCTGAGGAGACTCTGGGGGAGAGGCTGGGGGAGGGGGAGCGGGTGCGGGCAGATGCCCACCGCCTGCTGGAGATCCTCGACATCAAACTGTACGAACTCAACGACCTGAGGCAAAACCTGGCCAAGCTGGCTGAGAGAGACCCCAAATCCTGAGCAGCCACCAACCCAACCCAACTCACACCTCAACTTTCCACCCTAACATCCATCTCCAACCCCAATGTCACCCAACCTCCATCCCCTAAATCCACTCCCAAACCTCAACTCCCCCCAAACTTCCACCTCAACCCCAACCCCACCCAAACCTCCACCCCATCCCCAACCCCCAGCACCAACGTCTCAATGTCCACCCCGGCCCCACTCCAACCAACCACCCCCCACCCATCCCCTAAGACCCCCAACTTCCCCCACCTCGCCACACAACTCAACTCCCCCGATGTTGACCCTGGTAGAGACTGCTTCCTCACCCCCACCCCCCACTAGCTTGTGACTCAGTTCCTGCACACCTCCTCCCCACCGCACCCCCCCCACCCCCCCGCCCGACCCCACCACTCATTTATGGTAGTTTTTATTTATGACTGTAAAACATCATCTTTGAGAGCTTCACGGGCGACTGCTGTGGAAAGTGTAGTGACTGTGTGTTTTGTAGTCGACGGCGGCAGCCATTTTCCGCACGGTGACATCCGCAAACAGCCGCGAGGGGAGCGACTAATTTTCCTGAGGGCCAGGACACTGGGAGGGTGGGGGGGAGAGAGTGGTGAGAGAGAGATTACCTTATCAGGATTTACTGTGAAATGGAGTGACTGTGTACTTTGTGGGCGAAACACAGCAGCACAATTGCGCAGTGATGTCCCACAAACAGCCATGAAAGAATTGACCAATTTTATTTGGGGGACTGCGGGCCAGGAGAGCAAGGAACTCCCTTCTCTTTTCGAATAGCGCCACGGGATCTTTAGCGACCAGCTGGACAGGCACAGACAGGATCTCGGTTGATGAAAGAGATGCCATTTTCTCTCTCCTGGTGCCTCTTTTCAAGGAGGGTTGGGTCCGGTTAACATCGGGCTCGGTGTTTAATGGATTCCTCGAGCTCAAAGGGTTGGGGTACATTGCTCACCAGCCTGTCAAGTGGACGGGGAGTTGGGGGAGGTGCAACATCGAGGTTACCTATTGATATTTAATCGTGGAAATAAATTGATGTGTTAACCTGAGAGAGAGGGGGTGTAATTTGGCCAATTTCTCTGAGGAACATTCAAACCCCAATGGCTGTGCAGGTAGACGGAGCTGAATCGGGTATTTACCTCCTCGGAGAAATATCTCAAAATATTTTTAAAAACTTCATCATTAATATTCTCGAAGGCTTGTGGAGGCAACGGATTAGCACTCGGGCGCACAGCTGCTCGGGAGAGTGTCTTGGGGCCCCAGTTGCTACGTGGTCCTGCTTGGCGTCACTATGGAGACGGTGGTAGAATGAAATGACGTGGAACCCACCCACTCACCCATCCTCAACCTTCCCTGCTTCCCCACCCCCCACCCCCCCACCCACCCAGTCCACGCTCCGCGTGTGGCACGTTGTGCGACACCTGCAATATGGCGCCCAGAACGAATGAACGCAGCGCCCCGTGTGGCTCAAGCGGGTGACTGTACCCCACCCGGCACAGCACGGAGCCACACATCAGCTGTCCTCAGGGGCAGTGCCCCAGCTTTGTGTTAAATGCGAGGGTTATTATTTTACCTCAAGCCTTTCGCACGGTTGAGATACTGCGAAGTGTAGTGACTGTGCTGTGATGCAGCTAGATGCTCTGGCCTGTTTTGTGTGTGCGTGTGCGCGCGTCGGGGTGAGGGGGGGTTGGGGGAAAGAGAGAGAGAGAGTTTCTAGTTGGAGACTCTTCAAAGTTTGCTGGTCATAACTTTTGAGCAACGTTTTCCATAGGCGTTTGGGTTACGAGTCCCATTGATGTAAGTCTCTGCTTCGTTCTCTTCACGGTGTCCGTGTTGTGTGTGGAGAGGGTGTTGTTCCTTTCTCTCTCTCTCTCTCACTCTCTCTCCGACCAAACTGCACGGTACACAAATGAACGAGGGGTGGGGGAGAAGGGGTGAGGAGGGGGGAGAATCAGCAGATACAGAGCACAAACGTGTTTCATTGTGACCGACCTTTCCCTATGCCCTTTCTCTCTGGCGTCTCATTCTTTTGCTGAAGCTCCTAAACGGTTCGAGCAAACCCTCCCTCCTCTTTGAGGATATTTATTCCTAGTTTCTAAGGTATTAACGAGTTAATTCCGCCTCCCAACAAAACGTATAACCACTAAGTCAGCCTCTTATCGAAAGAACAAAACTCTGCCGTGCGTTACGTGTTTTATTAAATCGACGTCCGCGCAGTTTATAACCTGCAGAAAAAAGCACAACAATGTTTCCCGAGGGCTTTATTCCTGAAACCACTAGTGTTTTTTTTTTTTTTGCAAAGTTTTAGTACAATCTTTAGGCGACCGTTTATTCCGTTACCTAAGCTTGTTGGAGCTCTCGATTGTAAGAATTTGTAGTGTTGTGTGTTTCTCGGAACGGAGAAAAATAAATAAAACTCCGCGTTTATGTACTCTTCTTGTCTCTGTCCCGAATCCGTGACCGTCCCACGCCTTGGGGCGTTCTCCTGACGTGACCAGTGCTGTGTAAATGTCATTTGTTGTTTCAGTCCAATCTCAGAAAGCCCAAATATAAAGCAGACACTCTCCTCGGCTCTCGCTTGACAGTGATCGATCAAATCGATCAATAACCTATAACCGAAAGGAGAGCAGACGTGCACAGAGAGAGAGAGAGAGAGAAAGAGAGATCGTTGCAATAAGGATGGGCAGAGAGGTTCAGCCTCACCGAAATTACAGGCTAATTATTTAACAACGTAATTAAATTTTTTATTAGATTCCCGTAAATTATGCAAGCGTAGCCGAGTGCATGGTAACAGCGGCCTATAAAATACTAATAATGGCAGGAGATAAATAATGGCAGGGTGGAAATTGTTTAATATATTTCCTTCTCTTCCCCCCCCCCACCCCGACCCCCATATCTGTCGCAGAATCACACTGTTCACTGTCCAGTCTAAGAGAAAGATAGAAACAGGGGTAGGTCATTCAGCCCCTCGAGCCTGTACCAAGAGAATGGTTGATCTGTACCTCAAATCCAATTACCCATCTTTGCCCCATATCCCTCGATCCCCTGAACTAACAAATATCTCAGTCTTGAAAATACGAACGGATCGAGCCAGAATCCACAGCTCTTTGGAGGAGGGAGGGAGGGAGAGTTGTAGATTTCCACTACCCCTTTGTGTGGAAAAACTGCCTCGTGATTTCACTCTGTGGTTTGGCACAGCATTAGACACATCGCGTATGGAAGAATTAAAGACTTTGTTTCTGAGTAATGTTGCTGAGGGTTTAACATCACAGACTTCTTTAATAAAATCTCCAGGGTGTACGCAGGGAATTCATACAGTCCAGAAGGAGGCTATTTGGCCCATTGAAAGAGCTACCAATTCATCCCACTCCCCCCCCCCCCCCCCCCCGCTCTTTCCCCACAGCCTTGCAATTTTTTTTCCTTTCCAAGTACCTATCCAATTCCCTTTTGGAAATAATTATCCAATCTCAATTCAGTCGTATCCTTCAAACTGGATTATTACGGATTATTTCCATTAATTGGAGGTATGGATTTTGCTTTCATTCTCTCTTCTGAAAATCCCGGCTACACTGGATACAGTAAGTGGATTGACTGTATTTTGTGGGTGAAATGCTGCAGTCAATTTGCGCTCAGCAACATCCCGCAAACAGCCAAGGAGTGAGTGGTCGACCCAAATATTCAGTAACTTCAACCAATCTAATACTATAGCCAACTGATGGTCTCACAAACCGAGAGTCCTGCTCTCGTGCCCTGTGGCGTAGCCTTGGAGTCTGCTCCCTCGAGTTGACAACTGATATTTACACGGCATCTTTCGTGTCGGGAGGACGTCCCAAGCCGCTGGACGGACCGGAGCTGGGCGTTGGGATCAGGAGGGGTGGAGGGCAGGGAGGGTAGGAGGGTAGCCGAAAAAGGTGCGGTGGAAGAGGAGGGTCTTGAGATGGAGCCTTGATGGAGGCAAGGGAGGGAGCAAGGCAAATAGCTTGACACTCCAAGTGCCAATGCTCTAGTTGTTTGGTTCTGGGCAATGAACAGAATAAAACCGACTTATTCTATTGAGCCCACTTTTAACAGATGATCTGAGAACAGAGGAACCAAAGACACCCCAACAACTTATGGTTTGAAAATTCTTTTACTTCATACGAAATGTTAAATTTGTCGGTTAAATTATCGCCACACGGCAACACTAAGTTAATCCCACGCGTAAGTGTTTGTATTGAAGTAATAAATCGACTATTGTTCAGTCCATAAACCGTACGAATCTCGCTTCTTTGATGGAATCATTTGGTAGAATTCACAAACAGAAGGCAAAGGAAAAAGTCTGTTGCTTCAGACCAGAAATATCTTGTTTGGGTTTGTTTATTGCGAAGTCGTAGTTGAATCTTCAATGGTGTACAGCTGAGCTGTGTACTTTACTCAACAACCGTTATACGTTGTTATTCCTCTCTTCCCGTTAGTTTTCGAATGATTTCAGACATTCTGGAGGTTCTGCAGTCTTGCTTCCTTCGTCCTGAAATTGTTGTTAAACTTGATTTGCTACAGAGAACATCTTCAACGCAAACATGAATTTGTTATGAAAAACATCTTTAAGAAACTTCAGCTGCAGTAAACACGTCCCTTGAGATTTTTCAAGCCCACATCGTTGTTTTTAACCGGGAATCAGAATGGTGTTCTATTCCACACAAACATTAAACATTAAATAATGCTTTCGACTACATGGGTCAACATGTACCTTCACAATTTCAGTTCTGAAGCGAGATCACAATGTGCAGCTAACGAACCTATTTCCACTCTCCATCTTCCCCGGCCCCCCGGGGGGGTGGGGGGGGGGGTGGGTGGGGGGGAAACTGGTGTCTTGGGTTACGATCTCAGTACAGCTGTCCTATGGGGTAGTGTCAAGGGACAAACACACACACACACACACAGAGAAAATAATAATTCAACCCACGCTCAGGTGGTGATCGCCCTGTGATCAACTCGATTAGAAAATGTTCGCAAGACACCCGGACGTTTTCAGAGTTCCTGAGTGATTCATTTTATAAATATATATATATAATATACAGTAAACTCCTGATAACAAGACCCTGGCTTAGCTTATCATCATCATCATCGTCGTCATTTGTGGAGTCCGGCAGCTCAGAGGTTAGAGCGCTCGCCTTGCAAGTGAGACACCCGGGTTCAATTCCGGGCGAGGGGGTGGGTGGGGGGGGGGGTCAAAACCTTGGGCGAGTTTCCTTACTCCGCGCACCTAGTAATAATCCCTCCAAAAAACAAAAACAAAACAATAAGAAATCGGTCGTTTTCTATCCACGGCTGCGTGCGGGACACCCCCCACACCACACCCCACCCCCCGCACCACACCCCACCCCCCGCACCACACCCCACCCCCCACACCACACCCCACCCCCCGCACCACACACCCCCCACACCACACCCCACCCCCCGCACCACCCACACCCCCCGCACCACACACCCCCCACACCACACCCCACCCCCCGCACCACACACCCCCCCCACACCCCCCCCCACATGCCCCACACCACACCCCCGCGAGTTGGAGTGACGAGTTATCAGGAGTGTACAGCAATAACCCCCACAGCTCCGCCCCCCCGGTCCCTGACGCCCCGCCCCCTGCCCCTGACGCTCCGCCCCCCGGTCCCTGACGCCCCGCCCCCTGCCGCTGACGCTCCGCCCCCGGTCCCTGACGCCCCGCCCCCTGCCCCTGACGCTCCGCCCCCCGGTCCCTGACGCCCCGCCCCCCGGTCCCTGACGCCCCGCCCCCCGGTCCCTGACGCCCCGCCCTCCGCGCTCTCTGGCGGCCTCTGGTGGCGGCGCCGCGGGTACGACACCCCCGGGGGGGGGGGCGGGGTCTGCGCATGCGCAGTGCGTCCTCCCCGTCCCTCAGGCCTACGCGGGGCCGGGAAGCCTCGGCCTGGGAGTAGCAGCCGCGCGGCCCTCAATCCCCAACCCCCCCCCCACCACCCCCCGGGGAGGGAGGGGGTGTGAGCGGCGGCGGCGGCGGAGCGGCAGCAGTTGGAACCGGCGGCCGTTCGTGTGTCTCTCTCCCTCTGACGGTCACAGTCCGCGTCGGTCACAGCAACAGCAGCAGCAGGTGATCAGCTCAGCGCATAGTCACACAATACTACACAATAATGCACAATAATGCACAATAATATGTCACTATAACATCATATACCGATCCTCTCTCTGTGTGTCACAGCCGCAGGCGATCAGCTTCACCCAGAGATTAGTTATACAATAATACACCACAATATACAATACTATATAATAATATACAATAATATGTGATAATCTACAACAATATACAACAATACAATACTAATGTACCATAATATTTCACTATGATATAATGTACTGATCCTCTCTGTGTGTCACAGCCGCAGGTGAATCAGCTTCACTTTGTGAGAAGGTTTATATAATAATATACAATAATATACAACAATAATGCGCAGAAATAATATACCCCACAATATGTTTATATCATATATTCCGTTGCAATGTAATTAGTGTAATGACGATGGCTATTATTATTATTATTATTATAAACTGGTGTTTATTGCATCGTGGAGACGCCTCAAAGCGCTTCACGGGATTCTCTGTACAGTGTAGTGACTGTGTGTTTCTGTCGGTTTACGCACAGCCATGAAACGAGTGGCCATTTCTATCCGAGGGAATTGTTGCCCAGGACACTGGGAGAGACAAACTGCTTCCCTTCTCTTTTCGAGTAGAGCCGAGGGGAATCCTTGCCTCCCCGGCTCTCGTGCCGAAACCCCGGCAGGTTTCCCCGGTGTCGGTATCCTGGCCAACAATCCCCCCCCCCCCCCCCCCCACCACCACCATCCGGCAAAATAATGCGATCGTTGAGGCCTCTGATGGGCCAAACAGTGGACTCCTGTCCTGCGCTGTAGGTTCCTGTGAATCTAAAGCTGTTTTGTGGGACGTTGGGCGGGGCGTTGGCCGCCAAAATGTACAGTCACTACACTGATCAGCGATTACCCGCGCAGCGCGTTTGAGACCCGCTATAACAATAGCCACTCTGCGCTTCTGACACCCAACAGGTCGGGATTCAGGGGGAGAGATGGAGGCAACGGCGTCCGGAGTGTTTTGCAGCAGGATGATGAGCATGGTGAACCGGGAGGACGTCAACGCCATCGTCCAGGCCCAGAGACACATGTAAGTGGAGTCCTGCGGCTCAGCGGTTAGAGCCTCTCGCCTCACAAGCGAGAGGACCCGGGTTCGATCCCCGGGTCAGGGAGAAACCTTCGGCAAGTCTCCCTACTCCAAACGCCCCCCGTTTACCCAGCAGTAAGGAGGAGCCCGGTTGTGAGTCGATTCGGCTGCCGGGTTACACCCACAAAACACACCGTCAATTCACTTCACGGTATATTCTGTGAAGCGCTTTGAGGTTATGTGTTGTGGGCGAAACAGGTGCCGTCAGGTGTGACCGCAGAGGACTTCGAGGTGAAGATAAGAATCTTTAAAAGGAGCTGGAGTGGGGGGCGTGGGGTGTGGGGGCGCGGAGGCTAAGAAGAAAGTTATCTCTCTCACCGCCGAGACGGGCTTGATGGGCCGAAATGGAAGTATAATTAATTAATTGTACGACATTGCCACGCTAACCTTTTGGCCTCCGTGACCTCTCAGGCTGGACAGGTTTGAGAAGACCAACGAAATGCTGCTGAACTTTAACGGCCTGTCGAGTGCGCGCCTGCACCAGATGACGGAACGCTACCAGCACCACACCCGCACGCTGGTGGAGATGAAAAAGGATCTCGATAGTATATTCCGGCGGATAAGGTACGGCGTGGGGCGAGACTCCGGACTGAGGGGGGGGTGGATTGTCGTTAGGTTCAGGGTGTGAGGGGATAATGGGGCAAAGGTGGGTATGTGTAGAGTCCTGTAGCTTAGCGGTTAGAGCAATCGCCTCACAGGCGGAGAGGACCTGGGTAAATGGAGTTCAGTTACAGATCAGCCACGAAGTAAATAGAATGGCGGAACAGGCTTGAGAGGCTGAATGGCCTCCTCCTGTTCCTGTGATTCGGATTTAACAAGGAGTGAGCAAGTGGGGGAGGAGGGGGGGGAGGAGCACGGGGCTCTGGGGAGTGAGAAGCAGCAGGAGCGGAAGGCCTTCCTGGAGCGGAGAGCTGATAATGGCTCAACTGTTGGCCTTTTGGCCTTTAATTTTTTTGCCCGCGGTTTTCTCCCGTTTGTCTGGTCAGCAGCAGTACTGCTCTCTGCCCCTGGAGGGCGGTGGCGCTCCACTCGGGTAGAGAGCAGCCGCTCCAACGCCTTTTGTCAATGAAAGGACAGAAGCGTTTAACCTGCATGTCTGTCGGTCAGTCTGTCTGTTGGTCAGTCGATTGCCTTGGGTGACTGTCAGTGGGGGACTGTGTGGCTGCATCTGTCACTGAACCTAACCATCGTACGTAGAGTCAGTGGTGAGAGCACTCGCCTCGCAAGCGAGCGACCGGGGTTCGATTCCCGGGCGGGTCAGGGCAAAACATTGGGCAAGTTTCCTTAAATCCTCACACACGCCTCTGTTTGTTGAGCAGTAAGTAGGAACCCGGTTGTTAGTCGATTGGTGGATCGCTGTTCCGAGGATAATAATCCTTTTAAAAAAAAATAATTTGGCTACTTCAATGTGTGTGGGACGCTGCTGTCCCCAACTGACTGCCGGGTTTCACCCACAAGTGTACAGTCAATTCTCTTTACAGTATATTCTGTGAAGCGCTTTGAGACGTCGAGAAGATGTGAAAAGCGCTACATCAAATGCAAGGATTATTGTTATTATTATTGACGGCAAGTGGGGAAAGATGTTCAGGAAACGACAACAATAAATTACACTTGCGTAGCTCCTTTTACGTCGGGAAGAGGTCCCAAAGCGCTGAATGGTGAAACAAATCGTTAAAATAGAGTGTCTGAAGCTCAATTTAGAAGCATTACACCTGTTCCAGACAGTTTAGCAGATCTCAGCTAATCCCATTATCGTTGCTGTTTCTCCGAACTCCTCATTACCATTGATTCCCTGATATCGTCCAGTTATGTAGACAAACTCGGGCTAATAGTCATATGAGGTGCTACTGAAATACAAGCTTGTTCGTTCGGGAACCTGACCACACGGCAGACCCTAAATCGCTTGATTATAACCTCGGTGTGTTTTTTGCCTACAGGACTCTGAAGGGGAAACTTGCCAAGCAGTACCCAGAAGCTTTCAGCAGTAAGTATACGCGGCCTTTTGTCTTTATTGTGCGTGCAGCCCAGTGCCTGTCATAAGGGACGTGCATCACTTAGCCAAGTCAATGAGCGATCGCTGAGCTGGGAGGGGAAGAAGGACTGGGCGGCTACTTACTGCTGGTAAACAGAGGTGTGTGTGTGTGTCTACGTCGGTGGAGTAAGGAAACTTGCCTAAGGTTTCGCCCTGTCCAGCCCGGGAATCCATACCCCGGCTTGCAAGGCGAGCGAGTTAACCGCTACGCTATGGGACTTCTTACCTGTGGGCTGATGTGTGCTGTCAGTGACGTGGCTCTCTGTCTCTCTCTCTAACCCTCTCCGTCCCCTCCTCCCTCTCTCTCTCTCTCCTCCCTCTCTCTCTTGTGTGGGCAGGTGTACACGAATCTCCCATGTCTGAAGACGAGGATTTTGAGCCGTTGCCCAGGAACTCGCTGGTGCTGTCAACTGCTTCATGTCCGAGCTCGGAGTCCAGTGACACGAGTCCCACGCTGCTCTCCACCGGGGCGAGTGGGGACTCGGAGGACGCCTCCCACGGCCCCCCAGATCTCCCCATCATCAACGGACAGATCAGCGGCCGCCGGCAACCACAGCAGCTCCCCCCCACACGGGATCGGGGGAGAACAGAGATTAACCTGGGATCGGGGTAAACAAATAACCTTCACGACAACTCCCCACCACCCCCTCCCCCTCACACCCCCACCTTCCCCTCACACCCCCATCCTCCCCTCACACACACTCCCCTCACACCCCCACCCTCTCCCCCCCCCCTCACACCCCCAGAATAGGAGGAGCAGAAAGTGACTGTGAGCTGCCTCGTATTTCCTCACCTGGTGTTTCCTCACGTGTCTGGCCTTGTAGACATGAAAAATCACAGCTCAGAGAGAAACACAATGATCCTGGGATCGGTGTGCTGCTTACCCCCCCCCCCCACAACCCCCAACCCCCTCCCACAACCCCCAATCCCAACCCCCCTCCACACACGTACACACGCACCAACACACACACAGCAGTACACACACCAATACACACACCAATAACCCTTCTCCCCCTGTATCGTGCTTTTGTTTGAGGATGGAAACCCAGGGCTTTGGGGCCGGTGGGGTTGAGGGGTAGAGTTGCTGGGCGGGCGGGCGTGGTGGGGGAGGTTGGGGGAGAGAGGGGTGAACCCGGCCCAGTTGAACACACTGGGAAGTTGGTTCAACCCCACCCACACTGTTCGCAAAGGTAAATTCAACCTCCCTTCACGCTTCTCATCCATGTGCCCCCCCCACCACCCCCAAACCCAGGGATCAGGACATTCCCACCATTACCCTCTCTCTACGCCCCCCATAGTTCTTCCCCTCTTCCCCCCCCCGCCCCCACATTCACTGGCTCAAGAAATCCTGGCCAAGGCTACCCATTGCTCGTGAGTGCAAGGCTGTGGGATGGGTGGGAGAGTGTGTGTGGGTGTGGTGTTGCGATTGGTGGGTTGGGGGGGTAAGGGTATACGGGTGGGATTGCCACAGTGCAATGCATATTCATCGCGAACCGCAATCTCCAACATGCTGGTGTTCGGGCAGTGGGGTTGGGGAAGGAGAGGGGGGTGGGGGTGAAGCTGAATTTTGAAATGTATGATTTTTTTTTCATTGACTCATTAAAGTCAGGATTCTGGTCGGCGATTTAACCTGTTGTGTGCCGCTCGTGACTTTCTTTTGAGGTGTGGATGTACCGGTTACTCCACAGGGCGCCCCCCCCCATACAGTTTGTGTCAGCCGTGATATTGTTTGTGCGATGCAGGAGAACCCTGTTATAGGGCTGTCTCCCTCTCCAGCCCCCCCCCACCCAACAGAACGGCTCTGCTGTGGGCCCACCTCCCACAGGAAGCCTGGTACATCCGGCCTTCACCAGACGTCTTCCTAAGCTACAAAATGTCCGACTTTCTGTGGCACCAGATCACAGGGAGTGGCATCGGCAGAGATGGGAAGTTGGCTATTGGATCCAGTCAACTGCGTTACGGTAGGATTTCCCTGCGCTTTGCCCTACGTTTATAGAATGGACAATTATTAGAAAGCACTGTGGGGTGTTAGCAACCCTGAGTGGGGGGGGCTCTAGATTCTTATAGAACCCACAAGCTGTGCCTTCGGAGGCTCTTCTAAGCTTGTGCTGTATAGAGTTGGAGGTGGGGAGGAGGGGGTTGGAAACGACAGCAAATGTAAGGATTATTATTGGCTTCCGTCACCTCCCCATCCCCGCTTGCTGGTCGTCCAACCCCACCCCCGTTGTGAAGCTGACCGATGTTGTGCCCTTACGTGAAGGGCATGAAGCAAATGCAAGTTGTCGTCGTCGTTTTAGCCGCTCATTGGCAGCTCTCGGCTTCCTGTTCCCCGAGCGCACCCATTCCTCCCACTTCCCGTCCCGGAGCTTCTCTGTCGTCCGCGCCCCCCCCACTTGTGCGTTCGGACGGTTTAACAGGTTTTTAAGAACGGGGGCGTAAAGCAAGACAGACAGACACGGGATTGCTCCTTGGGGGCCATTTTATTCATTACAAAACAAAAGTATTTTAACACGGAGCTGCTTGGTGCAGTTAGGATGCCAATACTTGGCGTCGATCCCTCCCACCCCCTCCAACTTTTTCTCTCTCCCTGGACTTGTTCTGCTCATTGTTTGGTCTGGCTAGTCAAGCGTTTGTGCTCTTTAATAAGTAGGCGATCATTGCAGGATTTGGTGAGACCAGCGACCAAGGACAGGAACTCTTCGAAGGCCACCAGCCCGTCCCCGTCGAAATCCAAGTCTTTAAACACATTGTCGATGGCCTTTTGGTTGTTGTGGTGCTGTTGGATAATCGGAGAGAGAGAGAGAGAGTGAAGGAAGTGCCTTGGTTAGGTTAGGTGCATATCTGTCAGTCAGTCGTTGCAATAATACTTTACATTTACTATAGCGCCTTCGAGACGTCTCGAAGTGCTTCACAGAATACACTGTAAAGTGAATCGACTGTAACCACTTAGCTGTGGATGTGCGGTGGATATCGATGCAGTTGTGGCCTTATTGTATCTTGTGAAACCTCTCCCTATCGTTAAAATCTATGAACATCTCTCCCAGCTCTTAAGTCTGGCATAATAGATGAGGGATGGAAGCTTTAAATCTTCCAGCGCCCTGCTCGGCCTCTGTGAGTGAGTCCGCTGAGCACTTTGACATGTACTTAATGGGAAAAGGCATCATGTGGCTGCGAGATGTGACTAAGTGGCATAGAACTGAGTTTATTGCATTCCTCCTCCCCGCTCCCTCTTGCTCGCGGCCTGACTCCTGCAGTGGGGCCAGCCTGACATCAGTCAGGAACAGTGACAGGAAAAAGCCACTCCTTTCTCCAACCTCCACTGTTCTTCCTGTGAATGTTTTTCCTGACCTCACAGTCTAGGCTAACCCTCGTCTAACTCCACTGCCTCTCTTCCCCCCCCCCCCCACCCCCAACCGGACACCCACCTCCCACCCATCCCTTTGCCTCCCTCCCCTGTCCCTCCCTCTCTCCTCAGCTCCGCTCAACTCGACACTGAACAGATGAGAAAGGAACCCAGGACAGGGTATGATTCATCGAATGAACTCTCCGAACCAACCGTGGAGCTGTTCCAGGCAACAAAAAAAAACACACACACATAGCGAAGCTTCTGGGAGGGAAGGGCCAAGAAAACAGAACTACTTTGTTTGGTTTCCGTTGGTAACCAGCAGACAGGCAAACCAGCCGTGCTGACTCAGTCCAGGGTTTGGCAGAAAGGTCCCCTCCCTACAGCCGCTCCCGTCTGACTCCTTCACTCATTCCTTACAAGACTTGAGGCACTCCCGAGACGCTGCCCAGAGTGAATGGCGCTCATGTTGTATTCCTCTGCCTCCCCAGTGCAAAATTGTTTTAGATCATTTTTAATCCCTCCATTTTTGCCCCCATCTTTCCCCATCATCTGGTCATTGCTAAAGACCTTTCCCTTCCCCTTCTAGGTTACCCCCTCTCCCCCCCAGCTCAGGGTCATGCTCCACCACTGTCGAGCGCTCCGAGGCGCCGCCCTGGATGAGTGGACGCTTTGTAAATGTTACAGTAACGCTCTGTTGGGTGATTTGAGTGGAGGAGGGAGGGAGGTGGGGTGGGTGGGGGGGAGGTGGGTGGTGGGTTGGCAGTTGCCCCTCTAGAGAGGGAACAACGTTAGCTGCTAAGGTTGTCCCCACTGTCACACACATCAATAATAATAGTAATAATCCTTGCATTTTATATAACGCCTTTTCACATCATCAAGACGTCCCCAAGTGCTTCACACAATGTACTGTAATGTGTAGTGACTGTGTGTTTTGTGGGTGAAACGTGGCAGCCGATTGCTAAATGGCCAACCCAAAGCCCCATTCCAATCTCAGCCCCCTCCCCACCCTGGCTCAGGGCCACTGTTACCTGCATGAGTGTGGTCAGTTGCTCGTCCATCAGCTTCCTGAGCTGCTGCTTGTTCAGAGTCTGTTTCATTTGGTCCTTCTGGGAGTACTGGCCAAAGACGTCGATCAGATGCTCCATGGCCATCTCCAGGGGGGAAGGGACAATGCACGCTGTACTCGTCATTGCTGGCTCGAGGATCGCTGCTCACGGGTCACTGAACGGCTGTGGGGCAAAATGGGATCAGAGAAACAACAACAACAACAATAATCCTTGCTATTCGATACGGCGCCTTATCACGTCTTCGAGACGTCTCAATGCGCTTCACGCAAATATACTGTCAAGCGAATCGACTGACGGTGGATTTACGGGAAGGCACCCTCTGTAGGGAGGGGCGCGGCGGTGGAGAGATTCGAAACGAGGATCAGTTTGGCCAGAGATACTGACACGGACAGCACATACGCCCCATCTCAGCACAGACAGTTTGCAGACTCAAAAGAACAAGGCAGATAACCCGACCGCACCCTTTTTATTTGCTTTAGAGGTACAACCCCCTCCCATTTCTGCCCCCAGACCCCAAATTACCACCAAACACCAAATCAGTCCTAGTTGCAAAAGGGCTTCAAATTAAGGGCGGGGTGGGGGGTGGGGGGGGACTGGATTAATCCCAAATAAACACGATTTTTAGAAAATAAAGTCAAAAACAATTATCGGTCATGAAGAGTGAGAGACAGAGAAAAAAACCAGGGCGGAAGGTGGTTGACGAGAGAGGGATCTTTCAGCGAGATCACTTTTAAACACGGGACACAAACACAGTCGCTAAACTTGGCAGTAAATCACGCGCTTTGAGGCGTTAAACGTTCGATCAAACCGCGGGCAGAGAGGCAATACGAAGCGTGGGCCGGTCAGCGACATTGCACCGCTCCCTGTAACGTCGTACTGAACCGCTTTTGCTCAGACCGCAAGACGCTGAGTAACATTTGGCGTTCGCTATCGTGTCTGGTCGCTCAAAGCGTCTTTGCGGGATTGACTGTCAGGTGTAGTGACTGTGCATCTGCAGGCGAACGTGAAACTGACAAGACGGAAGTGGGGAAGATTTAACTAACCAACTAACCAATTAATAACTAACTAACTAACCAACTAACTAACTAACCAACTAACTGAACTGCCTTTGCCCCCTCCCCCCCACCACCCCTTACAGTCTTGTGACTGAGCCCCAATACAGTAAGAACAGGGACTGACCGTTCCTCAGAGAGTTTAGAGTTAAGTCGCAGAATAAAGCAAAACACAGCGGAGAGAGTTTGGGGTAATAGAGGAGCAGCAAAAAATGTGTGTTCCGAGAAATTCAGAACATACATCATCAACTTTAATAAAGACACACACACACATACACACGAACACATACACACATATACACATATACACATAGACACACACATACACACATATACACACATACATATACACACACACACACATATACACATAGACACACACACACACATATATACATATACACATAGACACATACATACATACATATATACACACATACATATACACATACACATATACACACATATACACACACATATACACTTAAAACCTTCACTATCCCATTACAAAGCACAATCACAAGTTTGTACAAAAGGCAAAGGATGTGATCAGACAATGTCTCAGGTTATTGTTTTGAATAAGTTATTTTTTTACCAAAAAAAACCCCCCAACAAATACTATAATAACCGAAGGCGCTTCCACACTCCGCACCTTCTCACCTGTGGGGTCCGCAGCGCAGAGAGAGAGAGGGACAGACACTGCGCCTTTGATGTCGCTCTGAGCTCTCACTTATAACTGCGCTCCTCCCTGAGCACTGCCCCCGGACCGCGGCTCTCACCGCTGATTGGAGTCCCTCTCACTCTCCCCAACCGCACAGCGCTCAGAGCCACAGGAATTTGCGCAGCCCCACCCCACCCCATCCCCCCCCCACCCCATCCCACCCCAACACCCCCCCCACCCCAACACAGCCCCCCACCCCCCTCTTCCACCCCCCCCCAACACCCCACCCTCCACCCCACCCCAACACAGCCCCCCCCAACTCAGCCCCCACCCCCCAACACCCCCCACCCCAACACAGCCCCCTCCACCCCCCCCAACCCCCCAACACCCCCACCCCAACACAGCCCCCCTCCACACCCCCCAACCCCCCCAACACCCCCCACCCCAACACAGCCCCCGACCCACCCCCCCCAGCCCTCAGCCCCCCCAACCCCATCACAGCCCCAACCCTCAGCCCCCCATCTGTGTGTGTATATGTGTGTATCTGTGTATGTATCTCTGTGTGTATCTGTGTGTGTGTATGTGTGTATCTGTGTATATGTGTATCTGTCTGTGTGTATCTGTGTGTGTGTATGTGTGTATCTGTGTATATGTGTATCTCTGTGTGTATCTCTGTGTGTATCTGTCTGTGTGTATCTGTGTGTGTGTGTATCTGTGTGTGTGTATATGTGTATCTCTGTGTGTATCTGTCTGTGTGTATCTGTGTGTGTGTGTATCTGTGTGTGTATATGTGTGTATATTGTATCTCTGTGTGTATCTCTGTGTGTGTATATGTGTGTATCTGTCTTTGGAAGAATCTTTCACAAAAAACAAATTTAAATGTGAATTCGTTGATTTTCCAAACTCCACGGGCCACAAAGCTTCCTTTTTAAAAAAATTCCAATCTTTGCATTTGACTCAGAGCCTCATGACGTTTTGGCGACGTCTCAAAGCGCTTCACAGAATGTGCTGCGAGGTGATGGACTGTGAGTTTTGTGGGCGAAACACGGCAGCCAATTGCGCACAGCAGCGTCCCCACAAACAGTCGCGGATAGAGTTCACACACACACACACACGCACACACGTCGTTCAGCTTTCAAGCACTTGGCAAAGCAGTCAGGTTTCCTAGTTCTAATGGATTCCAGATGGATGCCGAGAGCTGGAATGGGATCTGGGATTTCAAAGGCGTTGATGAAATCCCCCCAAAATCCTGTCTTATTTACCCGCAAAGCGTATCGCCGTGAGAGACACACGGCAAGACACCTCGGGAGAGGACACTTGAGGACACAAAGAGCCGTGACTTGTTTTTCTAAGCAAATGTAGCTTTAAATGCTCATTGGCACCAGCATGAGGTGAGCAACCAGTTTATCTGGAGTGAGTGAGTAACGGCCAGGAAAAGCGGGAGGCGTATTGCCATCTCTTTTCCAATAGCATCGCAAGATCTTTTAACGTCCACTGAAAGGACAGGCAGAGGAATCGACTCTGAGAATCGTGTCTCTAAATAACATTTGAGTGTTTGCCTTCAGATCACTTCCAGTCATCGAGGACCGCAGTCGGGGGAGAGAGAGAGAGAGAGGGGGAGAGAGAGAAAACTGCATTATCAGTTTCAAATGCGACGGGGCATTGGTTTAACATGTGAACAGAATATTTCTGTACGAGAAAGTATGGGCAGCGTAAGCTGACGTGGACCTCAAACTCACAACTGGCCAACACACACTTAACCAGTTTAATTAACCCTTAATTGATGACCTAACTTAGCTCCAGATACAGGGCGGTTTTTACGCGGTGAGCACAGGCGAGATTGAAGCTGGTCGGAGACTGCTCCAAATCCATTTTATGCAACGTTATTATAAACAACGGAAACAAGGAGAGAGAGAGAGAGAGACGGGCAGAAATGGAAACACTAATAATATTTGGGGCTCCTCCTCTTGGTTGATCATTTTTTCAGGCAATTTTATTTTAAAACAGTCAGAATAACAGCACTAGTTTCCAAGGAGACACGACTCATCTTAATCCATTGTCGCAATCGAGCGCCGGCTGCTGGAAAAACAAGAAATGAGTCAGACCGTCCCCTGACGCTGTGTGTTCTCACTGTTAAACCTGGCAAATCCCGGGGAAAAAAAAACGAGTGAGAATTCAGCGTTCAGTGAAGCCCGCCTCGCAAGCTAATTTAGCAAAATGTTCCCGAGTTGTTCGCCACTGAGATGTGCCTTTTTGATGGATCGCAAGGTTATTTTTTGGTGTCGATGGTGGAGGGGGGGGTGGAGGGAGCAAGGGAGGAGAGGGGAGGGCCTTGAGTTAGCAGACTGGCAGGAGCGACATTGCAGAAAATCAGCGTCCGGGTGGGGCAAGGAAGGGCGTGGAGGCATTTGACAGCTTGATCATTCCTCATCATTCTATAATCTTGAGGTCAAATTGCTGTGAAGTGCTTTGAATAGCCTCGGAAGAAGTGATTAAGGCCCTATATCAATTGCAAGGATTATTAGTATTATTATAATTGGAGCCCCTAATACCGCCTTGGCTGAGATAATAATAATAAATAATTCCTCAAGTAAAGTACTGTATTTGGATACGTTTGGGTAGGAATGTGGATCGAAAAGTGTGATGTCCAGATCAGTATCAGTGATCGTTGTAAAAAAAACACTGCTGCACATATTGTAAGGGAAAGGGTGTGAGGCGGTTTATGCAGAGTGGGAGTTTAAAGGAAGTGATTTCAGGGATTTGGAATGCAACCGTGGCATTTTGTGGAGTTAGTGATTTTAGTTGGGGCTTGACTGGACTTGAATTATGTTTGCAGTTTTGGAAGATGTTTAAGATGGTACTTTATCATGTTGCAAGTGTCTCTCATTGACATTTAGTCATATATATTTTTTTGGAGTGTGGAATTAGAGAGGAACATTGACCAGAAAACTGGGAGAAACTCACTGCTTGTCCGTACGATAGCCTTGCAGGAACTTCAAAATTCCATCTGAACCAACGGAGGAATTCTCTATTCTCTCCCTGCTTTTCCCTCGTCCCCTGCCTCCGTTCCACCATCGGTGGCCGCGCTTTCAGCCACTACGCCCCGAGACTCTGGAACACACTTCTTCTATCCCTCCGCCTTGCCCCCTCTTTTCCCCATCTTCAGGTCTCGCCTGAAGACTTTCCTCACCTTCTCCCCCAGCTCGGTGTTGTGCTCCTCCGATGTCGAGCGCTCTGGGACGCTGCCCTGCCTGAGGGGCGCTGTGCAAGTTGTTGTTGTTGTCACATTGGGCAAAGTTTGTGTTTGACCCGTTTGACTCCTCAGTCCAAGAGATAAGTGGAAACGAGGAAAATCCATCTCCCTAACTTCCACTTACACACACTGTGCTCTGTGTCTCTCATTCTATCTCTGTTTGTCCCACTCACAACGAGCGATGGCGACTTCTTTATATTCAGAGTTACAGACACAGAGTTGGCTACTTTGGAAAAAAAACCAAGTCATTCTGCTAATTAAATTCTAAATACTTTGAGAAATAATCTTTTAACACCCAGAACTACTACTACTAATAATCCTTGCAATGATACAGCGCCTTATCAGGTCCTCGAGACGTCTCAAAGCGCTTCACAGAATACCCAGTCCCTGTAAAGTGAATTGACTGCGTATTTTGGAGTCCTGTAGCTCAGTAGTTAGAGCACTCGCTTTGCAAGTGAGAGACCTGATTTCAATCCCAGGCAGAGGGCCAAACCTTGGGCAAGTTTCCTTACTCCACACAGAGCCTAATAATAATCCCTCCAAAAAAAAATAATAAATTGGTCATTTTCAATCTACGACTGTTTGTGGGACATTGCTGTGCGCAATTGGCTGCTGCGTTCGCCCACAAATATACAGTCAATTCACTTTACAGTGTGTTCTGTGAAGCGCTTTGGGATGTCCTCCCGACGTGAAAAGCGCTATATCAAATGCAAGGATTATTATTATTATTATTTTGCGGGCGATACTCAAGAAAGAAGAAGCTAACGCTTCAATTTTCACTTTATTTTCTCAAACACACTTTTTTTTAAAAAAAAAGGCAAGCAGCAGCAACGGCTGTTTCGTTCTCGCCCGCTGGAGCTCACTCCCAACTGCAAAAACAAACACAGCGAGAAGCAAAAGTTTTTGCCAAGTTGTCAGTGACGGGAGAGATCTGCAACGTAGCATCGCCCTCCAGTGGCACAAAGACCACAACGGGTTTGGATTGAGGGGAGAGACCGTGATCGCTGCCTGGTGGCGGGAGAGAAAACGTCAACTGGTTCTCCATTTCGGTTTGGGACGGGGGGTCGGCCGGGTGTGGGGGTGGGGTGGGGGGGTGCGGTGGGGGATGTCTGACACCAGCGGACACAACCCACCACCGTTGCTTACGCGTCCCCAAACCAAAGCTTGGGAATGGACCACCCACCCAAAAAAAAATGATGGCTGGTATTGGCAATGGGTTTTTGCCAGTATGAAAGATGGCGGCGACACAGCTGATGCCGTTGCCAGTATGAAAGATGGCGGCGAACACAGTTGATGCCGCTGTGCTGGCAGTGAGGTTTGTGTGTGTGTGTGTGTGCCAGTAACAAAGATGGCGGCAGCCCTGGGCGCCCCCCACCCGCCTCCCCTTTGCCCACACAGGAAGTGACAGCACAATCACGCTGAGGTATTTCCGGCTCCAGGCAAGCCGGGGCCTTTTCGGTGTCGGAGCGGCTGCTGAGCGGGTGCGTGTGAGCGGCGCTGCGGGCGGAGGGGCGGCGGGAGAGCGGCGCTGCGGTTAGTCAGGGCCCCGGGGGGAGCGCGAGCGAGGGAGGGAGGGAGCGAGGGAGGCCTCGGGAAGGGAGAGAGAGGGCGCCGGCCGCGGGCCTCCAGAGGCGGGGAGGAAGGGAGGGAGTGAGTGAGGCCCGGAGCCATGTGACAGGCCCCGGCCTGGTGGTGCGGTCCAGGCCCAGGCTGGGAGAGGGGAGAGAGGGAGAGAGGGGGAGGGGTGGAGTTTGGGGGGAAATAACCCCTCAAACCGATATTAAAAGTCAGAAACTCAGGAAAAAAAAACTTTAAAACACATCTCTTTTCCCTCTCTCAAAAAAACGAGGAGAATCCTGTGCTTCAATACCGCATTTAAAAGCATCGACCCCTCACACCGAGAAAGACTTGACCACATGAGAGCATGAACCCCCCCCCCGAGACTTGTTCAGGGTACTGTCCCTGATTTTTATAGGGACAGGAGGAGGCCATTTCAGCCCCTCGAGCCTGTTCCACCATTAAGATTGTGGCCGATCCGTACCTCAACTCCAATTACCCACCCGCGGCCCCATATCCCTTCGTATCCCACCCCGCACCCCCCCCCCCCACTCCACCCACCACCCAAAACGAGAGGTTGGATCCCCCCAAAAAAGTCTCGAGCGCCAGAGAAAGCGTGAGGGAGAGCGAGAGATGAGACTGATGTAGCTTGTGGTGATTGTAAGCTTGAGAGGGGTGGGGATTGTTGAGGCTTGTATTTGATCCGGTCCCTTTGAAAGATCTCAAAGTGCTTCACAGAATTTGTTGTAGAGGGTACGGACTGTGTATTTTGTCCGTCTTGGTCTCTGGAAAAGAGGAAGGGAGGAAAGAGAGAGAATTTTGCATACACCCAGAGAGAGAGAGAGAGAGAGAGGAGTAACTTTTGGTCTCGGGGTGAGAGAGCCAGTGGAAAGACGAAACTGCATGGATGAGAGGAAGGTAGTGTTTAAAAAGAGCAGAGAACACACGATTGAAGCTCTCAAAAAGGGCCTGAAACATTAGGAGTTTCTAAGTGTCAGAAAGAGATGAGCTGTAGGCTTCCTTACTCCACACAGAGCCTAATAATAATCCCTCCAAAACCAATAATAAATTGGTCATTTTCAATCTACGACTGTTTGTGGGACATTGCTGTGCGCAATTGGCTGCCGCGTTCGCCCACAGTCAATTCACTTTACAGTGTGTTCTGTGAAGCGCTTCGGGACGTCCTCCTGACGTGAAAAGCGCTATACCAAATGCAAGGATTATTATTATTAATCAACATGAAGGGTGCTGTCTCAATCTGGTTTGTTCTAAACCGCGCAGTTGCTGTTCAGTGTCTCACAGTGGTAAAGTGTTAATTTTTTTTAATACCTTATTTTTGCAGCTAATACCTAGGTGCCATCATGCAGATCTTTGTGAAAACCCTCACGGGCAAAACCATCACACTCGAGGTAGAGCCCAGTGATACCATAGAAAATGTCAAAGCCAAGATCCAGGATAAGGAAGGTACGTACGAGCTTGCATTACTTCAGCGCTGTATTGTGATGATAGGTGGATAATAACAAGAACTTGCTGGCAAAAGAAACCAAAGTCCCATCCAGTTCTCCTTCCATCATCCTTGTAGTCGCTTGATATGGTGTGTCCTAAACTATATATTGTAACCCAAGATATTATTTCCTAACAGAAGTCTATATTAATTTGTCCTTGAAAGATGCTTGATACAATCCTGAAACAATCTGGGTGTCCGCTGTAAAGGGTGATTGATCCCTGGACTTGGCTACAGAGAAAATATACTTGCACAATAGGTCATGTAACTACAGCTGGAATGAACGCATGTGCACACACGCCTGCTCGCCAAAATAGCCCCCTAATAGTGAGGAACGTGGACCTTGAAACGTATGGTAATTCCACGTGTGGATTCCATCACGGGGTTGTCCTGTGTTGAGCTGCCAGACATCAGGCAGCATAAACCTTTGAGGCTAATCCCCTGCGTAAAGTGTGGAGTTGCTGAGCTAGTGGTTTGAAGGGACGACGCAGATTGCAAGTCAGCGTTTGAGTGTGTGTGTGTGTGAACCCGATACACCTTGTTCCAAGCAGGCGATTTGTTATTCAGTACATTTGCCTGGGCTGGAGATGCTGTGTAATTCTAATCGAATAAATACAACTGCATTGGATGGAGCAGGCCCTGGAGTCCCATCTCAGTAGCTTATTCTCAGTGGTGACCATGGAGGAGTTAGTTTCCTTCTAGCAAGCTTGTGGTACTTTACTGTGTTTGATCGAGCTGGATATTAGAAGCCTTGTGGGTTTATAATGCAAAGCACTAACCAGCTTGGTGCTGCTCCTGGTAACAGCAGATCCCAGCAGCATTGTTGACGTGCTCCACGTTCCCAGGAGAACCTCAGTCACTAACCATTCCTCTCTTCCTGCAGGAATCCCCCCTGATCAGCAACGTCTGATTTTCGCCGGGAAGCAGCTGGAAGATGGTCGCACTCTGTCCGACTACAACATTCAGAAAGGTAGAGTACAAATCATTTCAACCTGTTTGACCAGACTTTCAGTTACCTTTCCCCTCCCCACTCAGTTCCCAATCCCCCAGCTCAGGTGCCCAGCCAGCAGTATCAAGGGCTTTGAGGTATCCTCCCAACATGAAAAGCGCTACCTACATAAATGCTCCAAAATTTTCAAATTATTAGTGACCACCCAGGTGGAATGATGGGTGAGAAAAACCGTGCCTTCAATCACCTCCCACCTCCGCCTGGCTCAGCATCGGGCTCCACCACTGTTAAGGGCTCCGAGGTTTTTTGAGACCTCTGCCTCCGATGTGGCTCCACATTAAGCTCGGGCTGACGTGCAGGGCTTGTATTTTGACCTCCTGACTTGAAAGATTAACTTATTGTTGTTCTACAGAATCAACTCTGCATCTGGTGCTTCGCCTGAGAGGTGGTGGAATGGATCCCTCCCTCCGTCTTCTTGCCATGAAATACAACTGCGAGAAAATGATCTGCCGCAAGTGAGTATTCAGACGAGCGAGGGGGGATGGTGGGTGTCCCAAGAGAGAGAGGAGAGACACTGAGGGACGTGTGGGGTGACTTGTCAAAATGTCTGTGTTTGACTTTAGCTTTACTGCCCTCACTACACAAAATCATTGAGAACTCCTTTGCTTCAATCATTCTGATTCACCACCGTATAGTTCACAGTCTCATCATCCTTCAGGCCAATGGGTTGCAGTCAACTGCTGGTATCTTCCATTCACTCTCATGCTCCTTGTTATTGCCCTCGAAGCTATAGATTATAGATGCGAGATCGAGATCGAGGGAACATTAGAAGCTGTCAGGGTGTATTGGAGTGAAAGGGGAGCAAGCTTGTGTTCCCAGTCATTGGATCTTTCAATCCCCTCACCAGAGGCTCATCTGTATCCACAGTCTTGTGAGGCAAAGCCCAAAAGATTGGTCTGATCTGAGTACTACATCCCGGGGTTGTGTTGCTGCCAGTGAATGGTGATAATGGGCCGGGGGTGAGGGAAGCGAGTGTTTGGACACAGAATAAGAAACCTGGGAAGCATCTGCTCACCTTGAACAGGGAGTCAAAGGACCTCGGCCTCGGAATGAAGTAATTGAGATGTTACCTCAGTGAGGAGAGTGGTGCAGGTGATGAATGTGCTGAAGTTTATTCTCTGCTTTGCAGATGCTATGCCAGGCTTCACCCCCGAGCATCGAACTGTCGTAAGAAGAAGTGCGGCCACACAAACAATCTGCGCCCCAAGAAGAAGCTGAAGTAACCTGCGAGTTGGGGCCGGGCACGCTGACTCCTCTGCCACATTGTGTTCTGTGCAAAATTTCCAATAAAACCTGCTAGCATTGCACTTCATTCTGCCCGAGCTGCCAGTGTCTGGTTGTTGGGCAGCATCACACCTTGCGCTTAATGTCGTGAGAGAGAAGTTCAGGTTTACACACACGCACTGCTAGGGAAACAGGCGCACGCTCGCGTGTGTGTGTGGCGTAGGGAATCTTGTCTAACGTTTCGCCCTGCCCGGTAATCGAGCCCGGGTTCTCTCGCTTGCGAGGCAAGCGCACTAACCAATATGCTATTGGACTTCACACTTGTTATGTTGGCTACCCTTCAGACTGGGCTGGCTTCATTCAGCCTGGATGCCAATAGGCCCACATGAAACCCAAGGCACATCTGTGTCCACAAGCCCTGTGAGCCAAGGCCCTAACTGCTTAGGCATTCTGAGCTCCACAGTAAGTTAAAGCATTGCATCCCCAGGACGTGTTGCTCCCAGTCGGTGGGAATAATGGGATCAGGGGAGGGGAGTGTTTGGGCACAGAATAAGTTGGGTGACTAAGAATAAGGAAACCACAAAGCATCTGCATACCTTTAACGGCTCCCTCCGCTTGATTGGCACCAGCCTCCTCCTCGTCCCTCACACCCTCCGCCCCACCATTAGAGGTCACGCTTTAGCCACTAAGCTCCGAAACTCTGGAACACTCCCTCAGTCTCTATGCGTTGCCCCCTTCCACTTTTTCGAGTCCTACCTGAAAACTTTCCTCTTCAATCATGCTTAGCCACCACTCTTTAAGCGCTCTGAGACGCTAACCTGCCTGGAGAGCGCTGTGTAAGTGTAAGCTGTTGTTGTCGGAAGAGCCTTGGCTTCTGAATGAACCACATTTGATGCAATAATTGAGATATTAACATTTAATCTTTGAAAGATTATGTTGAACAGAAGTGTGAGGCAGTAAATGAATGTATAAGTATTTGAGATGCCTTCCCATTGAAAGATTGCACAAAATATTTCCCGCTAAGCTATACATTTTGCAGCTAATCCGTGAAATGACGCAACTGTGTATTGCGGATTTCATCCTAAAGTTCGGAAAACCGAGCAACGGAACAACAAATTACGTTCATCCAGCGCCTTTCACGTCAGGAGGACATCCCAAGGCGTTGGACAGTCAGGGATATAGAGCATCTTCGTATGGATGAGCAAATGAACTTGCGTTTTTATAGCCGCAACATCGCAGTTTCTCAAAGCGCTTCACAGCGATCGCTGTTTAATGCGGTGAATAATTTAATTTCATTAAATTTTTTTTGTAGACAAATACAGCAGCCATGTTACGCCCAGCGCAGTCCCACCCACAAGCAGCCACGAGGCAAAAAGATCAATTTGTTTGGAGGATATTTGACTTGGAAACGAGGGCTGAGAAAAAACTTTCCCCCCCCCCCCCCCTTTTCGAAGAGTAGTCCGGGATTTTTAACATCCTTCTAAAGAGCTTCCTCCCGTTTTAAGTTTGCTGCACTGGAGTGTCAGCTTAGCTGAACCATCCTTTGGGTAAAGCACAAGAGGAACATCATTGCAATTCCAATAGACAGTCCCAACAGCTACAGAATTAGCTACAGATTATACTGAAAAGAGGAGTGACTGTATTTTGTGGGTGTAACACGGCTGCCAGTAGAGCAGCGTCCCATAAACAGCCATGGAGTGAGTGACCAATTCTATTTAGAGGATTTATTGGCGAGAGAGAAACTTCTCGATTCGAATCTTTAACGTCCACCTGAACAGGCAGACAGGACCTCAGTTTAATATCTCATCCAAAGGATGGCACCTCGAACAACGGACCCCTCCCCACAGCACTGCATTGGACCATCATCTTAGATGCTATGAGCTCAAGTCCTGCTGCGGGATTTGAACTCACAAGTATCTGTTTCAGAGGTGAGAGAGTTATCAATGAGCCAGGCTACACTGCAGACATGGGGTTGTGCAATTCACTTCCTCAAAACAGTTTCAAATCAGAAAAAGGCAAACAAAGGGTATTGGGCTACAGATCATCTGTGTTCTCAGAGAATGTTCAAATGGCCACTGTTCCTATGTTCCTCTGAACACCATCCCTCTCATTGAATAGAGCTCTAAACTGGCACAGGACCACTGGCCTGGGATGAACTGTTAGTCTGTAGCATTGACAGTTTTGTTTTACTAGACACCTGTACGCTCCCTTTCTGGTTAGTAGAGATTGCCCCCTTCAGTTTGGCCCTGAATTCACTGGAGGCATAGTAATAGATGAATGGGTCAATGCAGCTATTGAAAGTGCTGAGAATTTGGAAAATCAAGAAATATTTATAAAAGTCAATGTTATTTGTATAAATTTGGATTAATAGGAAGACCTGCCCGGGAGTCAAGCACATCAGAAATACCAGTAAGACCAACAAAGTCACCTTAATGACCTGTGTGTAATTCTCCCGGTTGAGTACTAGAATTCTGATCACACACACGTAACAGAATACAATGATGAGGCAGGGAAGGACAAACCCAAACACAACCAGGCCCACAGTGTAATTGTCGAAATAGTTGGCGAGGACAATGGAGGGTAAGAATTCGTTGCAAGTGGTGATGTTGAGTTCGGCGATTGGGTAGGATTGCTGGGTGACGTAATAGGGCAGCATGGCGAATAATACCAGAGCCCAGCTAACGCCACAGAGGAACCAGGCGAATGACCTTGTTCTGAGCTCCTTTGAGAAGAAGGGATGGACCACTGCCAGGTAACGGTCCACAGCCACGCAGGTGAGTAGCAGGATGGAGGAGTACACGTTGGCGTAGAAGATCACACTGGACACCCGACACATGGCCTCCCCGAATAGCCAGTCGTTGCCCAACAGGTGGTAGGAGATCTTGAGAGGTAAGGCAAGCATTAGGAGCAGGTCAGCCAAGGCCAAGTTGAGGAAGAAGATGGTGGAGGGAAGCCTCTTGATTTTGCTGAAGAGAACCCAGAAAGCCAAGGCATTGGCGGGAAGGCCAATGGTGAAGATCGCCAAATACAGGTAGGGTATCACCAGTGTCATCTCTTTGCCGGTCAGGTAGTTGGTGACCGATTCATTGACTTTGTGGATGGTCTGGTTTGAACCATCTTGTGTAACCGAATAGATGGGAAATTTTCTGGACTTGGGGAATTGTGCTTTTTCTATCACTGTACGGAAAGAGAGGGAAGGAATAAGTACCTTTTATGATTCAGAATCCCTGCATTTGTTTGATATCACTGCCGAAATAACAACAACAGCAACTTGCATTTATATAGCTTCCCAGAGCTCTTGGCAGTGGCCGAGCATGATGCCGAGCCTGGGGGAGGGGGCAGATAGCCGTAGGCACGGTCGAATAGGAAGGTCTTCAGGTGCGACCTGAAGATGGGAAAGGAGGGGGCAGGGCGGGTGGGGAGCAATTTATCTGGGTGTAGTTCTGCCTTTGGATGAGCAATTCTCCAGACCTCACAAAAGTTCTTTTAAAAAAGAAACTCCCCCAAAAGGCTGTGGATTCTGGCTGGATGCAAATTTTCAAGACTGAGGTGGATAGATATCTGTTAGGTCAGGGTATCAAGGGATATGGGGCAAAGGCGGGTAATTGGAGTTGAGGTACAGATCAGCCATGATCTTATAGAATGGATAAACAGGTTCGAGGGGCTGAAGGTCCTCTTCCAGTTCCTCAGACATTTTCGAAATTATTGCAGGCATCTCATTTGCACCATAGTACTTGCAAAGAGGAAGTGAGTTTAAAGGAATTAGCAATGACACTGGAGCATTTTGTGGGAACGGAGGTAGGAGTAAACATACAGAAGGGATAATAATATCCTTACATTTCATATAGCGCCTTATCACAAGATGTGGCAGTAAATTGCTCACAGCAGTGTCCCACAAACAGTCATGGATTGAGTGACCAATTTATTTATTTATTTTGAAAGAATTATTAGCCCCCAGAAAAGCGATCCGCCGATCGACCAACGGCCACCTACTTACAGCTAGGTAAACCGAGGCATGTGGAGTAAGGAAACTTGCCTAAGTTTGGGTCCTGCCCGGGAATCAAACCAGGGTCCTCTCGCTTGCGAGGCGAAGGCTCTAACCACTACTCTACAGGACGCCAGATCTAACATTTAACATCTTATCTGAAGGTTGCACTAAAAGTGGCTGCATGAGCGGGACCTCAGATCCTGTGTTGAATGTGCAAGACTCTTATCTCTACATTTTCCTCCGACCACGTCTAATCTCACGATTTCCGTCTGCTTCTGCTTCACAAATGGTGGCCAATCTCCTGGTTGCTTTGTGCTTGATCTCAGGAACTCTCCCCAAATCCTTCCACCTTCGCCCTGTTCCCTGGCTGTTTAAAATCCCACCTGAAACCCTCCCCGTTGAACTGGGGTTTCAAAGTATAGTGACCGTGTGTTTTAAGGACAAATTGTGCGGCCAGTTTGCACCCGGCAACGTTCCATCAACACGCATAAAGTGAATGACATATTTTATCCAGGGATTGTTGGCTAAGTCACTGGGAGAAACCTCCTCTTTTCTAGTACCTTTAACATCTACTTGAACAGGCAGCTTCAACAGTGCAGCATTACCCGCAGCACTGCATTGGAAAACGTCAGCCGAGACATAAGAGCTCAAAGTCCCAATGTGGGGCTTGAACCCACAACCTTCAGAGGTTCCTCGGGTTACTTCTTACTCAGAGGTAGGAGTGCTACCAAAGTGAGCCAGGCTAACACCAAACCTACGAGATATTCAGTAAAGGGAAGTGTTTTAACAATTTGCCAAATTCTGAACTCTCTTTTAAATGCTACGAAAACGGAATGAATCCAGACCCGGGCGTAATTTCTCCCCTTATGAGTCTCTTAAGAGTGACTGGAAAGAAGGTCAGTGTCTTACCGTCAGAGTTATGTGTGGAGAAGGCTGTGGCTAAGCAACTGAGAACGAGCAGGAGGACCACTGATCCAGGCGAGGGTGATGGCAGCATTCTGGTAGCCAGTGTGGCTTGTCTGTGTGGCTCAGCAAATGGAAACGGTCACTGCTCACTGAACGAAGTGTCTACCGATAGATTGCCTCCGACACAACTCCGACAGTCAGTTCCAGCAGTTACAGAAGAGGAAAAAAACTCGATCACATCACTCAGAGCAGCCGGACTATAAAATCTTGATACAGATGATATGTGACGTGTGTGTCTGAGTATCTGAGAATCTTGTGCCACAATTGGTTTAGAACTTTAAGGAAGTGAATTAATCACTTCTATTTCACACTTTCAACTAACATGACTGCTCAAAACTAAATTAGTTTAACGTTTCTTCCTGCAGCAGGGGGACAACGGGGCAGATTCAGGATATTCAGTGCTTGTCTTCAGGGCAAACACTCCTGAGAAGGAAAGGATTTTTGGGGGATGGAGTGGGATAATAATAATAATAATAATAATAATAATAATAATCCTTGCATTTGATATAGCGCTTTTCACGTCGGGAGGACGTCCCAAAGCGCTTCACAGAATATACTGTAAAGTGAATTGACTGTATATTTGTGGGCGAACGCGGCAGCCAATTGCGCACAGCAATGTCCCACAAAGTGTCGTAGATTGAAAATGACCAATTTATTATTGTTTTTGGTTTTGGAGGGATTATTATTAGGCTCTGTGTGGAGTAAGGAAACTTGCCCAAGGTTTCGCCCTCTGCCTGGAATTGAACTCAGGTCTCTCGCTTGCAAAGCGAGTGCTCTAACCACTGAGCTACAGGACTCCACAAATCAAGATCAAGATGAGTACAGGACAATTGTGATGGACAACTTCAACGACAAATTATATTTATACAGCGCCTTTCACATTCGAAAGGACATCCCAAAGCACTGGATTTTACTTTGCTTAAAATTGCTTAATTTAACAGGTTAGGGTGGTAACTCATTTGAGAAACTGCTCGATGCTGTGAAGGTGGATAAATAATAATAATAATAATCCTCGCATTTGATACAGCGCTTTTCACGTCTTCTTGACGTCTCAAAGCGCTTCACAGAATATACTGTAAAGTGAATTGTCTGTATATTTGTGGGCGAAACGAGGCAACCAATTGCGCACAGAAGCGTCCCGGATTGAAGTGACCGATTTATTATTTTTTTTCTTGAGGGACTATTATCAGGCGTGCGGAATAAGAAAACTCGCCCAAGATTTTGCCGTGCCGGAAATCAAACCCAGGTCCTTCGCTTGTGAGACGAGTGCTCTAACTGCTGAGCTACAGGATGAGGTCAAATGTGTTGCAGAGCCTTCTGCACTCTCTTGTGGTCTTCTGATTAGAATAGAACCGCTTGTGCACTTCTATCTGTGTGTGAAAATGTGTGGGGGTGAGGGTGGGGATGGTGACGAGGGGAGATGTGAAAATTCCAGACATTGCGACATTGCAGTGTTTAACAAGTTCCCTTTTCGAAGTATCCAAATTGGTCACTGCGTAAGTGGAAGAAAACAATGCACAGGATTATTTCATCACGGGAAATCTGAGCTTTATATTTGGCAAAAAAATCTGTACATGACATGCAGATACAACGTCAGCCCTGAGCTGTCACAACTGCTGACACCAGGCAATAAGTAAATTTAGTACTATACCAATTGTGTATCAGTCTGGTGCTGTGGGTAATGCTCTCGCCTCGGATTCAGAAGGTTGTGGGCTTCAGCCTCAGATAGGAACTTAGATTCACAATGTCTAAGATGACACTCCAATGCAGCGCTGGGGGTGCATTGCTGCATTGATGCAGGTGCCGTCCTTCAGGTGAGAAGTTAAACCAAGGTCCCGTCTGCTCTGTTCAGGTGGACATTAAAGATCTCCCGTGACACTATTCGAAAAGAGAAGAGAATTTCCGTCTCTCCCGGCCGACAATCCCCCCAAATAAAATGGGTTGCTCACTCCATGGCTAGTTATGGGATGTTGCTGTGGCAATTGGCTGCCATGTGGTTCGCCTACAAATGCACAGTCATTTCCACTTTACGGTGTTTCCTGTGAAGCGCTTTGAGACGTCTCTGTGACGTGATAAGGCGCTGTATCAAATGCCAGGATTATTATTATTGTTATTATTATTGTGAAGTGGTCTGTGACATCAGTGAGGCTTAGAGGTTTCAAACCAATCTATTTAAAGTTTCATATAATCTAGTTTCCGTTTGTGCGCTAGAGAGATCTCTGTTTACCTGATCTAATTTAATGGGGGCAAGGGCGGGGAAATGGAGTTAAGTTAAGGTATAGGTCAACCATGATCTTATAGAAAAGTGGAACTGGCTCAAGGGGCTGAATGGCCAGCTCCTATGTTCCTATTTATGTAATCCCGGAGCGTTCAAACATAGGTTGGCTGGAGCCAAGGTTTCGGGATGGGGTGGGTCGGGCAAGGGAATCTCAAAATGTTGAAATATATTAACTATTGCCTCGGGATACATTGATATATTTTCAAACAGCAACCAAGTTTTCCAGAAGGTTTGATAGTTAAATGGTTAAAAGTAGCTTTGCTGGATGGGCTGAGGTCAGCTTCTGAATGTATTTCTTTTTTTTCCTGGGAAGATGTTCACTCCTCTGAGATAATGAGCCATCGGGTCCTTCAGCATAGATGCAAGAGCAATGGACCGCAGAAAGAGAAGCCTGTCTATCTCGAGGCTGAGAAGACTTGTGGGAGGCTGCCCGGAAGTTGTCCGTGTCTCTCTCTGTGCAAAGCAGCTGCGTAGGATGGGGGCTATCTATATCTGTGACCTGTGGAGTTAGAAACACCTAAAAGACAGAAAGATGTAACTTTGGAATAATTGGAGTTGTGTAAAGGGTCAGCACTTCCCAGTGGAACCGATATCGATTCTACTGTGTGTCTATGTATATGTACGGGGTGAGGGAATTTACCTCCAGTAAGAAAGTGACCATTAAAAGTGGAAGAGGAGGAGTAGTCACTGGGTAATATGCTTTTGGTTCTGTTTGCTAGGCAGAGAAGTAATTACAATAGTAGTGGTTGGTCCGTTTGAACCACAGAAATCAGGTTAGACAGTACGAGTATGGGCTAAGAGCCGATGGTTTCTGTTAGGTTTCCAGGAGTCGTTCTCTGTGACTCTGTGTGATAGTTCTGTGATATCTCCAGTGTATGTCAAGGTGTGATCCCAGGTCTACTGTGGAGTCCTGTAGCTCAGTGGTTAGAGCATTCGCTTTGCAAGTGAGAGACCTGAGTTCAATTCCAGGCAGAGGGCGAAACCTTGGGCAAGTTTCCTTACTCCACACAGAGCCTAATAATAATCCCTCCAAAACCAAAACAATAATAAAATTGGTCATTTTCAATCTACGACTGTTTGTGGGACATTGCTGTGCGCAATTGGCTGCCGCGTTCGCCCACAAATATACAGTCAATTCACTTTACAGTGTGTTCTGTGAAGCGCTTTGGGACGTCCTCCCGACGTGAAAAGCGCTATATCAAATGCAAGGATTATTATTATTATTATTATTATTATTATTATTATTATTATTATTATTATTATTATTACTGCTTAGTCTGGAGTACGAAACGTAACATAACATAACATACAGGAGCAGAAGTAGGCCATTCAGCCCTTCGAACCTGCCCCGCCATCCAATCATGGCTGATCTTCTAATCTAACTCCAGCTAATAACCTGACGCTGCCTTATCCCCATATCCCTTAATCGCTTTTGCAATAAGTAATCTATCTATCTCAGTCTTGAATATGTTCAAGGACTGAGCGTCAACAGCCCTTTGGGGTAGTGAGTTCCATACATTCACTGCCCTTTGAGTGAAGAAGTTCTTCTTCAACTCAGTGCGAAAGGGCTGCCTCTGATTTTAAGGTTGTGACCCCTGGTTTTAGTTTCTCCAACCGGGGAAACAATCTCCCACTATCTACTCTATCATACCCTTTGATGATCTTATAGGTTTCTATAAGATCCGCTCTAATTCTTCTATATTCTAGAGAATATAGGCCCAAATTGGTCAGCCTATCCTCGTAACTCATCCCCTTCATCCCTGGTACTAATCTAGTAAATCTACACTGCACCCCCTCCAAGGTGCCTGGATACGTGTTGTTGTCCCTGTATGGTCAGTACTAAGGGCTGCAAGGTACTGTGAGGATCTGAGGGGCGATTCCAGAGGCTGAATGGGGATTGTCTGTCTTCTGAAGTTTTGTGTTACAGAATCAGTTGTCCCTGATCTCTGCTGTAAATTTTGTGGGGTGTTGTTTGTCTGGAGTACTGATCAACCCTTGTGCGTGCTGTGTGGTAAATGTTTTGCTCACACAGATGTGCTGTACTGATGTTGTGCTGTTATATGTCGTATAATTTGATTACAGATTGTAAAACCTTACGTTTCATCTTAGGCAATAAATTCTATTCTCTTAGCACCGCCTGTCGAATTATTAACAAAAGCTCCGCAGGACATAGGGATCAGAGGGTCACGGGGTTGAGAGAAACAGGAATGGAGAGTGTGATCGCTGAGGAAGGGCACTGGATTGCAACCAGACCAGTGTGACACATCTCAGCTGCTCGCAACTCTTCTGTGGTCAGACGCTTTGTGGTCAATGCAATGTCCCTGGCAGAAGTTGAACCCAAGAGAATTACTGAAGTGAAAAACAAAGATTCGAGTCACAAAAGAACAATCTCTTTAATTTTATTATTCCACACCTAGAGTTCACAGGGAAAGGAAACATCTGTTAGAGTTTTGTAATGTGTGGTCGAGCGGCTGAGATAATACTACTAATAATAATCCTTGCATTTGATACAGCGCCTCATCACGTCTTCGAGACGTCTCAAAACTCTTCACAGAATATACTGTAGAGTGAATTGTGATTGACGGGTGCTTTCAATGCAGCGTTGGAGTCAGTTCAGCTGCCCACTCTGTCACTCCTGAGAATTCAACAACAACAACTTGGGTTTGGAGGGCGGCTCAGTGTCGGAAGGCGGCTCAGTACCGCTTCACGGTAACGGATCCCGGGGCCGAGCCGGGGGGAGTGGGAGAGGGAAGAGTGGGGGGGAGTGGGGGAGGAAGGTGACCAAAGGCACGGTCGAAAAGAAAGGTCTTCAGCAGAGATCTGAAAATGGGAAGGGAGGGAACGAGACGAAGGGAGGGAGGGAGGCAGTTCCAGAGCCTCGGGGCGCAGTGGCTGAAGGCACGGCCACCGAGGGTGGAGCGGACGACTCGGGGGACGAGGAATTCAATTGAGTCTTAATGTTCTTCTTAATATTGGAGTCCCGGTAGTGTAGTGATTTTCCCGCTTGTTAGCACCTTCACTGCTTCTCCTTTGGCTGAGAATGAAAGCCCTGATCACAGCCACATCACGCACCAGAGCGAGCAGACATGGCAAGGCACCCAGCCCACGCTGGCGAAAGACCAGAAATAACGGACGAAGGCGAGGAGGAGGACAGAGCAGTACATGTTGCCGTAGAGGAAGCTGGTGGAGATGCGGCTGGGCGGCCATATCAAGGCAGAACTGAGGGGGGCGCGGGCTATGGCATTATCTGAGGTGCCATCCTGAGGGTGAGTCTGTGCTTGTACAGGTACATGCGCGAGATAAAGATTCCGTGGTGTCGTTTGAAGAGCGAAGGGAGTCTCTCCCAGTGTCCTGGCCCACAATTGTTCGTTCCCCTCGTGGTTGTTTGCGGCCTCTTGTCCAAGAGAGTTATTATTTTACAATAGTTGTTTACACATACAGTCACGACACTTGTCAGCAATTATGTGTGAAGTGCCCTGAGGTGCTTTGTACCAAAGCTGCCCTGTAGTGTTGTTCATCAGAAAGTGTGGCTGTGTGGTGGGGTGGTAGTGTCAGGTGGTGTTCATGGGACACTCGGTCCCCTCTAGAGTAATACCGTAAAGTGAATTCACTGCGTATTTCGTGCGCGCGCATTTAGAGCACAGAAAAAGGCCATTCGGGCCCGTCGTGTCTGTGTCAGCTCTTTGAATTACTGAAGTCAAACAACCATTCAACTCACAAGTTACAAACTTTTTCTTTATTGTTCAAATGAGCCGGCAATGAGAATTAACAGCAAATGGAAATACCTGGGAAGGTTTCACAGCGGCAAGCTTGTGGGGCTGAATGTGTGGCATAAATATGATTACCAGGTGTCTGTCAGTAGGAAGTTGAATGCAGTTTATAAGAATATAAGAAGCTGAGAATTTGCCGGATGAAAGAAAACCAAGGTCCATCCAGTTTGCCTTCCACCATCCTGGCCGTTGCTTACCTCATGTCGTGCCCCAAATATAGTATTGTATCCCGAGATATTAATTCCTCACGGAAATCTATCTAATTTGTTCTTAAGAGGATCAGCACTTCATGCTTACACCATCTCCCAAGCTTAGTGGGATTCTTTACTAGTTTTGTGTCGGGACGTAGTGAAGGTAACTATCTTTCTCTGTGTGCAACATCCAGTTTTGTATCAAAGGACAATTGAGTCCAAATGGTTTGAAAGTTGACCCCCAGTTTGGCCTAAGTCCCTGACATTACTTGAGCTGACAGGGTTCACACACACACACACACACTGCCTTGAAAGTTCACCATCTCTATCGCCACTAAGGTCAATTCCACTTGTTCTCTACTGTGTAACAGGTAACACACACAGAGTGGAGCTCAGTCAGTAACCTAACAAAATAATAATAATAATAATAATCCTTGCATTTGATATACTGCCTTATCATGTCTTTGAGACTTCTCAAAGCGCTTCACAGAAAACACTGTAAAGTGAAATGACTGTATATTTTGTGTGAGACATCTGGCAGTCAAATGCACACAGCAGTGTCCCATAAACAGTCGTGGATTGAGTGACCAACTTATTATTTTTTTTTAAGGAATTATTACTCCCGGAAAGCGATGCGCCAATCGACTGGCAACCGTGTTCCTACTTACCACTAGGTAAACAGAGCCTTGTGGAGTAAGGAAACTTGCCTAAGATTTTTCCCTGCCGGGCTGGGAATCGAACCCAAGTCCTCTCGCCTGCAAGGGGAGCGCTCTCACCACTAAGCTACAAGATGACAATTCATTCTGCTTTTGACAAGGCAAGCTGGACAGTCAGTCAGTCTCCCTGTGGGGTCAGGTCTCCAGCGAGTCAGAGGCTATTCACTCAGACTACGGTCTTCGAGTGGGACGTGTAGAGGAAGTTGGTCGTTGTGGAGGTGGTGGTGGTACGTAAAAGTTCTTGTGAGGTTTCCCGGCCGCCCTTCTCCTTGCGGGAGCAAAGTGTCGCTTGGACCTTGGCTCTGAAGTCGTCGGACACAAAATAGTAGATGAAGGGATCCAGGCAGCTGCTGAAGCCACTGAGAGCCAGGCTGAGCATGTAGTAGATGTACAGGTCGCTGTCGTGGTTGAGGAAGAACTGCAGGTGGTGAGTCAGGAGGATGACGTTGCTGGGAGTGAAGCACAGCACGTAGACCAGGAGGGTGAGGGTGGTCGCGCCCGCCGCCCGCTTGTATTTCTTCTCGTTGAACGCCAGGGTCTTGATGACGGAGCCGTAGCAGAACAGGGTGATGGCGCAGGGCAGGGCAAACTCCACGGTGACCAGGGAAGCGAAGTAATAGAAGAAATAGCCGTTCTGTTGTCTCAAGGGCAACACATCGTGACAGGTGGTGACGTTTAGGTTGTGGATATGGTAGGTTTGCTGCACCAGGAGGAAAGGCAGCAGAGAGAGAGACACCAGGGCCCAGGTGCCCAGGCAAACACCACAGGCAAGCCTCTTGTCCCTGAATATAATAATAGTAACAACAATAAGAATCCTTGCATTTGACGGCGCGCCTTATCACGTCTTTGTTGCATCAAAAAAAGTGTGTGTGTGTGGAGTAAGGAAACTTGCCTAAGGCTTTGCCCCACCCGGGAATCGAACCTGGGTCCTCTCGCTTGCAAGGCGAGAGCTCTAACCACTGAGCTACGGGACTTCACGATGGAAAGAGATGAGAGAGAGAGAGAGAGAGAGAGAGAGAGAACTGTCTGCCTTCAAACAGTAGCATTGTCACGAAGAGTGAACCTCCACATCTACTGACTCTACTCTGAGTATTTGCTCACCTGAAGCGCAGCGAGAGGAACGGGTGGACCAGGGCGAAGTAGCGGTCGACGCTGATGAAGGTGAGGAGGAGGATGGAGCAGTACATGTTGCCGTAGAAGAGCCCGGTGTAGAGTCGGCACAAAGCCTCGCCGAATATCCAGTCGTTGCCCATCAGGTGGTAGGAGATCTTGAAGGGCAGCATGAGGATGAGGAGCAGGTCTGAGGTGGCCAGGTTGATGAGGAAGATGGTGGAGGGCAGCTTCCTGATTTTCGTGATCATTATCCAGAGCCCCAGTGCGTTGGCGGGCAGCCCAATGCCGAACACCAGAATGTAGAGAGTTGGAATGAACACCGTAGTGACCGCACCAGTCAAGTGGCCTCTCGTGATGTTGTCAACGTTGCTGAGGTTCTTCATTGTGTAGAAGGTTCTGTTATTTATGGTGACAATCACTGGTATCAATTCATAATGAGGACGGAAGCCTCTGGGATTTGCTTTCGACATTGCAAAGTCAGTCGACTCATTGAGCATTATACTTCCCTCGTAATTGTAGGTCGACTCATTGAGCATTATACTTCTCTCGTAATTGTAATCTGTGACTGCAAACACAAGTGGAAGAAAAAAAATAGATGAATTCACGTTGCATCACACCAAAAGTTGGCCACCTTTGAGGGGACTCAGAGGGACAGGGAGAGACTTATTATTATTAATAATAATAATCCACTTATTATTAATTAATAATAATAATCCTTGCGTTTGATATAGAGTCTTAACCGGTCTTTGAGACGTCTCAAAGCGCTTCACAGGATATACTGTCAAGTGACTGTATTTTGTGGACGAAAAGCAGCAGCCAATTGCGCGCAGCAGGTTCCCACAAACAGTCCTGGATTGAGTGAGTCACCAATTTTTAAAAAAATATTATTTTATTCATTTATTGTTGAAGGATGATTAAGCTCAGGAAATGCGATCTGCCAATCGACTAACCGGTTTCCTACTTGCTGCTCGGTGAACAGAGGTGTGCGGAGTGAGGAAACTTCATACCCTCGTACGCGCCTTCATTACATCAAGGCTCGACTGCGCAAACTCACTGCTTGTTGGCCTCCCCCAACTTCTCCCTCCACAGCACCGGGCTCCGCGACCCTATCACCCCCATCCTCGCCCGACTCCGCTGGCCTCCCATCACACAGAGGATACAGTTCAAGATCCAGGTCCTCACCTTCAAAGCCCATCCATGGTCTTGCTCCCCCCGACCTCTCCCACCTCCTAACTCCCCGGCCACCCTGTTCGCTCCCTCCGCTCAGTGGGCTCTGGCCTGCTTCACATCCACCGCCTCGTTCGCCCCACGATCAGCGTTACGCGAGGCCTTGCTCCACTCTGCCCCCACCCTCTGAAGCTCCATCCCGCAATCCCTCCATCTCGCCCCCTCTCTCGTCACCCCACCTCAAGCCCCACCTCAAGACCCTCCTCTTCGACCTTGCTTTCGATCTCCCTGCTTCCCCCCACCCCCCACCCCCGCTGTCCCGCCCTCCCCCACCCTGACCCTCAGCTCGGGTCCGTAACTCTGTCTGTCCGGCACCGCGGGACGTGCTCCTGACGTGAAAGGCGCTTTCCACACGTCGCTTTGTTGTTACTGTGGTTGTTGATTACCGTTAAGAAAGAAATATCGCAAGTTAGACTCCAGTCTTTTGCTTTAAGGAGAACAAAAAAATCAACTTTCAAGACACACAAATGCTTAAACCTTCCAAAGACAGTGGCCGGATGGAGGCAGGAAGATTCTGTGCACTCGACACCGGTTCCAGCCACTGTGTTTCTTGGGCAAGTTTCCTTACTCCACACGCCTAATAATAATCCCTTCAAAAACCAAAAATAATAATAAAAAAAAAATTGGTCATTTTCAATCTACGACTGTTTGTGGGACATTGCTGTGCGCAATTGGCTGCCGCGTTCGCCCACAAATATACAGTCAATTCACTTTACAGTGTGTTCTGTGAAGCGCTTTGGGACGTCCTCCCGACGTGAAAAGCGCTATATCAAATGCAAGGATTATTATTATTATTATTATTATTATTATTCCTTTGAAGTCTCTTTCTAATCGCTTGTTTATTTACACTTTTATCAAAACCACTTAATTTAGAGGAAGGAAACTTTTGACAGACAGCGAAACGGTGATGGCTGGTTTTGTTTCTGTAAATTTTCAGCTTCGATTTGAAGCAGAATCTCTCGGAAAGAATTTATTTCGAATTCGAGAGCCCCAGTCACGAGTTTCAGTGTCTCTTTTAATATCTTGTTTTCTGCGCCCTGAGATGAACCGTTATACACTCAAAATAAAAAAAACTACACGCGCAAAAGGCTCCGGTTCAAATGAATTATTATAATAATAATTTTAATTAGGGCACATTATAATAATAATAATCCTTTGATTGCATTTGATATGGTTCCTTTCACATCGTCGAGACATCTCAAAGCGCTTTGCAGAATGTACTTAAAGTGGATTTTGTGGGTATACGCCCGTAAATTACCCCTTTTCCCCTTCCCCACACACCACCCCTTTAATAAATGAATCCTCTCTGCCCTTTGATAATCTGTTGGTAACCTGTGTGAACATTTTCACCCGTTTCAGACATCGCAGTCTCGAAAGCAGAGCCGAACAGAAAGCTTCGGGAAAACTTAACCTCGTAACAAAAGTTTCATAGAATCATAGAATCTCACAGCACAGAAGGAGGACATTCGGCCCATCGTGCAGGTGCAGGTCTTAGAAAGAGCCACCAACGAGTCCTACTCCCCCGGCTTGTACCCCACAGCCAAGATTTCCTTTTCAAGTACTATCCCAATTCCGCTTTGAAAACTTCTATCCAATTTGCTTCCACCACCCTTTCAGGCAGTGCGTTCCAGACCGTAACAACCCTTATGTTATCTTTGTGATCCCAGGAATTTTGAATACAGTAAAATGATAAACTTACAGTTGTAACTCAAGAAGTCAGAAGTGCAACAGGAGATTAAGAGAGCGAAGAGAAGAGTTTGTATCAGATGTGGAGAGTTCATGATGATACACGGTCCTCCCAGCTGTCCCACACACACACTCTCTCTCTCTCCGAACTAACTGTTTCCTGAGCTGGAAATGTTATTTCCTACTTGTGCATAAGTGGGAGAGGAAATGGGAGCAGACGAGAAGGATGCTTTTAAACTGACCTCATGGCTCAGAATCACATTAGTAGATGTTGTCGTTGGTTCAGAACGTTTGAAGAGTAAGAGCGAGCAGCAATTTCTTAGCTCACCTCGGGAAAGACTTATCGCACAGACTATAATAATAATGATAATGATAATCCTTGCATTTGATACAGTGTCTTATCATATTTTCGAGATAATATACTTTAAAGTGAATTGACTGTATTCTTTGTGGGCAAAACACGGCAGCCAATTGCGCACGGCGGCGTCCCACAAACAGTCGTGGATTGAGTGACCAAATTATTGTTTTAAAGATTAATTTTCTTGGAGGGATTATTACCCCCAGAAAAGCGATCCGCCATTTGACTAACTTACTGCTAGGTAAACAGAGGCGTGTGGAATAAGGAAACTTGCCTAAACTTCCCTACCTGGGGATCGAACCCGGGTTCTCTTGCTTGCGAGGTGAGCGCTCTAACCACTACGCTACGGCACTCCACAACAGGTATATTCCCACATTGCCATTGCTCAGAGGCTCTGGAATCAAGTCATTGGAGTTTGAGCTTAGTGTTAACCCGCGGTGAAGTGTTCACGGCAGCTTCCTGAGCTCAGATGTCCTGCTTGATACTGGTGAGGTGCTTTCGCAGACAGATTGAGAGAGAGAGAGAGAGAGACACCACAGATGGAAGAGAAGAAGTTCCATCTCTTTTCAAACAGTGACATGTCATCTCTAACTTCCCCCTCAACAGAAGGACGTTAGTTTAACGTCTCATCTGAAGGACGGCATCTCCGGCAATGCAGCCCCACCAACCCCCGCCCCCAGCACTGTATTGCAGCATCAGTGTTGTCTACAAAGATCCCGACTTGGGGGCTTGAACCCACAGCCACTTGACTGAGAGGCGTGAGGGCTAGCGACTGAGCCAGGCTGACTCTTATCACTTTACGCACATTTTAACAGAAAAACGCCAACTCATCTGAAGCTTGATTAAAATACATTTCCCTGAAGAAGGGGAGAAATATTTCCAACCGTAACCCTACGTTTTACACAGAGGACATGAGGTGATGGGGTATCGAGAGCTTCAGGTATTGATGAGGTGACGTTTGCTTTCATAATATATATTGGAGGAGCAATGAATAATAACAATAATAATCCTTGCATTTGATATAGAGCATTATCACGTCGTTGAGACATCTCAAAGCACTCCACAGGATATAGGGGAGTGACTGGACATTTTGTGGGCGAAACTTGACTGCCAATTGCACACAGCTGTGGCCCACAAACAGTCGTGGATTGAATGACCAAATTTTTTTCGGGGTCAGGGTGCTGGGGGAGTGGATTATTACCCCTGGAAAGTGATCCGCCAATTGACTAACAGCCGTGCTTCATCTATTTCTAGGTAAGATGAAAACAAGGGGAATCCTGTCCTGTGAATAGAGAGGAACGAGAGATAGACACACTCTGGACTTAATCACATTCCTCAAGTTTCCTGGAATTTTGATGCTTTAATGGTCAATAAACACAAAGAAACAGCTCAACACAAAAACGTACATTTACTCCTTTTTATTAAGCTGGAAAAAGTAATAATAATATAATAACAATCCATGCATTTGATACAGCGCTTTTCATGTCTTCTCGATGTCTCAAAGCGCTTCACAGAATAGAGTGTAAAGTGAATTGACAGTATCATTTGCGAGTAATCTGAGTGTGTGAGTTTACCTGAGAATCAATGAAAAACCACCGTAATAATTAATATCGCCCACAAACACGCAGTGTCCCCCTCTAGGAGATGCTGAAAGTGGAGTGACTGTGTATTTTGTAGCTGATGCGGGGGGGGAGGGGCGGGTGTGGTGGAGGGTGCGGGGTGTGTGTCAGTGTGTGTGTCAGTGTATGTGTGTGTGTCAGTGTGTGTCAGTGTATGTGTGTGTGTCAGTGTGTGTGGTGAGGGAGGAGGCTGTTAAAATGTAAGGGTTCCGTATTTCTTTCTGCTTCAGTCAGTCAGTCTCCCTGTGTGGTCAGGTCTCCAGGCTGTTCAAAAGCTGGGGCGCGGCTGCGGCTGTGGCGGTGGAGGTGAAGGAGGATGTCAAGGGGACCGTGTTGATGGGGGGCTTCACTCGCAAGACTTTTGGCGAGGTTTCCCGGCCGCCCTTCTCCTTGCGGGAGCAAAGTGTCGCTTGGACCTTGGCTCTGAAGTCGTCGGACACAAAATAGTAGATGAAGGGATCCAGGCAGCTGCTGAAGCCACTGAGAGCCAGGCTGAGCATGTAGTAGATGTACAGGTCGCTGTGGTGGTTGAGGAAGAACTGCAGGTGGTGAGTCAGGAGGATGACGTTGCTGGGAGTGAAGCACAGCACGTAGACCAGGAGGGTGAGGGTGGTCGCGCCCGCCGCCCGCTTGTATTTCTTCTCGTTGAACGCCAGGGTCTTGATGATGGAGCCGTAGCAGAACAGGGTGATGGCACAGGGCAGGGCAAACTCCACGATGACCAGGGAAGCGAAGTAATAGAAGAAATAGCCGCTACGTTGCTCCGAGAGCAACGAGTCGTGACAGGTGGTGACGTTTAGGTTGTGGATATGGTAGGTTTGCTGCACCAGGAGGAAAGGCAGCAGAGAGAGAGACACCAGGGCCCAGGTGCCCAGGCAAACACCACAGGCAAGCCTCTTGTCCCTGAAGCCCAGCGAGAGGAACGGGTGGACCAGGGCGAAGTAGCGGTCGACGCTGATGAAGGTGAGGAGGAGGATGGAGCAGTATATGTTGCCGTAGAAGAGCCCGGTGTAGAGTCGGCACAAAGCCTCGCCGAATATCCAGTCGTTGCCCATCAGGTGGTAGGAGATCTTGAAGGGCAGCATGAGGATGAGGAGCAGGTCTGAGGTGGCCAGGTTGATGAGGAAGATGGTGGAGGGCAGCTTCCTGATTTTCGTGATCATTATCCAGAGCCCCAGTGCGTTGGCGGGCAGCCCAATGCCGAACACCAGAATGTAGAGAGTTGGAATGAACACCGTAGTGACCGCACCAGTCAAGTGGCCTCTCGTGATGTTGTCAACCTTGTAGATGGTGAGGTTTTTCCAGACATAGTCAGTCATATTCTCAAGCTCATTGACGCTGAGATTCTTGAAAGTTATCAAGCTAGATTCGTGAATAATAAAGTATTTGATTGTCTCGACTATATCAGTTGTCGTGTTCCCATCGCCATCTGCTCAGGAGGAATAGCATTAGATGAATTAACATTGGAAAAGCTCTTCCACCAGCAAGTTACTAAAATAATAATAATAACTAATAATAATAATAATAATTCTTACTCTGCCTGCTTCATGTCCTCGTTCGCCGCGCTATTCGCAGGTGGGCCTTCTGCCACTCTGCCCCCACCCTCTGGAACTCCATCCTGCAGTCCCACTGCCTCCCCCCCCCCCCTTCCTCGCCACCTTCAAGACCCACCTCAAGACCCTCCCCTCTTCAACCGTGCTTTCGATCTCCCTGCTTTCCCCCCACCTACCCTCCACCCTCCCCCATCCGAACCCCCAGCTCGGGTCCGTAACCCTGTCTGTCCGGCACCTTGGGATGACCTCCCGACGTGAAAGGTGCTATACAAGTGTAACTTTGTTGTTGTTGTTGCTTTCATACAGCGCCTTATCACGTCGTCGAGACGTTTCAAAGCGCTTCACAGAATACAGTGTAAAGTGGAGTGACTGTGTGTTTTTGTGGGTGAAACATGGCAGACAGTTTGTGCCCAGTAGTGTATTGCAAACAACCGTGGAACGAGTGACCAATTTTTTTTCATGAGTTTTGTTCACCAGCGCTCAGGGAGAAACAACAAGATTAAATTTGTATAGCGCCTTTCACGTCGGGAGGACGTCCCAAGGCGCTGAAACACCTTCACAGCTCACCCAGACTGGAGTACAATCCACTTTCGTATCATAAAGCATCCATAAATCACAGTTATCATCATCATAACAATAACAATCCTTGAACTTGATCGAACTGATCACATCAAACTTGTCCTGAGTTTCCAACAAATATTTTGGGATGAATATCAAATTGGGATTCGTAAGATTTAAGAATAACTCTATATTTTTATGAAGTTTAAAATGAAACATCTTACAGCACTTAAATCACGTATTACTAATAATATCATCTTTAATAATAACAGTAAACTCCTGATAACTTGACCCTGGTTTACTTGTCACTACCATTTAAGTCATCACACTGTCAATATCCCCACTGAATTTATTTATGTATTTATACTCACCACTCCTGATAACTCGTCACTGAACGGATCGAATTCAAGATCCTCTCAAAACTCTGGAGCCCTCTCCCTCAATCGCCCCCCCTCGCACCCTCCCTGCCCACTTTCAAATCCTATTCAAAGACCTTCCTTTTTGATCGGGCTTACGGTCACTTCTCCACCCCCCCCCCCCACCTCCCCTCTGCCTCGGTGTCCGACTCCTCCACTGTCAAGAGCTCCGGGACGCTATATAAATAATAATAATAATAATCCTTGCATTTGATATAGCGCTTTTCACGTCGGGAGGACGTCCCAAAGCGCTTCACAGAATATACTGTAAAGTGAGTTGACTGTATATTTGTGGGCGAACGCGGCAGCCAATTGCGCACAGCAATGTCCCACAAACAGTCATAGATTGAAAATGACCAATTTAATTATTGTTTTTGTTTTTTGGAGGGATTATTATTAGGCTCTGTGTGGAGTAAGGAAACTTGCCCAAGGTTTCGCCCTGACCTGCCTGGAATTGAACTCAGGTCTCTTGCTTGCAAAGCGAGTGCTCTAACCACTGAGCTACAGGACTCCACATGCAAGTTATGGTTGTTTACAATATATTCTGTGAAGCACTTTGAGACATCTCGGCAACCTGATAAGGCTCTACATCAAATACAAGGATTATTCTTATTATTATTACTATTATCACCATGGAGTTGCCGGCTCTTTCAAAGAGCTATCCAACTCCTCTGCCCCCTTACCCCATAGCCCTGCAGATGTTTCCTTTTCGAGTCCCTGTTGAGTTCCCTCGCGAAAGCTACTATCGAATCTGCTTCCACCAACCTCTCAGGCAGTGCCTTCCAGACCGTAGCCACTCTTTATTACTTTTGTCACCCCAGGAACTTTGAATGAAGTAAAATTATAAACTTACCACCGTAAGCCGAGGATATTAAGAGAGAGAAGAGAAGAGTTTGTAACAGATGAGGGTTGTTCATAATGGCACATTTGCCTCCCACCTCCAACATACTCTTTCTCTCTGTCTCTCTGTCTCTCTCTCGCTCCCTCCAAACCAACTAGTTCCAGTTTCCTAAGCTGGGAATGTTATTTCCTACTTGGGCATTTCCATAGGATATGATTGGATTGGGTAAATAGGAACAGATTAGCGAGAATGCCTTTAAACTGAGCTAACTCAAGTTAGCACATGTTCTCGATGTAAGGGTGAGGAGCAATTTCCTGACATAACTTGTTCAAGTAAAATAGCCCACCAACACACGTTACTCTTGAATGTTGTGTATGTTCCACAGAAGTGCCATTAATAATAATAATAATAATAATAATAATCCTTGCATTTGACGTAGTGCTTTTCACATTTTCTGGACGTCTCAAAGCGCTTCACAGAATATGCTGTAAAGTGAACTGACCGTATATTTGTGTTGTAATGATTGAAGGGGGTAAATTCGGAACAAATCTGCAGAGACACTGTTTCAGTAGTAAACGTATCGAACATCTAGAACGTGCCGATTCTTTCAAAAACTAATCAGATGGTCCACCTTGCTAAGCCATCCGGAAACCTTGGGGTCTTGTTTGACCCCCAGCTATCCTTTCTACCCCACATCTGCGCCATGATCCGCTCTCCCTTCCCCCACCTCTGCAACGTCGCCCGGCTCCGACACTGTCTCACACCGAAGGCCCCCGAGACCCTCATACACTCCTTCATTACATCGACTCTGCAAACTCCCTGCTTGTCGGCCTCCCCAAATCCTCCCACCGTAGGCTGCAGATCACCCAGAACTCTGCACCCCCTGTCCTCTCCTGCACCAGGCTCCGTGACCCTATCACTCCCATCCTCGCCCAACACCACTGGTTTCCCATCACACAGAGGATACAGCTCAAGATCCTGGTCCTCACCCTCAAAGCTCTCCACTGTCTTGTTCCCCCCTTACCTCTGCGACCTCCTAACCCCCTACCATCCTGCTCGCTCCCTCCGCTCAGCGGGCTCCAGGCCTGCTTCACGTCCCTCGTCTCGCTCGCCCTACCACCTGCGGGCGGGCCTTCCACCACTCTGTCCCCACCCTCTGGAACTCCATCTCGCAGTCCCTGTGCCTCATTTCCCTTGTCACTTTCAATGCCTGTCTCAAGACCTTCCTCTTCGACCATGCTTTCGATCTCCCTGCTTCCACCCTGCCCTCCACCCTCCCCCAAGTGTAAAGTGAACCGACTGTATATTTTGTGGGCAGCCAATTGATAATGGATGTAGGTAGGTTTGCTGGAACAGGCAACAGAAATAGAGAGAGAGAGAGACATCAATTACCAGGTGTCCAGGGATTTCGAAGCTTTGACTGAAAAAAAACACAAAGCGACATTTTAAGACAAAACGGAGATTTGCTCCTTTTATTAAAAATCTGGAAAAAAAATCCTTGTTAGATTTCACACAATATTATTAATACAACAGAGAGTTATTAATTTATAACTGATCAGCCGTGGGACAATTGCGCAGAGCAATTGTCAGTCGTGGTTTAAGCGACCAAATTTTTTTGTTTTTTTGAAGGGATTATCAGCCCCGGATTGAGGCACTTTGACGAGATAGGACGTGATATCAAATGCAACAGTAAAGAGTTCCGATTATGGATGAAGCGCTCCGAGATCCTGTCCGGCGCGATGGGCGTTACATAAGTGCAAGTTGTTGTCGTTGTTGAGCAGCTAAAGCTTAGCCTCTATGCTCTTTCCAAGCACACAACTGCTCTGAGCTAAAGCCTGGAGTGAAACTTACAACAACAACAACAACAAGATTCCATTTATAAAGTGCCTTTCACGTCAGGAGGACGTCCCAAGGCCCAATACAGTTGGGTCAGGACCCGAGCAGGGGGGAAATGGTCAGAGTGAGGGGAGGGAAGGGAGGGAGCGAGGAGGGGGGAAATGGTCAGGGTGAGGGGAGGGAAGGGAGGGAGCGAGGAGGCGGGAAATGGTCAGGGTGAGGGGAGGGAAGGGAGGGAGCGAGGAGGGGGAAGAGAGTCGAGAGGGGAGCTGAAGGCTCGGTCAAAGAGAAAGGTTTTGAGACCGGCCTTGAAGGAGGAGAGGGAGGAAGCGGCGAAGGCACTGGGGGATGGAGTTCCAGAGCCTCGGGGCTGAGATGCTGAAGGCCCGACCACCGATGGTAGGGCGGTTGGGGCGGGGGATGTGGAGCAGACCGGAGCCGGAGGAACAGAGGGTACGGGCAGGTAGGTAGGGGGATAGTAGGTTAGAGAGGTAGGAGGGAGCGAGGCCGTGAATGGCCTTGTAGGTGAGGATGAGGATCTTGAAATCAATCCTCTGGGGGATGGGGAGCCAGTGGAGGCGAGCGAGGGTGGGAGTGATGTGGTCGCGGTGTCTGGTGCGGGACAGTACACGAGCTGCAGAGTTCTGAATGACCTGCAGTGTGGAGGGAGGGCTGGGGAGGCCGCGAGGAGAGAGTTCCCATAGTCCAGCCTTGAGGTGATAAAGGCGTGGACCAGAGTTTCAGCCGCGTGAGGGGTGAGGTAATGCCGTAGTCTGGCGATGTTCCGGAGGTGATGGAAGGCGGTGCCAGTTGTGGTGCGGATGTGAGGGAGAAAGGACAGCTCAGGGTCGAACAAAACGCTGAGGTTCCTGATGGCTTTGAGAGGTGGAGAGTGCAGCCTTGGATGCTGATGGTGTCGGCGCCTGAGGTGCGGAGGCGCTGACGTGAGCCAATCAGGAGGGCCTCGGTTTTTCGCTGAAGAAAGTTGTCTCTCGTCCAAGACTCAATGTCAGACAGACAGCTGTCAGGACATCGGTGGTCGTGGAGTTGAGAGTAGAGGAGGAAAGGTAGAGTTGGGTGTCATCCGCATACATGTGGAAGTTAACTCCATGTCTGCGGATGATGTCACCAAGGGGGAGCATATAGAGGGTGAAGAGGAGGGGACCGAGGACAGAGCCCTGAGGGACACCACATGAGACAGTGCGGGGGGTGGAAGAGAAGCCATTTGCGGCGATCTGGAGCAGGTGTTGGCTGACATGAGCTTGTGGGATGTTTTCTGAGAGTGTTCGCCTTCTGCATCCCTAAAGAGGCTTCGAACCTTCTCCCTGAACTCATCCGAGATGTAATAGTACAGGAAAGGGTCAAGACAGTTATTGAAGCTGGAGAGTGCTAGGCAGATCAAGTAATACAAGTAGATGTTGTGGTTGTGCGTGCGAGGATGGACAGAGTAATGGATGAGAAGGGTGATGTTACTGGGAGCGAAACAAAGAAGGAAAGCTATGAGGAGCAGAAAGGTGATCTTAGCAGCTCGTGCGTATTTCTTCTTGTTCACAATCAAGGTCCTTATTATCGACGTGTAGCAGAATATAATGATGAGGCACGGGATTGCAAACTCAAGCACAACCAGGCAGACAAAGTAATAGAGGACGTAATCGGACTCGATCTCGGGCAACATATCGTGGCAGGTGTTGATGTTCAGATCCTCGAAGGTATAGACCTGTCTCTGGAGCAGCAATGGCATCAGGGAGACACCAACCAACACCCAGATGACGGCACAGGTACAAATGGCAAAGCTCTTGTCTCTGAAGCGCCTGGAGAAGAAGGGATGGACTAAAGCTAGGTACCTGTCGATGCTGATGGCGGTGAGGAGCAACACGGAACAGTACAGGTTCCCGTAGAACAGGCCAGTCAGTGTCCGGCACAGAGCTTCCCCGAACACCCAGTGGTTCCCCAGGAAGTGGTAGTGGATCTTGAAGGGGAGCATGAGGATCACGAGCAGATCTGCCATCGCCAGGTTCATCAGGAAGATGGTGGACGGCGTCTTCTCCATCTTTAGGACCAGCGTCAAAAGACCCAGCCCGTTGGACGGCAAACCGAAGAGAAAGACCAAGGTGTAAAGGGTGGGGATGACTACCGTGGTGATGGGGCTGGTCAGGTGATATTTGGCCGATTTGTCCAGGACTCCGTTCGGGAGGGGGTTACCTATGTCGGCTTGACAATTTGTGAAGGTTAAGACTCTTCCCAAGCAATTGCTGTTGTTGTCTGCAATAGACAGAGAGGAGAGAATAGAGTTTCACCCACAAAACACACAGTCACTCCACTCCACAGTGTGCCCTGTGAAGCGCTTTGAGACGTCTCGAAGACGTGATAAGGCCGGGGCGGGAAAAAAAATACAGAACATAAAATGCAAGAATTATTTTTATTATTATTGTTGTTATTAGTTTAATTATGGCTTTTAGATGGTTTTATCTCTGTATTTTATTCCCTCCTGGACTTCAGACCCTTCACGTCATTCTCGTTCACAACAACAACAGCAACAACAATTTGCATTTACTCAGCGCCCCTCAGGCAGAGTAGAGCGCTTGATAGTGGTGGAGCACGACCCCAAGACAGGGGGGTGGGGTGTACTGAAACTATGACCTCTTAGCTCTCATCTTATCTACAGATCCCATCAGCGCAAACTTAATATATAGCCAATTTACTGTGGCTCTGAACTGAGGAAACCAAAGGAACACCTGGGACTCTCAAGTAAAGTAAGGGAGTGTGATGAGTTGGGTGTCTCTTGTCCATAGCGGTTTCCGAGGTTTATGTTGTATTAACAACAATAATAATCCTTGCATTTGATATGTAGCTCTCACCGTATCAAGTCGTCGAGACATCTCAAAGCGCTTCGCAGGATACACTCAAAGTGGAGTGACTGTGTATTTTTGGGGGTGAAATTGGGGAAGCTGCATGATAGAAAAAAATAATTTCTAGCCTTGCTCTCCCCCACACATACCCTCTGATCCCCAAATGCAGTCTTGCTGCAAGTCTTACCCCCCCCCCCCACTTTTCCCCTCGTCCCACCATCAGTCACTGAACTCTCAGCCTCTCTATCCCTGCTCTGTGGAACCAATTCTTCCAAAATGCCTTCTCCCTCTCTTACTTGCTTTTCCGGGGGTAATTAAAAAAAAAGAAATTTGGCCATTCAATCTATGTCGCAATTGGCTGCCATGTTTTGCCCACAAAATACCCAGTCACTCCACTTCACAATATATCCTGTGAAGCGCTTTGAGACGTCTCATCAACTTGATAAGGCGCTGTACCAAATGCCAGGGTTATTATTACATAGAAAACTATTGGCCCGGGCAAAAGATGCAAGACTCATTCTAATAAAGAGACAAATTTCTTACCTCTCTGTGAACAGCAGAATCTTGTGTAGGACATTAACAGGACTGACAGAAGGAGAGCCAGGGGCATCCGAGACCCAACCATTATTGGTTGGCTTCAAAGAGCTCAGTCAGCCCACTGTGTCTTTGCTCCCTTGGGAAGTGCAAAGAGAGGGAGAGAGAGAAGGAGGAGAGAGAGTCGGAACTCACATCCTCCTCATATTAGACATTGATAACAAAAAGCATCAGGAACAGCAGGAAACCAAAGTCCAATCTCCTGACACTGTGGGGAAGAAGGAAATGACATCACGAGAACCTCAACAGATAAGACTTGAGTTATTTTATCCCCTTCGTTTTTATTCTGTTGGGTTTCTGCAAGTCAAAAGTCTCAATAGAGCGGAGCTTGGCGAGGCCACCTCACTACCTGTATCTCACCATCAAAGTGTTGACGGTTCCATTTCATCAATGACTAGACAACAGATTGAATCGCATGTGGGTTATGGATTCCCTCCTACCTCCCGTTCCCCCACCCCCCCACCCCATCTTCGCTTGCAATGATTGGACGTGAAGCTTGGATCCGGCATTAAATTGTCAGTTAACTGTTTTTGTTGCCCATTTCATCCAAATGGGCTGACAAGTCTAACAGGTCAAAATCCCGACACCATGATGGTAACACTATCTTCTCAAGGCAACCGGATCAAGAGGGGTGGAGGGCAAGAGGGAAGTGAGAGAGTGAACATACGTAAAAGTTCAAATCTAAGACATCATTGAATTTTAGTCCCAGACCCTAACACATTGTTGGTCTGATTGACTTGTTGTGATGTTTTCACTGTATCTTTGGGTTCCTCTTGTCTATCACGTCCTCCCTGAAGCTTTTGGGGGATGTAGTGATGGACGAAAGGGTCAATGCAGCTGTTGAAGGTGCTGAGGACCAGAGGTATAGGTCGTTGTCCTGTGTGAGAATGTGCTGGTGAACGTCCACTTGTCGCCCAGGAAGTGGTAAGAGAACTTGAAGGGCAGGTCCGTTGTGGCCAGGTTGATGAGGAAGATGGTCGAAGGCATCTTCTTGATCCTGGCGACCAGGAAAAATAAGGCCACGCCATTCGCAGGGAGCCTGATGAGGAAGATGACGCAGTAAATGGTGGGGGGGTGATCCCGGTGCTGGTGTAACTGGTCAGATGATTCACATCTGGTTTCCCCAGGTTAACTAAGGCTGAATGGTTTTGCCTGAAACCTCCTCCAACAATGAGCAAAGGAAAAAGTGAAAGAAAAAAAATGATAATTCAGTCACTCAATCAATCCACGGCTGTTTGTGGGACACCCCTGTGCGCAATTGGCTGCTGCTTTTCTCCTACAAAGCCCTGCAAAGTATACAGTCAATTCACTTGAGTATATTCTGTGAAGCGCTTTGAGACGTCTCTCAAAGTGCTTCCACCACCCTTTCACGGGCAGTGCGTTCCAGACCGGGTATGAAAATAATTCTCCTCGTCTCCCCACTGGTTCTCTTACCGATTATCTTAAAGAATCGATGACATTTCTAAATCGCCAAAATTATGCTGCAAAGGTTAAAAAAGATGTCTCTCTCTCTCTCTCTCTCTCTCTCTTGCGCCTTTTAAGACAATCTGGGGTAAAGTCGGGAGAAACGAGGAGGTTCCGGTTGTGAAATTGAAAACATGAGGTGGGCAAAAAGAGGAATATAACCAAATGGAGACTTACTCGGTTGAGAGAAGGAGGGTCCTGCACATGAGGATAAAATAGTCAGTGAGAATTTGGTAAAGCTCAGAGGAAGACACGTCTTATCGAGAAGTCTGCCCAGTGCCTAACTGTCCAGCCGAGAATAATCTCTATCCTCATTTTATGCTTAAAGTAGAGACTGAGGGAAACGTGCTGAGAAGCAGTGTTTTGAAACATCACAACCTTATCACTTGCCATCTCAGGAAATGGCGCTTCGCAAACCTCCAAAATAAACAGCAGCAAATCTGGGTAAACACCTGACCGATCTACAATCTTGAAGTCGTCAGATTGAGACTGGGCGCTGATTCCCCCAGAGGATCGAGTTCCAGATCTTCCTCCTCACTTTTAAAGCCCTACATGGCCTTGCCCAACCTTACCTCTGTGACCTTCTAAAACCTCACCAACCCCACAGCTCGATCCACCAACTGACTAACAGCTGGATTTGCTAGTTGGCCTACTTGCTAGGTATACAGCGGCGTGTGGCGTAAGGAACCTTGCCTAAGGAGCCCGGGAGTCAAACGGGGTGAGCGCGCTAACCACTACGCTACGGATTCTCCACAAGACCTGGGAAGACACTGAAAAAGATAAAAGAAGTTACAACCACAAAGCATCAGGTCTTTGTGTTTGAAAGCTGCAAACAGCTGGAAGAGCTTATCCAGTGTTTACTCCTGGAATCTTTCTGATCGTCAGGACTCAGGTTGATTTGTTCATTCAAAGTAAGAGAGTGTTTGCCTTCCCCCAGATAGGATCCCATTTCCCTGCGAGACGCAGCAGGAATATCAGGGAACACACGCAAGTTGCATGACATATTCTGCAGGGTTGTTTTTTTCAGGCTTCCTAACAGCTTCAGGAAACTGAATCATCAGTTTGTTTATCTGCAACAGTCCAGCAGCGCTCGCTTCAGAAAACATCTGAAACAGGGATCAGAAATTCTCTTACAAATAAACATGCAAAATACTGCGGATGCTGGAAAGCTGAAACAAAAGCAGAAGTCACCGGAAACGTTCAGCAAGTCAGGCAGCATTTATGGAGAAAGGAAAGTGAGTCAACGTTCCCGGTCCACGAACCTTCGTCAGAAATTCCCTGATTGAAAACTAACAATCGTTCAATAACACCCACAGATGTATGTTTTGGCTGCACACAACTGGATTCTTGATTAAATTGAAGTTTATACAGTAGTAACAATACTTATAATAATCCTTGCACTTGGCAGGCGCCTTATCACATCGGAAGAACGTCTCAAAGTGCTTCACAGGATTTACCGTGAAATGTAGTGACTGTATTTTTGTGGGCGAAACGCGGCAGGACGATTGCGCATAGCGATGTCCCACAAACAGCCATGAAACAAACAACCAATTTTATTGGGGAGACGTGTTGGCCCGGACATTGGGAAAGAGAGAAACTCCCTGCCCTTTTTAAAGAGTGCCGTGGGATCTTCAACGTCCACCTGAGCAGGCAGAGGGGACCTTGTTCTAACGTCTCACACGAAGGACAATGCAACACATCCCCAGCACTGCGCTGAGGGTCTGTTTAGACGATGTGATTCAAGTGCAGAATGCGATTTGAACCCTCAATCTTATGACTCAGAGATGAGAGCGCCACCACTGAGCCAGGCTGTCACGCACTTGCTTATTTATTATTGCTCCTTTGAGCTCACAGCGCAGGCTGACACAGACTTCGTTGCGGTATTTTTTTTTGGGTTGGTGGGGTGGGGGTGTGTGGAGGGCTGTGGGTAATGGGAGGTGGTGGGGGGGGGCGACAATTGGACAATTGAAGGACCATCGTTTTTGGTGAGGCTTTAAACCGAATTCCTGGCTGTTAAGAGTTAACGATCCTGAAATGCTATTGGAAGGGAGGAGGGAGTTCCTCCTGGTTTCCAGGCCAACAAACCTCCGGATAAAATTGCTCAATTTTCCATTGACATCATTGTACTGTGTGTGTGTGAGTGTGTGGGTGTGAACTGAAACGGTGGTTGATCTTGTGAATGGCCATTGCGCGACTTCATCACCAGGCAGCGCTGCAACTCTTGTTCTGCTGGGAAAGTGTCCAACACAGGCGGGAACTTTATAATCACAAACACAACAATCCAGGGCATTTTTTAAGCAATAGTCACTGATTGGGACTGAACTCAAAAGGATGCATTTTTAACCCACATCCAGAAACATTAAAAGCAGATTGTTGCTGCAGATGCAGCAACGCTTCGGGTATTTCTTTCAAACCTCAGAATGATTACAACAAGGTGAAGGAAAGCAGGAAATTAAATAAGTAATAAATCATCCAATGTCGTTAATTATAATAGGGGTAATTATTAGGGTAATTCTCTGTATTGTTATTAATAGTATTAATATTATTATTTTTATGGAAGGTCAATTTACTGGTGGGGAATTTTGAAATTACAGCTGGGGAATTCCTTGGGGATTAGCCTCAACACTTTACTTTACACGTTAAAAAATGGCCTGCAACAATTTGTATTTGTGTAGCGCCCTTCGTGTAGGATAAGGTTTCGGAGCGCTTCACAAAGAAGGGGTCGGACCCTGAACAAGGGAGAAAGGCGGGAGGAGGGAAGGGCGTAAAAACAAAAGTATTCAGCAAGAGTGGCCTGGAGCGCTGTCTGTCTATCAGAGAATCGAGTCAGGCTCACTCCCCTTCGCCCAGCACAGCCTCACCATTGATTCAACCTCTGTAGATTTTTTCAAAGAATGAAAGAAAGACAGAAAAAGAAAAAAGGAAGGAAAAAAGAAAGAAAGAAAGAAAGAAAGAAAGAAAGAATTAAGGGAAAGAAGGAAGGAAGGAAGGAAGGAAGGAAGGAAGGAAGGAAGGAACGAACGAACGAACGAACGAAGGACGACGGGAGGGAGGGAGGGAGGGAGGGAGGGAAATATTTGTGTGTTTATGATGTCTTTCCCCTTTGCCCCTACTCCTCCGAAACCTTTCCCTCCTTTGAACACCTAACCCTCTACCACCCATCCAGTCTTTCCCTCAAAGTCCTCCTTGTTTACCGTTCCACCCAAGCCTTCCCCCACCTTCCTCTCGGACATCTCCACCCTCCTATCTTCCCATTCCCTCTGCTCTAACGCCTCCTAATCTTAGGTGACTTCAACCTCCAATTCAACCCCTCCTGTTCTATCTCTGCTGTCTTTCGTGCTATGTTGCCCACAGCAGGGAAACGGCCCTGGTCAAAGTCACTAACGACATTCTGAACAGCTTGATCAGGGCTCCCTCTGCCTACTTGTCCTCCTCGAACCCTCTGTCGCCTTCGACCCTGTCGACCACTCCATCCTCCTACACCGCCTCTCCGCTTTACTCAATCTCCGCGGAGCTGCCCTTGCCTGGATCGAATCCTATCTCTTTCACCACCTTCCCTAACGGTTTCTCTTCCAGCCCCCGCACTGTCACATCTGGCGTCCCCCAGGGCTCTGTCCTTGTCTCCTCCAAGCCATAACCCGCTCTGCCTTCCCTCACCTCCATAACATTGCCCGACTCCTCCACTACCTCACCCTCAGACCGCTGAAACTCTTGTTCATGCCTTCATCACCTCTATGCAAACCCCCTGCTTGTCGGCCTTCCCAACTCCTCCCTCCAGAACTCTGCAGCCCATGTCCTCTCCTGCACCAAACTCCGTGACACCATCTCCCCCACTCTCCCCCACTCCACCGGCTCCCTATCCTTCGGAGGATCCAGTTCAAGATCCTTGTTCTTACCTACAAAGCCTTCCATGGCCTCGCCCCACTCTACCTCTGTGTTCTCCTAACCACCTACCAACCTGCCGGTTCCCCCCGCTCAGCCGGTTCTGGCCTGCTCCACGTCCCCTGACCCACCCACCCCACCCGACGTGAAAGGCGCTATACAAATGTTCCTGAAGAACTTGACAGACAAGTTCTTGCCTGCCTTGGTCTCAAAGTGAAGCAGAGCAGCTCCAACGAGATAGGATTTCCCCCCCGGTACTGTGCTGGAGGTGAAAAACAATGCACAGAAAAATCCTGATCTTTAGCTCAAACCGTGCGTTAAAATGACACAGCTGTTGATTCAATGCCTTGAAATATTTGAATGCAATCACATGAAGGAAGGATTATAATATTATAATAAATGTCGCTCAGGTTGTCTGTCAGGACCCTCTGCCTTTGTGCTACCAACCTTAAACCGTAAACAATAAAACACTGTGTAAATACAGCTCCACCCATGGATGAGTTAATAATTACAGAGCTGGAGAGAAAGGCCCCGTAACACAAAAAAGAATTTCCATCTGCTTTCATACCTGAGGTTACACATTGTGCTATGGAGGCATTAGCTGAATGCCCCCCCGCCCTCCCTCCCCGCCCCCCCACCAATACTGTCCTGGAGATTCAGCTTCAACTGTGAGCTATTAAAAGTCCCAATGGGGTTGGGGGTGGGTTGAGATCTGGATCCTAAGACCTATTGGTTCCTGACAAGATCAAGACAAAATCCTTTGAGACGTCTCAAGGACATGACAAGGCGCTATATCAAGTGCAAGGATTATTATTATAACAAATAATTCACAACGACGGAGCGAGCAAGAGAGAAGGGAGACGGGGGGATAAGGGGAAATGACTATAGGTTGGGTGGAGGTGGTAGGTTCCAGCACCTTGGGATGTCCTGATCGACCGTGCTTACGGCCACCACCTCCCCCCAACCCCAGGCTCGGAGTCAGGCTGACAGGTTGGGAGGGGGGAGCAAGTCAGAGAGGTAGAGGAAGGGAGTCCCAGAAGTAAGAGGTATATTACTTTATTCACCATGACCAACTCTGAATAAGATACAAAGGTAGTGTATGAGAAGCAAACTAGTCTGTCTGTCAGAGAATTGGGTCAGTTTACTACCCTTCTCCCAACACAATCCCACCTTTGATTCAACCTCTGCAGATTGCTCAACGGTTAACAATAAATATGGCTCCAAGGGCGATGTACAGACAATATATTAAATGATTAATGAATGAATCATTTACATCTGCTGCACAATTAGGCGGGGCAAAAAGATTGGCTTGATCTCACTCAGATAAACCTTGGAAAATTACCCGTAAACTTTAGTTTAAGAGAGATATTAAGTGGCTCATAACTATTGACCCAAGTGTAGCAATATAGATGTACCTCTGGTATGTTTATTAGACACCTTTGTCAGCGAGAGGAGTTTTCAACTAGATTTCCTGTTTCTCTTCAGTTGCTTTTATTTACTGTCAAATTAAGTTCCACCAGTAACAGGCCAGCTCTTTGTGTCTGAGTCCGACCATAGCAACGCAAGGCAAATGTTTGGCCAAATTCCATATAGTAAATAAAGGAAAAGTGTTTCCTCTGGAGGGTTGGTCAGTAACCAGAGGACACAGATTCGAGATAATTGGGAAAAAAAAGAACCAGAGGGGAGATGAGGAGATTTTGTTTTTTACTCAGCGAGTTGTTATGGAAATCACTGCCTGAAAGGAAGGAGGGGGGCAAGGACTAGGGATGGAGGAAGAGTCTTACAGAGGCGTAGTGGCTGAAAGCAACATCACAGATGGTGGTACAGAGAGCACAAGGGACAAGCAGGAGGCTGAACCCAGTGGAGCGGAGGTAGCGGAGATAGACTTGAGAGGAAAAAAATTGCAAAGCTATGGGGAAAGAGAGCAGGAGTGGGACTAGTTGGTAGCTCTTTCAAAGAGCCGGCAAAAGGCTCGATGAGCCGAATGGCCTCCTGTGCTGTAGGATTCAATGATTTCTTGGCAATAAAGGGTGTCCTCTTATGAGCGGAGTGTGGTGAAAGGCTTTACTGATGATTTCAAAAGGGAGGAAGAGAGAGAGAGAGAGAGAGAGAGAGAGAGGGAGGGAGGGAGGGAGAGATACCCTGGTCCACGCCAAACAACACAGCATGAAATATTCCTTCAACGCAAGTGGAAGAGGGGATAGAACAACAACAGGTTACATTTGCAGATCGCTGTTCACGACGTCTCAAGGCGCTGGACAGTCAGGGATTTGGACCCGAGCTGGGGGTTGGGGATCAGGAGGGGGTGGGGGCGGGAGGACCGGGAGGGGTAGAAATGTAACATAAGGTGGGAACTCTATCCAATTATTATTAATCCTTAACTTCTGATAAGCTTTTATGGGGTCTGTTCAATCTGCGGTTAATAATTTCTACACTAAAAGTTGATCTCAACTCTGTGGGCAGGACCCGAGTTAGTTGAGAACGAACTTCCTATCGCGAGGCAACCAATGCAATCCACCAACACTGGGCTTGGCTCAACTATGATTGATGCAACGTACACAGGAATGAGTCACAGGCACTGTGAACAGTATAAAACTGCTTGCTGGGTGGGTCTCTCAGCACTCGCTTCAAATTGGTAAGAAAATACACAAAGCCGCAGCCAAAAGGAAATCCTCCTCGTCTTTTTTTGCGGGTGCCTTTTTATTTTAAAGTAAAAGCAAAATATTTTCGGTGTACAGTATTTAGGGAGTTTTATGTGTGTGAGTGTGCGTGTTCGATCCCTTGCAGCAGGAGAAAAGTTTGATTTCAGTCTCAAAAAGTTTGTCTCAGTCGCGTTAAAAACTGCTTAAAAGTTGCACTGACTTGTTAGAAGTTTTAGAAGTTTCACCAATTAGAAGTTTGAAACAAATAAGCCTTAATTAACGTTAAGTTAGAATAAGTCGGTATTCCCGTATCCCAGTCACTGTTGCTCAATATTTTCTGTCTGTTGTTTGACTAACACTCTCTCTCCCTTCTCTCCTTGCAGTTCTCTACGCCCCTACTCTGCAGTCCACTACCATCATGCCTTCCGACCTAGAAAATGCTATGCTGTCTCTCATGGCGATTTTCCACAAATATTCCGAGAAAGAGGGCAGCAAAGGCAGCTTGAGCAATTCAGAACTGAAGGATCTCTTTAAAGGTGAACTGGGATGCTTCCTGAAGGTAATAAACATTGCGCAGAGATTGGGAATGTGGGGACGGAGGTAATTCATTTGAAATTTTCAAACCTGAGTTAGATTTTTTTTTAGGTCGGGACATCAAGGACAAGGACAGGTAATTAGAGTTGAGTCACAGATATAGATCAGCCATGGTCTAATAGAATGGATGGAGCAGGCTTGAGGGTTGGCCTTCTGCTGTCCCTCTGAGACTAGATCTTGGCCCTCTTGGAATCCGGAACCCGTATGTTCAATGAAAGGATACTGCTGTTATAATAATAATCGTAATAATAATCCCTGCTTTTCATTCAGTGCCTTATCACGTCTTCGAGACGTCTCAAAGAGCTTCACAGAATATATTGCAAAGAGAATTTGTCTTGTGGGCCAAACGTGGCTGCCAATTACGCTCAGCGGGATTGGAAACAAATGTGTGACATTCCTAGCCAGAGATTATTGCAACTTCTGCCAACTTGGCAAATTCTGTCTTCGGGTGGGGCATTCTGTGCAAACCAACCCTCCATTAATAAAAGGCGTCTGAACCTCAAGGTTTGTTTTATTGGAGATCGTAAAGAAATTCACAAGTGAGAGCAAGGGAGAAACGAAAAAGGGCGGGGAAGTCTTTTGACTTATTACTAGTGAGCTTTCAATGTTTGCAGGACAGTACAGTATTATTATTATTAATAATTCCTGCATTCAATATAACGCCTCATCTCGTAGTCAAGACTGCTCAACAGATGCCTCCGCTTGTCCCCACGCCTCTCCTTGCCTGTCTTCAAATCGCACTGGAAGTCTGGAATGTGGTCTTTGACAGTGTCACCTCCCTCCCCCCTCTCTCTCTCTCTCTCTCTCTCTCCCCTCTCTCCCTCTCTCTCTCCCCCCGCACCCACCCCCCCCCCCCCCCCCGGCTCGGAGACAAGCTCCGCCATTGTTAAGCGCTCCACTGTTGAGACGCTACCCAATGCTAAGGGCATACGTTGTGGTACAGACACCATATTGGGCAGCAGTCAAATCTGGGATGCAAAACTGCTCGGAAAATATGCAAAACTTGAATAAAGAGGAACAAAAATGAGGAAATGAGGACTATGGAAATATTTTATTTCAATGCTAAACTTTCTATTATAACCACTGTGAAACAAAGGATCAAAATTTGCTCTGAACGCATTCCATTCTCTATCCCACCTCAGCCCACACCTTATTTGTCCTCAGGACTACAAACTGAGATAACCTGACACACAGCATCGCAATGTGCTGACTGACTCTCATGACAGAGTCTCATTTGCCTTGTCTGAAACACTGACTGAGTGACTGACTGACTGACTGACGACTGGCTCTCCGCACTGCCAAATGTTGACCTAACTGGCTTTAATGGTTCTAATCTCTCATGTGACAGTTTTCTGTCTCGTGTTCAGAATCGCTCAATCCATAATTCTCTGGTTTGTGAAGATCTGCCAACAAGTGGCCTTTTGTCCTTTAGTGGAAATTCTAATTGAGTGGAGACTTTGTTGGCCAAAGGCAAAATACTGCAGATGCTGGAGATCTGAAATAAAAACAGAAGTGGCTGGGAACACTCAGCAGGTCAGGCAGCATCTATAGGGAGAGAGAGAGAGAGAGAGGAAAGTGAGTTAGCACTTCATCAGACCTGGGAGATTTTGCAATGGAGCTGCTTTAAACCGTTCCCTCCAACGGAGAATGTGCAATGAATTCCCTGCTTTGTATCTTGAACTTGAAAGTCAACCGACACCAAATTCCTTAATCTATCTCTTAATCTGCACGTCCAGACCTGACTGGTTGCAAACCGCAGAGAATGCTGCAATGCTTCTAGGCATCTACCCAATGCATTCTTTTGTAACAGCGTTGGCTAATCATCCATTCGTTACTTGCCCTTGTGACTTTACGTCCAGCTCTTGGATTTTTTAATCAATATGATCTTCGCTACTTTACCAGCGCCTTGGGACGTCCTCCTGACGTGAAAGGCGTTGTGTAAATAATAATAATATAATAATAATAATAATCCTTGCATCTTGATATAGCGCTTTTCACGTCGGGAGGACGTCCCAAAGCGCTTCACAGAACACACTGTAAAGTGAATGGACTGTATATTTGTGGGCGAACGCGGCAGCCAATTGCGCACAGCAATGTCCCACAAACAGTCATAGATTGAAAATGACCAATTTATTATTGTTTTTGGTTTTGGAGGGATTATTATTAGGCTCTGTGTGGAGTAAGGAAACTTGCCCGAGGTTTCGCCCTGCCTGGAATTGAACTCAGATCTCTCGCTTGCAAAGCGAGTGCTCTAACCACTGAGCAACAGGACTCCACGATGTCATGTCATTTGTTGTTGTTGATTCTGTGCAGTAATGGCTCTGAGTTCTCAAGCTAAACCAGATCTCCCTCATTCTCTCTCTCTCTCTCTCTCTCTGCCTCTCTCTCCGCCGCTGTCTCTCAGAACCAGAAGGACGAAAAAGCTGTGGACAAGATCATGGCCGATCTGGACCACAACGGAGACGGCACGGTGGATTTCCAGGAGTTTGCCATCTTGGTGATTTCTCTGACCATCGCTTGCCACGAACAGTTTCAGAAAAGTTGAGCAGAGATGAGCAGATTTGCACGTAACGTGATGTAACCCAGAAGCTAACGTTAACGGACGACCACTCATCTTATCTTCAAACCCAAAACCATGTTTGTATTCGATTTGCTGTTTAGTAAAAAGAACAAAGGTTTCACTCTTAAACCTGGGCCATCCTTCCTTCTTCAGCAGAAATTGTTTCTCAATTTTTTAAAAATAAATAGCGAGTGATAATAATCTTTGCACACACCCACCCATACACAGACGCAGACACCCACAACGCACCCACACACAGACACCCACACACCCACACACAGACACCCACATACAGACACCCGCATACACACACCCACACACTCACACACACACACAGACACCCATACGCGCACACACCCACCCATACACAGACACCCACACACACACCCACCCACGCACGCACACACACACACACACACACCCACACACACCCTCACACACACAGACATACACACCAACACACTCACACACACAGACACCCACACACACACAATTGGGGGTCGGGATCAGGAGGGGTGGAGGGCAGGGAGGGTGGGGGTAGGCACGGTCAAAGAGGAGGGTGGAGCTGGGAAGGTGGTTCCACGTTGTACCATATTGTACCTTCCTCATTGCTCCCCCCCCGCAACACCCCCCCCACCCTACCCCACTCAACACCCAACAACCTCATCCCAAAATTATCTTTTCAGCAGCCTCACGTTGATCTCTCACTCTGTTTTACCAGAGTGCAGTCCCCGTTGGAAATAAAGCTGCGATTGATGACGGCTGAATCCATTGGCGAGTTGTTGTATCACAAGGGATTTGGGACAAGTGCCAGAGGCCGGTCTGCAACACATTTAGAGAAACACAGAACTAGGAAGAGGCCGTTCACTGTATTTGAGTAGATCGTGGGAGATTTTCTACAACAACTGACATTTGTACAGCGCCTTTCATGTCAGGGGAACATCCCAAGGGATATTTTAATCCCATTTTGGCCCCTTTTTCTCCATACCCACTAATACCCATTACTTCCCAAGTATCTATCATCTCCCTTTCACCCATGCAAACTTTAATCTGCATCTACAGCACTCAGGGTGTAGGTGTGTGTGGTGTGCGTGCGCGCGCGCGTGTGTGTGTGGTGTGTGTGTGTGTGGATAATAATAATAATCCTTGCATTTGATGTAGCTATTTATCACGTCGTCGAGACGTCTCAAAGCGCTTCACAGAACATACTGTAAAGTGAATCAACCATGCATTTTTGTGGGCGAAACGCGGCAGCCAATTGCGCACAGTGGTGTCGTGGAATGAGTGACCAAATTATTAGTAAGATCAAGGATCACGAGGGATCAGCAGGCGAGGAACAGGTTAAAAACCCTTCAAATCCCACTGTTTTTTAAAAAAAAACTGCTTCCTTAAGCCACTTGACTTCCACTGTCTCAAAGTGCCCGGTATGGTCAACAGTGAAGCCTTTCAGACGCAGCAACTGTTGGCTGGTGTCCAGGTCTCTCCTCTGACTGAAGAGGCCATGGGTTCAGTCCCCCACATTGGGAGGATGTCTCCTGTGTCTACAGGGGTCTAAGCCATGGATAGCTTTGATATAATGAGCTGCTCAATGCAACTCGTCGTCCACAACCTATTTGCTGTCATAACAAATTCTTTCCTATTTGTTCCATAACGCCTTAACCTCTCATTCAGAGGCTGAGAGCCTGGAAGTGACAGCCTCGGCTCGTGAGCTCACCTCACAACACTGCACTCGCTATGCGTGTGAAGCATTCCGAGATGTCTCCAGGATGTGGTAAAGCGCTGTATGAAACGTGAAAGATTATTAACGTTCCAATATTAGAAGCAAATCCTTAATCTCCTGAGCCAGAGGCCAGAGCAACACCAACTAAACCAGCCCGACACACACACCCACACACACGCTACACACGACAGCTCTACTGCTTAGGAACTGCTTAAGTGTTATTAAGTGCTCCCTTTGGAGAGTATATCAACAAAAGCCTGAACTATTGTCTCGATGAAGACTGAATTCCCCCCTCCCCACCGCAACACCCCCCCACGCCCCCTCTACCCACCCCAATGATGTTTAAAAATTGTACGTGGCAAATATTGGCTTTAAATAAGTTTATTTAAATAAGCTTAAAAAGAAAAAATATGGCGGCATCTTTATATCCCAAACGATCCCCATTCAAACCCCTTCACAAATGGCATTTGGGAATTCACCTGTTCGCTCGTTCCCACTTTAAAAGAATCCCTTGAGTCTTGGCTTTAATTAACAAAACTTAAAAAATAAATTGCTCCCTTACACATCACTTTCCAACAACAGCTATTAAACAATATTATGCTCCCGAACCCCTACTGAATTGCTCAGTTTCCATGCCAAGGGTGTGACCTCTCTTCAGTTAAAGCTGTCCTTCGGCTAAAACATTAAACCGAGGTCCCATCTCCCTGTTCAGTAGATGTTAAAGATCCCGTGGCAACTATTCGAAGCGAGAAGGGAATTTCTCTCTCCTTGCGTCCTGGCCAACAATCCCCCAAATAAAATCAGTCACTCAATCCACGACTGTTTGTGGGGACGCTGCTGTGCGCAATTGGCTGCCGCATTTTGCCCACAAAATACACAGTCACTACACTTTACAGTGTATTCTACGAAGCGCTTTGAGAAGTCTCAAACATGTGATAAGGCGCGATAACAAATAATAATAATAATACTTGCATTTAATGTAGAGCCTTATCACATCTTCGAGACGTCTCAAAGAGCTTCACGGGATACACTGTAAAGTGGAGTGACTGTGTATTTTGGGGGCAAAACGCGGCAGCCAATTGCGCACAGCAGCGTCCCACAAACAGCCGTGGATTGAGTGACCAATTTATTATTGTTTATTTTTGGGGGGATTTTTTTTTAAGAGACTATTACCCCCAAAGCGATCCGCCAATCGATTAACAACCGGGTTCCTACTTACTGCTGGTAAACAGAGGCGCGTGCGTGCGTGTGTGTGTGTGTGTGTGTGCGTGTGTGTAAGGAAACTTGCCTAACGTTTCTCCCTGTCCCACCTGGGAATCGAACCCAGGTCCTCTCGCTTGTGAGGCAAATGCTCTAAATGCTCTAACCACTGAGCTACGGGACTCCACAGGAGCCAGTTATTGACAGTGTTTTTGGAACGTCAAGCAGAAAGGTTGGTTGGGAAGGCTTCAAAGCACCAAGGGAGCATCTCTCCTCAGTGAGTGCTAGTGGGAGCGTTGCCCTGCACGGGGTGGGGGGTGGGGGGGTATTTTCACCTCAGCACGCAGGTGTTCCTCGGGGACAGGGAATCCCACGCAGCACCTGTTGACAGGGGGACGTTGACGGGCGTTTTGGTGCCTAAGAAAAGTCCTCCCCCGCAATCCGGTCCCTGGACTCCTTCCCTCGCTTAACAACCTCTGCAAGAAGCCAATCTCAGCCGGTGGGCGGAATTCGAGTGCCACAAAGTGAACGTGTGCATCTCCCAGGCCATCAATGGCATTCACCCTGAGCTGCGATTGACAGGTGTCAGGCAGCGTCACCGCCCAGCGATTGCCGTGGTTTTTACATAAACCGCAACAGCCGTTACCACGCTTCCTCTCGTCTCTTGTTTCAGCTTCAGATATCGCGGTTGAAAGGTAAGACAACACCAAAGAAAAGCCCAGTTTAGTAAACCGATATTCCGAAAGCGTAAATTCCCTCAAATCCAAGTTTTCTTCAGGGAAAAGGGTTGCAAGGCTTTGCTGTAATTAACTGGGAAACAATAGCGATGCATAATAATCGTCGCACTTGACGTCTCAGAGCGTTTGATACCATATTCTGTAAAGTGTTCTGAACAAAAATTAAGTGAGTACGCGTCAATTTTCAATTGCTCAAAGCTCTTTGTGGGACACTGCCACACACAAACTGGCTGCTGCATTTTCCCCACAAACTACACAGTCACTACACTTTATAGTATAACCCGTGAAGTGTTTGAGCCATCCGCTCCCGGTGCTGCATCAAATGTAAGGAGTATTATGATGATTATAATCAAACTGGCCATTTGTATTTGCTAAATGTACAGTACAGAAGACGACCTGGTTGTGTGTGTTCACCTGTGGCAAGCGAACAGTCACTACACTTTGCAGAAATAATAATAATAGTAATCCTTGCATTTGATATTGCGCTTTTCCCGTCGGGAGGACGTCCCAAAGCGCTTCACAGAACACACTGTAAAGTGAATTGACTGTGTATTTGTGGGCGAACGCGGCAGCCAATTGCGCACAGTAATGTCCCACAAAGTGTCGTAGATTGAAAATGACCAATTTATTATTGTTTTTGGTTTTGGAGGGATTATTATTAGGCTCTGTGTGGAGAAAGGAAACTTGCCCAAGGTTTCGCCCTCTGCCTGGAATTAACTTGGTGAAAGGCTCTGAGACGAGAGCGATATTATATTAAAGTCTCCCTCTGTCTGACGATTATATTTTTCCCTCAGTTCCAGGTTACCATCATGCTTTCCCAGCTGGAATCTGCCATGGATGCGATAATCCAGGTTTTCTACAAATATTCCGGCAAAGAGGGAAACAAGTACATTCTGACCAAAGGCGAACTCAAAGATCTTCTCTCGGGAGAGCTGATCAGCTTCTTGAAGGTAATTAATGTGACCTTAAAAATGATATGAAAATTTTTTTAAAAGGAAATATTTGTAAGGCGAGGGAACAAGTGGGTTGGTTAGGTTTTCGAGAGTCCTGTAGCTCAGTGGTTAGAGCACTCGCATCGCAAGCGATAGGACCTGGGCAAGTTTCCCTTACTCCACACGCCTCTGTTTACTTAGCAGTGACCCGGCTGTTGGTCGATTGGCGGATCGCTTTCCGGGGGGGGATAATAAAAAATAAAAAAATTTGGTCGCTCAATCCATGACGGTTTGTAGGACGCTGCTGTGCGCAATTGTCTTCTGCGTTTCGCCCACAAAATATACAGCCAATTCACTTTACAGTATAATCTGTCAAGCGTTTTGAGACGTCAAGAAGACGTGATAAGGCGCTGAGTCAAAGGCAAGGATTATTATAATTATATGCCGGCACAGGCACGATGGGCCGAATGGACTCCTTCTGAGCTGTAGGATTCTACGAGTTTCGTGCCTGTGCCGGCTGCTCCAAAAACAATCCACTTAGTCCCGTTTGCTGACATTTCTTCCCACACAAACCCCTCTGAGGTTGACACCTTTTTAATTATGTGTCCAGTTCCCTTTTGAAAGCCAACATGGATTCTGCTTGCGCGAGGACATTCGAATCCTAACCACACTGTGTGCGAAAAATAAATTCTCCATTGTCCACTTCCCCATTTGCAATAAGTAGATGCAAGTAAAATACTTGCATTGGTGACTGTGGCCGAGTGAGCTGTGACATTCATTGATGTGGAGTCCTGTAGCTCAGTGGTTAGAGCGCTCGCCTCTCAAGCGAGAGACACGGGTTTGATTCCCGGCAGGTCAGGGCGAAACCTTGGGCATGTTTCCTTACGCCTGATAATAATCCCTCAAGAAAAAATAAATAAAATAATAATTTGGACTCAACCCACGACTGTTTTGTGGGACGCTGTTGTGCTTAAGTGGCTTCCGCATTCCGTCCACAAATTACACAGTCAATCAACTTTACAGTGTATTCTCTGAAGTATATAGCGTTTGAGACGTCTCAACAATGCAACATACCAAGTGTAAGGATTGTTATCAATATTATTAATAAAACTACCCCCGTTGCAACATGCACTGAGCTGGAGGAAGCTTGGAAGGCTTCGGTGGCTAAAATCTGCCACTGTTTTCCTTGGAAACAAAATACAACAGATTGAGTTATCATCTCTTCCAAGAAATTGTCTTATTTACATTTCCACAGTTTCCCCAAGAGGCACCTCACTGCCTTTAATCTCTCACCAGCAGGCTCGAGGGTCTCACAGCCAATTCATTTTACTGTATATCCTTTGAAGCGCTTTGAGACGTCTCGAAGACACGATAAGACGTTGGGTCAAAAGCGAGGATTATTATTATTAAATTATTATTAGAATCAATTCTGTTTTTCCCACTCGTGAGAAAATGGAGGATCTAATTGGTGTTTAATCTTTCTCTCCGCCAGAGCCAAAAGGATCCAAATTGCGTGGATGACATCATGAGAGACTTGGATGTCAACAGTGATGGAAAAGTGGATTTCCAGGAGTTTATCCACCTTGTCACAGTCCTCACTATTGCCTGTAATGACTTCTTCATTGACCTCCTAAAGAAACAAGGCAAGATGTAAAGGAAACCAACAAAACCCTATTAATAACCACGTGCAAGGATTATTGTCATTAATATTTTCACAGTCTCCATACTCTCTGTCTTACTATGGTTTCCTGTGTCTTTAGTAGGTGTGCTTGTTAATAAAGAAATATCACTCTCTGTCTCTCCCTCCCTCTCTCCTCCCCCTCACTCTCCCTCCTGTTTTGCCCACAAAATACAGTCACTACACTTTACAGTATATCATGTGGAGCACTCTGAGACATCTCAACGATGTGATAAAGCGCTATATCTAATGTAAGGATTATTATTATTATTAATAACTGTGGCTTTACACAAAGTGTCTCACCTACAAACCGATAAGAGTTGCTTTCCTGAGTTTCCAATCTTGTATGTTTCCTCTTGCTGCTAAATAAAGTTCACCCCCCCCCAAAAAAAAAAACCTCACTGTTTCAACATCTTTTTTCATGAGATGATTGAGTTACATAAATAATAATAATAATTATTAAGCAACACGGTCTGTTGCCATCGGATGCTACCGTTGCACAAACACGACACACAGCTCGATCTTGCCCAGGTTGGAGGTTGCCAGATCCTTCCAAATTTCCAGGTGAAACAATGAATGTACAAACCACACCCGTGTACAGGCTAAAACCTGAACTGACACGTCATGGGACGCCAGTCTGGAGGTGAATCTGCCTTGCGGCTCAGAATTCCCGGTGTGACAGGACCCACAGTCACGAGTGTTTAACCCTAAATCAGCTCTGACTGTGTTACTGAGGACATGAGTGTTAGACGAGAGATGTTCGGCCGTGACTAGATAGTGTCGGCGACGTTGTCTTCACCGAGTGGTTGGATCGCTCCCTTGTGGCTGGTTCTGGTTTTGCAGCCGGTTCCGACCATTATTCAACTCATCGAAACCCCCCCCACCCCCCACCCCAACCCCTTCACCCAGAAAAGCATCTCAGATCACTGCAATACAATACAGACCCTATGGGGTTCCCTCCCAAACCTGTGCCTAGTTAAGATTAATAATAATATTAATAATCCTGGCGTTTGACACAGCGCCTTGTCATGTCGTCGAGACGTCTCAAAGCGCTTCACGGGATACACTGTAAAGTGGATTGACTTTGTATTTTGTGGGCGAGACGCGGCAGCCGATTGCGCACAGCAGCGTCCCCGCAAACAGCCACGTATTGAGTGACTAAATTATTACTTTTTAAAACATTTCGAAGGGATTATTACTCCCCCTAGAAAGTGGTCCGCCCATCGACTAACAACCAAGTTCCTGCTTCTTGCAAGGTAAACAGAGGCGTGTTTGTGGAGTGAGGAAACTTGCTTAAGGTTTTTGCTCCGCCTGGAAATGAACCCATTCCTCTCGCTTGCACGACGAGGGCCTAACTATTAAACTACAGCCTCCACATGTCTACAACCCAATGGTGTTCTCAGTACATAATGACCCCTCTGTGCACATGCAGAGAGAATGATTTCTGTTCTGAGGGACGGGAGGGGTGGGGGGTGGGGGGGGAAGAAGGGGAGAGCAGTTTGCTCAAACTTTGCATGTTTCTTAGCAGTTTTGCATTTCAGGTTTGACTGCTGAACAATTACATGTTTGTTCGGAAACATAGAAACAGGATTAGGTCATTCAATCTAATCCTGTTCCACCATTCAATAAGATCACGGCTGATCTGTACCTCAACTCCAATTACCAGCCCTTTGCCCCGTATCCCTTGATACCCTGACCTCGCCAATACTTAGGACGCTCAGGGTTCGTTTTTTTTCCGCTTTGAATCTCCTTTTCCTTTGGGTTCAGGGAATATCCAGTTAAACTGTCGGTGAAGATAAAATGAAATCCCGTAGGTTAGTATAGCTTCGCGGGGTGAAACATTAGACAAGTTTCCTTACGCCACACGCATCGGTTTACCAACGTCAAATAGGAACCCAGTTGTTAGTCAATTGGCGGATCGCTTTCCGGGGCTAATAAACACTTCAAAAAAAAATAATAATTTGGTCACTCAATCCACAGCTGTGTGTGGGGACGCTGCTGTGCGCAATTGGCTGCCGTGTTTCGCCCACACAATGTACAGTCAGTTCACTTTACAGTATATTCTGTGAAGCGCTTTGAGACGTCTCAAAGATGTGATAAGGCTCTATATCAAATGCAAGGATAATTAAATGCAAGGATTAATAAACGGCCATTGGCTTCACGTCTGTCTATCGGCAGTCACTGTCCTATGCAAATTGGCTGCTGCGTGTACTTACAAATACACAGTCACTACGGGTTACAGTAAAATCCAGTGAAGTGCTTTAGGCTGTCTCGAGTTTGTGATAAGGGGCTGTACTTAAAGCAAGATGATCTGTGCAGAGATGTCCATTGATGTGACAGGTCTGATGTGGACTTCACAGGGTTTATATCCTGCTCTTGTCCTCTGACAGGAGGGTTAACCTGTTCCTTTGGATGAGAGTTTGGTTGAACAGGCAAACCACAACCAGAGACAATAAAACTGGTCATTCACTTCATGAATCAATGCGCTCACATTTGCAGCCACATTTACTTACAAAATACCCAAATTTACTTACAGAGATATTGCTTTGAGATATGGTCAGTGATCTTGACCTCAGTCCCTGCACTCATTTGTTCGTCCAGTGCTCTAATGGGAAGAGCAGAGGGTAGGTTTGGTAGGTGGCTAAATGAGGCTGAGGTACAGATTAGCCATGATCTAATCGATTGGCAGAACAGACTCAAGGGGCTGAATGGCCTCCTCCTGTTCCTATGGAAGGACGGGATCAAACGGCCTCTTTTGTGAGTTGTTTGGATACACCTGTTTTGGGTAAAACACAGGAAAGCCAAAACCTTAGCTATGTTTGATGGCAAATACTGTATTGTGTGTGTGTGTGTGTGTGAGAGTTGACATGAGATTAACTTGGAACAATGCCTTTTCACATGCTGAATAAATTATGACTCAATCGAGTTTAAATTTATTTGGAAAGTCCATGTATGGAAACTGTGGTGAATCTGTCTTTCACTGGATAGAGTTTGCTGATATAAACGACATTCCCCTGAAATTAAAGGCACGATACAATTGCAATTTCTTGTTGTTGCTGTTGTTGGCCCTCACTGCTCATCGGGAACTTTTTTCAGTGCCGTAGGTGTAGGTGTTGGATCCGGTTTTTTTCGGTTCCCTTATTCATGAATAAGTAAAAGTCGATTGTTCATACTCCTACGAGCAAAGCTTTTGGCCCTGTGCCAGGCCACCGCGCCCTGAAATTTTACCTGCTCTTACCCTAACTAACCCTGCGATACAATTCTCTCTTCGGTTGCTCGGTCCACGACTGTTTGTGGGACGCTGCTGTGCGCAATTGGCTGCCGCGTTTCGCCCACGAAATTTACAGGATGTTCCGTGAAGCGCTTTGAGTGGTCTCGACGACGTGATTAGGCGCCATATCAAATGCAAGGATTGTTACTGTTATTATTGTTATTATTATTAGCATTATCTGATCTCAGCGTGGGGTGGAAACAAGCTTCACAGAGAAACTGGAATCCTGTTCGCCACCTTAGATAAACACTACGCCATCCCCAAGCCACTAAAACACTGTGTGCAGCTGAAGCTTGAATGTTTACCAATCTTGAGCTAATGCAGAAGCTTTCAATAGTACACCGCAGTGTTTGTGAAGCTCTCCTTTGTTGATTATTCCCACACCAGCCAGATTTTGTGTTTAGAGGTTATTGTAATAGATCCTATTGAAATCAAGGAAGTTTGCACCCAAATAATCAACGCTGCTGGGTGTAACGTAGCTTTTGCAATGGTTTGGGTGGTGCCTCAAACCAAACACATAATCCTACATGAATCAGTGGGTTAGCATTCGAGTCAGCTGACCCATTCATTTAATAATTATATTTAGTAATTTGAGAAAGTAAACATCGTCGGGTTGGAATATGGCTTAGAAACATCTCAAAGCGCTTCACCCCTGCCAGCGTAGGTGACAGCGTTTGCATGTCCCTCGTGCCCTCCTCCGTTCCACCATCGGTGGCCCGGCTTTCAGCCACTACGCCCCGAAACTCTGGAACACGCTTTCTCCACACTGTCAAGCGCTCTGGGACACTGCCCTGCGTGAGGGGGCGCTGTGCAAGTGCAAATTGCTGTTGTTGTATTTTGTAGGTGAACACACCACAAAACATAGTAAAACTAGGTTTGGGCCCAGCAAGGTCCCACAAACAACCTTGAAGCGGATGAACGATTTATCTGGAGGATTGGTGGCCAGGACACTGGGACAAACTCTCTTCTGTATCCAAAACAGTGTCACAGGATCTTTTAAAATCCACCTAAACAGACAGATGAGCGTTAGTCTTGCCTGGAAGATGGCAACTTGGAATGTGATCTCAAAGCCCTTATGCAGAACTTGAACCCACAAACTTCTGACCGGTTCGTTACAAAGACCTTTGGTTTGGGCTGTCTCACTCTCTGCTTGTTCACACGTCTCTTCCGTGGACGTAACATCAATAGTTCTCTTGTTTATTTACAACAAGGCCATTTTTTTTCTCTGCTGCGGCACGACTACTGTGTTCTGCGCTCACATCTGTTTGTTTTTGTTAACAGAAACTTCCCGTTTCTGTTTGTTGCAAAACAACAGAGTGTGTTCTCCTCAGTGGGACAAAATCATCTGAGCCCTGAAGCACTGTTTCTAGTTTTGAATCCTCTGCCTCCATAGAATCTTACAGCACAAAAGGAGGCCATTCGGCCCATGGTGTCTGTGCTGGCTCTTTGAAAGAGCTATCCAACTAGTCCCTACTCCTCCCACTCTTACCCCAACTAGTCCCACTCCCCCCGCTCTTACCCCAACTAGTCCCACTCCCACCGCTCTTACCCCAACTAGTCCCACTCCCCCCGCTCTTACCCCAACTAGTCCCACTCCCCCCGCTCTTACCCCATAGCCTTGTCTTTCCGTTTTAAGTACCTATTCGATTCCTTTTTGAAAGCTATTATCGAAACTGCTTCCACGACCATTTCAGGCCATGTGTTC